AGTTTGTAGCTACTTGCAGAGTTACATTTGGGAATTTTTAAGCTTAGACATTCAGCTTCTGTCTTGATCTTTAACATACATATTTGATGTTCCAAGAGAAGCATCATACTGATGGAATCATTTTGTATTTGTGGCTCCGGTGCACGAGTCAGGCAAAAGAGCAGCAGCGCAAGAGAGCGTGTTTTCCTTGGGAATGATGAAGAACTTGAAGTGGTCGCGGAAAGGACACTGCCAATAAACCGTTGCCACAGAGAAGAACATTTGCCCAGGGAGATGGAATCAAGTCAACAAAGGAGACTGGGCAGACATCAGGCCAAGGAAGCAGGGCTGCCAAGAAGGACATTGAAGTGAAGATGTTTTCTGACGAAGACGAAGATTCCTTGGACCTCGCCCCGAGTTACGTGCCTTCATTCTTACAGAACCGAGGCAGCGCCGGTGGTAGTAAGCCTGAACAGCCAAGGAGCAATAAACCAAGCTGGCTGCAAGACTCAGTTCAAGATTCGCAAAGAAAGAAAAACCCACCAGCAAAAGGCAGCAAAGAAGATGATATCTTTGATTCGATTGATGATTTATTGCCAATGGGCAAAAAAACAACGAATGCGCCCAGAGAAAGTGGGAACCACGAGGCGAATACAAAGAAATCTGGTCGACGCAGTGACGACTTGTTCTTCTTGAGTGATGAAGGAGATAATTTAGCACAGAAAAAGAACGAAGGCAATGGCAACAGCATCGCAGGAGGAAGAAGAAATGAACCGAGGAACAGAAGAAGGGGACAGAGTGGTAAAGATGCAGCGGATGAGTTGAAAAGATTGGTTGGCTTCTAGATAAGCGCAATCGTTTTGAAATGAGCAGAACTTTGAAAAATATTCTAATTGACATTGAAATACCAGTTACTAACTGCTTTTGTGCAGAAATATTTGTAAATTTATTACTATCTATTTATTCTCAATATTTGAAATTTGAAAAAGTTTATTTTTTTATGTGTTTAATTCTGCTTCCATCGCCACATTTTGATATCGAGCTACATGCAAGATAGTATAAACGGATTATATTAATGGAGAAACATTGAGTCTTTATTCAACATTCTTAATGGACATATACTGTCAAGAATAAACCCGAATTAATAGACTCATTGGCATTCATTTGAAATCTAAAATTCATGTTTCAAGAATCTTCAAGTCCAGGGATACAAATCCTAGGAATCCAAAAATGTTACATGGGAATTGGATTAATGATTTAAATTCCATTTTGACTTGGAAACGTGTTTTCTGGATATAGTTGATAACCTGTCTACAAAAAGTGGTTTTACAAAAGCCTTTAGGCAAAAGTTGAAAATTTGAAAAAAAATGTAATATAATCTTGTAAACTGTGTAGGAGATTTTAAACTAAACAAATGGATTTCTAGGGATTTTCACAAATGACAATACGATTTAAACCCAAAGTATATGAGTTGTCCATGGAGTGATTTCCCTCTCGTATTTTCTCATATGCTGGTTTTTGCTTTACTTCCACATTGTCACAAATGTGTTCTTTACATTATTATAATTTACGGAATTATAATGAAAATATTTCTCTTCTTATAAGTCGCTATAAAATTAAATTATGTAAAGTTCGTATGTAATTATTTTTTTTTCAAGTCTTGTCATCTGTTGTGATCTCTTTATTTATATTAATTTCAGTCCCTTATTCTATTGATTGTTCATTTCAACCTGAAACAGGGTCGTCCTGGTCCGAAAGGAGCAGAAGGAGAACAGGGACCGCAGGTATTTTCTCCATTCTCCGCCAAAAATTATTTTGATAAACATCTCTTATCCATGGTTGCACGGTTTTGACAAACATTAATGCCATGTTTTATGCTTCAACCTTTAAGGGTTGCCTTCTTTTCTGAAGCTTGAAATCAATTTTAAAGATGAAATTTCCTCCTGAGTGTCTATGTTCAATGATTTTTTACCCCCATCTCTGGGTATAAATATTGGTTTGAATGTATTTGTTCATTTAATCACATTAAAGTTAAATTTGACAGGGAGTTCAAGGTGAAGAAGGAAGGAAGGGAAGAATTGGAAATGATGGAGCCATGGTACGCTAGGTTTTGTCGATTTACTAATAGCACGAGGTTTTTTCTCTGCGTCTGTCGCTGATTTTCAGTGGGGGATTTTAATACCCCTGCTCTTCCTGTTCCCGTGAACCATTTGAGTGTTTTTTATGTTTGTTGCGCTATCACGTTTATTGCACTTTAGACTACACCCCTTTTTTACTTTATTACCACTCACGTACATATAAGCCTAAATGTTTTCTATACAAGCGGGGGATGGTCTTGGCATAGTCTGAAATATTTTTTCAATAGTGTCTTCTGATATTTGGCTGGGCACGGTGAATCACTTTTCTCAAGAAAAATGGCGTTTAACTCCCCAATATGATGGAAAACTTCAAAATCTAATATAACTTTGCAAACATTTGCATTTACCATCCATCTCTTTTTTGTTGTAGTGTTTTACGTGCATGCTCTCTGTTGCAGGGTCTACGTGGAATTGAAGGAAAACCTGGGGAACAGGGCCCAAAAGTATATCATACACCATTTGCCTTTTTTTATCTTGTATTGACCCTGAGTCTCATGTCAGCAGCTTTATCTCAATCTTTGCCTCTATCAATTAGATTTGAAATTTTTGAAACTCGATTCAATTATGATTTCTCTTGTTTACCCTATTCACTCATTTTCTTAAAACATTACAATTTCGAAATCAGAGTCAATAGGTTTAGTCTGTCCGCTGTGACCGTATAGAGCTTTAAACCCGCTTTCTATTCTTGGCAGGGTTCTCGCGGTGAAGTTGGAAATCTTGGTGAGAATGGAAAACCAGGAAAAGTGGTCAGTATATGATTTCGATAATTGATTGATCTGCTCAAGATGGTTTTCACAGAACATGTTCTCATTATTTATTTTATAAACTCACAAAATTTAGTAATATGGTAAAGTTTTTAGGAAGAAAAACCTAGCTTTTGACTTTTTAAAATTTTGTACAATTAGAGTTTACTCGTCTATTATGCTCGCGTTTCGGTTTTGCAATTTTTTTTGGTTTTAAAAAAACAGGCTATTGTTTTAAGATAACACCTTTTTCGACCTAACATTTTCTGAATTACTAACTTTATAAAGACAATGATTTACTTTCCTGTTTGTTTTGTCTTAGGGGTTATTTGGAAAGCCGGGTCCACCAGGCCCTGCTGGAGCACCCGTAAGAATCTTTCAAAATGTTGTCGATCTGTTGATTTATTCTAATTCTTATACGTTTCTTTCACCACTTTTTATTCTACAAACTAATGTTTTCTTTAGAACTCTTAATGCATCTTCTGGATTCTCACCATACAACATCTAATTTGGCTTTTTATCAATCTCGTTATATGATTTTCATCTTATGGAGCAATATACAACTTCAAAATATTCTTAAAGGGTTAATCTTCACATTCCTTACCATTTCTTTCTAATTCAAGTCTGTTTTTTCCACAATTAAAGTTATTGTCAAATTAGATATCATTAGGTACACCATGCATTTTTAAAACACCTAAACTCCTCCTCGAAAATTGCCACCATTCATAATTATCAAATCCTGAAAGTTAAATTCAAATTGTGATGGTTGCATTTTGTTCCACGAAGTTTTGCATCGCGTGAAAAGGGGATGGTGTATTTCAAATTTTGCAGATTCTTGAAACATTTCATCTCAAGAGCATATACTTCTCACTTTTTTATCAACTCGCATAAATGAGTCCTGACTGACCTCTTTACTTTCCAAGGGTAACCTAGGAACTCCAGGCCTTTCGGGAAAATTGGGATTACCTGGCCAAAAGGTACAAGTTTTTCTTTGATAATTAGTTATTTCTTTCTCATGCAGCGTAAATTACGAACCATGTATTTTTTGCAGCAAAAGGAGGAACTTTCCCTTTAAAATTTTTTATATGAAATGTGAATTAGAATTGGTACACCCTCAAATTATTTTCTTACATAGCTTGATCTATTGAATCTTTGTTTTTCTTGTGCATATGATTTGAGGAGCTTAAGTTCTTTGTGACAAGTTATGTATATCATTAAGGTAAGACAGCTTTCTACAACCATTTTGAATCGATCGAATTTATCTTTTTAACAATGCGAAGGATTTGATAATTTTTATTTGGCCAGTTGTTTTTGCTTTCATTTTTTGAAAGTTTTCTCTTGAACAGAAAAATGTATTGTTTTTGCTTAGGAGTATTTATTAACCCGTCAATAGTGCTAAGATAACCCTGCAATATATTGTAATTTAAAAGAAAAATTTAACCTTCTCTTCATAAAAAGCTTTTTTCTATTTTACAAGTATTTTGTGCAGGTTTCCTCGTAAGCTTTTTTCAAATTTGCCTGAAAAACGAATGCATTCAAGCTAACTGAAAATTTTGTTCTGCGGTTTTCACATGAAACTTCCCCTGGTGATGAAGACCCCAACCTTGCCTGCCTGAAGTATATTCTCCACTGATTCTCCTATAGTAAAAAAATTGTTTGTGGTTTTTTGTTGTCGACAAAATTATCCCGCCCATAGAAAGTGCTTTGTGGTGGTAAATCGAGTTTAAACTGATAACAAACTATACGTATTTAGGGTTCCAATGGAGACGCTGGTGACCAGGGGCCTAAAGGTGAAAAGGTAAGTTTTTAAAACTATTTTATAGATTTTGCAGTTTAGGTAGAGATGCCTAATAAGCAAGACACTTAGGCAATGGTTTTTGGGAATTAAAGCTTCTGCAGAACATAAATTGAAATTTGAAACAGGAATAAACTTAGGAAACACTCTTTTGCATTAATAAAAGTTAGAAGTTTCACGGAGCAGTGTGTAATGAAATTGCAAAGCAGATAAATGAATAGTTACCCTGGGTACCAGACTCTTTCTTATTTTATATAGAGTGAGTCTGGTAACTAGGGTGGTGAATAGTCTTCTTGGAACTTAAATTGTTTAACCTGCAATTTTTTCGAATGGTTTGCACATGAAATCTCTTGCGCGAAAATTTATTCATTCAATGTATAGATGGATTTTGTGGTTTTTGTTATCACGAAAACAATTATCGCGTGTATTTCGACCACTCTGGCCCACTCTGATCCACTCTGGTTCACTCTGGTTCACTCTGGCCCACGGTGGCCCACTGTGTGCCCACTCTGGCCACCAGTGCTAGGACCTCTTTGTCTCTGTCTTCCTTCGCAACAAAGTTTTAAGCTAGTGTTATTTTGACAGGGTAACCGTGGGGAGATCGGACGAAATGGTGCGATTGGAGACCAAGGCATACTGGTAAAATTTCTTTTTCGATAGAAAAATTGATTATAGTGCAATGTGATAATTCGTTTAACTGATATTTGGGGATCTGTCTAATTACTACTGAACCCTCTTAAGTAGCTTTCGCTAATCTAAATAGATATCTATAAAGCTATGAAAAGCAAAGTCTAGAATCTTACATTATAAAGCCCTTGTACACCAGACAACACATCTAAAGGGGTACTGTCCCATGCTATCATAAATGAAATGGAATAAAATAATAAAATTGAATGATAAAGCAAGGTTTCATGTAGACTTTAAATAGAGAAGACTACTGATAACGTGTCTGTTTAGTCGATATGTACATTGTTGTGAGTAGAACAGGACAGTTCTATGCTGTACTTCTAAGGTTCTACACACTCTGGCCACCAATACTTGACATTTTCCCAGAATTCACTTGTCTCTTCCTTGCAAGATAATTTTGTCTCGAACTTTCAGGTACCCCAGCTTTGTATGATACTAACTGTTTTCATTTAATTTAAGATGTGTTGTTAAGTTGTAAGTTTAATAAGGTGTTATATTGCGTTTGATATGCGGGGTTAAAGGATCTTGTTGTTATTACAGGGTGAAGTAGGAGATGAAGGTTTTACAGGTGATAGAGGACCACCAGGAAAACGGGTAGGTAGTCTTTTCGATCATGACACTTTCAGTGAAATACGCTACCTACTAAGCCAACATCAAGTTGTGTTCTTCTAGAAAATGTTTTGAAAGTCACTAGGATTAGATTCTAAATGTCTGTAGTCTGTAGATTTGTGGAATTAGACATTTTGACATCTACTTCTTAATGCAGGTCTTAGCTCTGTGTATAGGAATGGGATGGGTATTTGGAGCCACTTGTTCCCTATTCCAAATGACTCGAAAATCTTTCTTTAAAATCATATATTTTGATCTTGGAAATGAAACAGAAGGACCGATAAAAAACTTGGGAAATTCACAGCTTGCCACAACAATCAAGAATTCTGCACATACTATTGCCAGTAATTTTACAACTTTAAGTATTTTTATAATAATTCTTAATATATCTTTCATGATATTTGAAATAACAATTTTGCTTTTGCTAACTTATTTTTATCTGTTTAAATGCGCAATGATTCATTGCTCTGGTGTTTCTTTAGATAATTGATTATCCTTTTAAATTAGGGTCAGCCTGGACCTTTAGGACCGAAAGGTTATCCTGGCCAAAGAGGTTACAAGGTAGATCTCTGCATTTTAATGTGTATTTCTTTTGTTTTGCCACTTTGGAACACTGGACTTTTTGGGTATAAGGAGGTGTTCCACAAGGAAAGACATTTCCGACAGGGGAGGGATAGGGTAAAGAAGGGCGTAAAGAGGCGTATATGATACCCCAGTTTTAATGAGTTGGTCCACAAAATTGTTAGTTGGTTCGTAAAATTGTTAGTTGGTCCGTAAAATTGTTAGTTGATCGGTGAAATTTTTGATGGTAAAATAGAAACAATATTCTATACAGCTATATCTTCCATGGTAAATTCTACTTTTTGTGAACCCGCCTAAAAAAATAGACCACAGCACCCACACCCCCCCCCCCCCCACTCAGTCTACCAAGTCAAAGTACGCCACTGGCCAGAAGCGCAGCTCAACACATTTCAAAATTTATTTTTCATAAAGGTTTCTAAGCAAGAACAAACCGTATTTATTCAAAAAATTCAGCAATTTTAAGATATTCTTAAAAATAATTTGGATAATATTAACAAAAGTAGATACTGTAGCCATGTGTCAACACAGGGGGTAAACCAACAGTTGTCATATTATGGCTTTTCGGATGGATTATTTCCTCAGATTTGATGCTGGTACTTATTTTCGTTTGAGACATCTTACAAATCCACCAGGCTCTACCGTTTTAATTCGATAGATATATTATAAGCATCAGTGGAAGAAACAATGCCAAACAGACTTTCAGTCCTAAACATGCCGTTATTTCGTATTAAATAGGAATTAGATATTTGATTAAATTTTCTGTTTTCTTTTCTCGCAGGGTGTTCAAGGCCCCTCTGGTGCTCCAGCTCCTCATGGAAAGCCAGGCTTACCTGTAAGTTCAGCAAGCCTAAGAAACATTTGTTTATGTTCGTTTCTCTCATTAAGCTTCAAAGCAACACCGGCTTTAATTCTTTTTGCAAGTAATGTAAAATATTCTTAAAGAATGTTAGATTTGTGTAGGCCGTGGAAATTCATTTTCGCAATTAGTTTCTTCAACAAGGGGCAACTTTAATGCACCGTTTATCCCCTCTTGTTATTTTTGATCCGTTCCTAAATCTAAATTTTGTCTGCTGTGTGGTCATTATCCATTCAATTCAAAATCAAACATTTAACTCATCATTCAGGTCTTCAGTTATTGCAGTATTACAGTGACACTTGCCTTTAATAAAATTCTTCTCAATGTAATCTACTGAAGTTTGGTTTTAATAAACCTGAAAATAGTACCATAAATCTTCAATTTAGTCCCACCCTAGAATAAACCCCCTTCAAATAATCCCCAAAATAAAACTTTCCAATACAAATAAGCTCCCAACCTCGAATATCCCTCATCTCTAAAATCCCACTCTAGAATAGGCCCTCGTCGAAAACCCCTCATATAGAAATTTTGAATAGCCTCTACTCAGTGGTGTAGTGCTATCAAAATAACAAGGGGGGCTCTTGCACAAAATGTTGCGAAAAACAATAGCAAAAGTAGAAATTTGCCGACTTTCGGCATTAACAAGGGGGCTCAGCCCCCTGAGCCCCCTAGCACTACGCCCCTGTCTCTACTTTCTAATAAACGCTTACCTCGAATAAGCCCGAACTTCCTGATGGAAATAAGCCCACGAAGGTTATTCAGGGATTTGGGGTAGAGAATTTCTTCCTTAACAGTGGAACTCTTCATTAAGATGTTAAGCTATTTGTTAGTTTCGATTCCGATATATTTTGTTTGATTCTCAAGGGTCTAAACGGAGTAAAAGGGGCAGTTGGGGCAAACGGAAACAAAGGAGAAAAGGTATGTTGAAATGTATGATGTAAGAGTTTGAAAATCTAGTTTTTCGTGCAATGTATCCTTTCAAAACGTTATGAGTACTTTATAAAACCTGCAGCAGCTATTATTATGTTGTTATTATTATGTAGACAGTTGCTATTTAAACATCTTCTTCACAGTACTCGTTGGTGTATAGAAAGACCGTTTGATCTCTGTACTTAACTCGGGGTAGCAGCTACGAACAATCCTCATGCACACTCGAAAGTATATAAGGAAATGTACTCTAAGTCTGCCTTTCTTTATAAGCCTGCTTTATCGAGCATTACTTCAGTCTCCCTACCTTTTTGTTAGAGTTCAACATTCCAATAACAAACTTGCAAAAAGAAATGGCAACAGCTTCTCACTGGTAATTGTTTCTCTCCATTTGCTGCAACCCTAAGCCTGAAACCCTTAAGAAAACTTCGATCGTCTTTTTTGTAAAATCATTGGTCTGGCAACGTATTTAAAATCATTATGATTTTCATAAACCTTTCGCTCAATGGTAATATCACCATTAAGTAGTATAACTAGCAAAAGGTGTATTATCTCGTCGCATTTATATGCAGTCTAAAGAGAGCTGATATTCGGTGAATAGTCTTCAATCGATGATACTTTTCTTTCAGGGTGCCCAAGGCTCTTTTGGACCAGAGGGAGAATTGGGGCCTAAAGTTAGTGTTTAGAAGCCTTTTGATACAGTGTATTGAGATTCATCGCAATTCAATTGTTAAAGGATGGTTGAGCCGTTTAAAACCTTGTGTAGCTCCGAAATCAACGATTTTTAGTGTTTTTTCGTTAAAACGCTGTTTGAGATTAAATAGTTTTTTCCTTTCCTTGTTATTTCATTACCTTTATTTGTCTTCTTTATTCTCAAATCATTGGCTAGTTACAAGAGACTATAGACTTTGGAAATTGTTTAACAAGTCCTTTTTTAAGAAATCTTCATTGCCTTCTAAAGATTAACCTTGCTTTATTTTAAGGGTGAAACTGGAGATGTTGGTCTCCCCGGAATATCCGGCTCGTCAGGACAAAAAGTAAGTTGATTTTGTAAGAAACGTGCATATTTCATAGGACCTGGGTGGGGGGTTAGCTAGTTGTTTGTGATTACTTGCAGATGTCCATTATTGGCCTTTTTCGAATTTCGCTCAAAGTTTTTTGTTATGCATATCCTATCTGCTGTGTTTTGAAATATGGTTTAATTGTCGCTCTTTTTTAAAGTTGAAGATGTGAATTCAGTTATTTTAGGCCAGCTGCTTTTTCTAGTTCACAAACCTTCCTAAAACCTAACGAAAACGACAATTCAGGTACCCCAAATTTTGCTCATGAACAGCAAAAACCACTAAGTTCTTTATAACTGCCATTCGATGCAAAGCACATTTTTCGTAGATAAATAATTTTATCGACTGATTAAATTTTCAGGGCTATCCTGGTGATATTGGTGATTCTGGAGCAATTGGAGGAAAAGTATGTCTAACGATTTTGTTTCTGAATCGTGTTTTTTTGTTTGTTTAATTGGTTTGTTTAGCGTTGTTCAACACTGCAAAAGTCACTTGGTATTATCTTCAATTTATAAAATCATTCTTAGTATCTCATGCATTGATAACATTAAAAATTCACGTTTGTGATACGATTTGATGAAAACAATAAATGCTGCATTTATGTTCGTTGTCTAAAAATCAATGGTTTCCTTTAGGGAGATGTTGGAACATTAGGGCTACCCGGAGGGAAGGGAGCAAAAGGCGAGAAGGTGATTTCAATCTCTTATTGTCAGAGTGTTACAACCGATCACTTTCGATCTGCATGATCATTCTTTAACATCATAATCATCATTGTCATCCATCAGCATGATTATTGATCACTATGATCGTCATTCTCAAAATCAGTTATGATAAATCATCTAATCGATTTCTATCACGAATCGCCATCATCGATTGTCATGCTTTTCTTCGTCTTCACCGTCGCCATTAACTTTGCCATGATCAATGCTCTTTTTATGTGTCAATACTGCAGACTCAAATACATTTGGCTTGGTGTAGATGTCAGAACAATTTCTGCTTCTTGAAACTAAAAACATAATTGCTTCTGACAATTTAAAATGGCTTTGCCAATGAATAACCAAGTACTGTTAATTTTAGCTTGAAATATCAGTTTTTTTGTGTCATGATATATAAGTAAGGGCTTATATATGCTCGTACTGGCATGGAGTTGTTCCCGCTTTTTCAAAGACGTTTTGTCTGTTTCTGTAATTAGGGAAAGCGTGGGAAACAAGGAGCCGTTGGAAAAAAAGGCGGAAAGGGTATTCCGGTAAGAATTGGCATCTTAAGCGTCCTCTACCATTTTGGCAATAATTTTCTCTGCTATATTTTTAAAAGCAAGGTTCCTGAGCATGATTTCCTTGAAAAGTTGAAAGTTTGATATACATGTTGAATATTTCTACTAGAGTTCGTTAAATATTTCAAATATTTGTTAAATTTGTTGAATATTTCTACTTTTGATTGCAGTACTGTACTAAAAGAAATATTTTGCCATTAAAAAAATTTCTTAGACTTATAATTTTAAGGATTTCTGCAGACTTTGTTGAGTCGATTTTTATCCAGTGTTGTAGAAACTGTTATTCTTGATTTCCGATTTTAGGGCCATCCTGGTCGGCCCGGCTATAGAGGAGATGCTGGAAGACCTGGTTTAGACGTACGTACCAAATGATTTCTTTTTGTTGAGTGAGATGTTTTTTAAGTGTCGAGTTGTAAGATTGTTTTTAAGAGACATTCAGATGTATGTGATGTAGTGGCAAATTGTCGGTAAAACGCCTTGGGTCAATCAACATCTGTAGTTCCTGGGGACTGCAATCTTCGAGAAAATCTTAAACTTTTCCAAGCTTATCAAGCTATAGAAAAAATCGAATGAAATATGCAACTGAAAAGAATAGAAAAATGTATACCATTTTCTTGGATAATATTTTGTCGTTTGGGGTGTCCAAATTTAGAATTGATTCTGGGGCTGTTGCTCCCCATTTCTAGGTTCTAAACAGCTGGAAGAAGATATTTTTTCTTTAATAGATAGTTTTCTCTGGATTGCTGTTAGCGAGTCAGTATTTATATTACAAGCAAATGGAGACAAATCTTCCTCTTTATTCCAGGGTGAAAATGGCCCCACTGGCAGGCCTGGCTATCCTGGTTTAAAGGGTTTCCCGGTAATTTTCTATTTCTTGCAATTTTTATTAATTTGTTTTGAAAAATTACATGTTATTTTAGTTTTGAACTTAATTTATTTGGCTTGCACTGAATAAACGAAGCAATTCTTCAATCGTACTCCTGATCACCTATTCTTAGACGATATTGTTTCAAATTGACCTTCAGTTATAGAAATCGTGTTTTATGTCATTCACTTTTCCTTCTGTGAATTCTTTCTTCTATAGAATATACTTACGAATATTTATTCCTTAAATATACATCTTGTATTTTCAATTTACAATTTTAAATGTTACTTAACACACCTATTTGTCACAATGCTTTTTTTATATAATCAAAGATGAAAGGCACAATACATATTACCTTCTACACTACTAGCAAGAACTACTTAACAATACTACTGGGACGAAAACCCCAGGGGAGCAAAAGGTTGTGTCTACCCCAAGGGCATTAACATATATATATATACGCATAAATATAAGAATAGGAAATAAAAATACGTTACAGATAACAAAATGGTTAAGTGGTGTACATTTTAAATTGGAACGACCTTATTCAAACCGACTAGCATTGCGGATGAATTGTAGAGTCAAGTTGAGAATGTTTCTATTGACGCCATAAGGGAAAGTTGCATTGCCATATGGTTAGAGCTGAGTTAGAGCCTTATTTGACAGGTTTGTAGGTCCAAGAGGTCGTAATATGTCAACGACTCCAGCAAGAAGATCTTGTCGTTGAGCAGCTCACCAGTCCGCTACGCTTTCGATGTGATTTTCATAAATTCTTAAGCTATTTATAATTATTTAGTTCATAAAATTTATTTCAGGGAAATAAAGGCCCGCTTGGAGAGAAAGGCAAAACAGGACAGCCTGGAAAGAAAGTAATTAGTCTATTTTTCATGGCCCTCAGGGGATTCTTGCGATTCTTTACGAGTCATAGGATTTACGCTGTTTTCTTTGGTGTAAAACACTGATACTATCAATGTATGATACTATCAATATATGATGTAGTGGTCTCCACTCAACTGCCCAACAAAAAAGGATTTTGTCCGTTTTGAATAATTCAGAATTTGAAAATCATAGAAATTCTTATGATTAAACATTTAGCACTGGCAGGTCAGGAAAGGCATCCAGAAGTATTAATATTGATAAGTATTAATATCGATATATTTTTCCAACGTGAATAGAAATTTTGAATTGAGATTGGTTTTTGACTTAGACGTGCCTGAAACTGAGTGAGGTTGATTTATTTTAGGGTCTTCCTGGGTTTAGTGGACCAGAAGGAGAGCTTGGACCTAAGGTTGGTGAAAGTTGTTGGCAATTTTAATTGGTTGAAGATCGTTTTGTTTCGTAGCAAATGTTTTTGAAAAAAGTAGACCAATGGTATAAATTACAATTATTTTCAGTAACATATTGGCCTAGTTACCTGTCCTGGCCTAGTTACCTGTCCGGTGGGTACACAATCTACAAGCTTGATTCCCAGTTCAGAATGTTTTTTCGTTGTTGGGGGCCTACCTTGAAAAAGTTAAAAAGAGAACGAGAATAATTTAAAAATGTTTCTATTATTGAAACTTTTTTTGCACCTGATTTAATATTATAGTTACTGCCTATATTCTGTTCTTCGGTATTATAGAACTATGATATTTATTGCGTTGGTTGCCTTTACAAAACTCGGAAAAAACCTTCTTGTTATGTTTAGTTGTTTTTTATATTTATTGTGGGTATAAATACGTTTTTGATGAAGAAAATAAAATTTCTAAATCTTTTATAGGGCGCAAAAGGGCAAAAGGGTGAGGCTGGAAAACAAGGCAAACAGGTAATTTTATTTCGTTTAAAACTGGCCATTCTGCAGTTGATGTGCCAGCAAAATTAAGAAAATAATAGGCATTGCATTTAACAATGAAGCCTTATACAGGATTCGTTGAACAATATTGTAGTGTTTTCTGTTTTTTATGTCCATGTTTTCTGCTGTGTTTCTTGCAGACGCCCACCTGTTGTGAATAGTGTTTATTCCCCGTCTTCCCTTCACTGTTTATCGCCTTTGGCGTCATAATTCACATGCAAATGATCTACATTTTAATTTAGATAGTCTGTCTATCTTAGCCCATCGATTATGGGTTTAAAGCATTTTCTTTGAAATCAATTTGTTTCAGGGCATAACTGGGGAAGCTGGTATTGCCGGTGACTCAGGACTTATTGGACCAAGGGTGAGAAACGATTTTTAAGTATTTTTTGTCAATAGTTTTTTTATATTTCATATTGAAATGAGGATATGTCGCAAGGTGGTGTCTCGTTTTGATGTAAATGGATATGTCGCAATAAGGTGTCTCGTTTTGATGTAAATAATTCCTTATGGAAAAATGTTTCAAAATGTATACGAGAGATAATATCTAGACTCGCTGAATTGACGCACAGACTGGAAATCCACTCTCTGCCGCTTTACTTCCACTTAAGGGCATCTTATGATAAAGTTATGTTTGTAAAGGTGAAATCCCCCCATATGTATCTGAGCCGAATATTTGCTTGACAAGATTGAACCCAAATCCTACCACTTTGTTCCTGTCCTGCAATACAATTTTCATATGGTTGTCTGAGTCATGAAAAAGTCCTTGTAATCTTACATGATTCCTTTGAAAAATGATGAAAATACATCTGGTTAAAAGTCTTGATTTTCATTTATTAGGGACCACAAGGTGCGAAAGGGAAAAGGGGTCAAATTGGTGCTGCCGGGATTACGGTAAATTATTACCTTCTTTTATTCTTAGGCTTAAACGATAATCATTGTCTCAATTTTGAATTAATAATGTTCCAAAATATTTTTGGATTGTCTAATTGCAAAGCTTTTTTTCAGAGTATTCTTGAAAATGTCATTTTTAATGGATACGTTTGAAAAGACCCTTTTAAGTTGTGTTGTTGATATTTTGTGATGAAATCATTGTACTGACATCTTTCTCCTTGCACAGTTACATATTATCCAATGATATAAAGATGTACTTGAATACTAATTTTGATTTATTTCTTGCACACCACTTAGCTAATGAACGCTCGTGGTATGCCTATTTTTTTGGGATGAAAAACATGATTATTTCAAATAACCGTAAGCAATTGGTTCTGATTTGAATCGGTTTCTGTTTTCAGGGGCCATTTGGACTCCCTGGCTTTCCTGGTGAACCAGGAGATGACGGGAAAGAGGTTTGTTTCTTCCATTGTAAGACTTACCCAATGCCTAAAGACATCTTCATGCAAGGCGTTATAAGTATCTTGATGCACGACATAAGATTTGAGCAAATTCTCCATGACATTTCAAACTTATTTTTCAATCAATGTTTTTTCAGAACTTCAGTGTCATGAGATAAACTCCTTACAAAAGATAGTAAATTCTTCGGCCATCATTGCTTAGGGAGAGATTAGGGTGCAGTGATATCTCGATACCTGTTGCTCTGACTGAAACTGTTAATTTTATTAAACAGGACGCAAACTGCAAGTTGGTTTTTTTGCAAGGGTTTTAAACCAATGTCGTTGAGATCTTAGATCTCCACCAGCTTCTGTTCTCCACTCATTATACCCTTAGCAACTAGGCCGTGTATCTGCCAGCCATACATGTTGGGTTTTTGTACCAAACATATTTTTCTTATTTTCAAGGGTGTCAAAGGAGATAGGGGTGACTCAGGGAAACCAGGATCTACAGGATTTGAAGTGAGTTGAATAAATCCCTTTTGTTTAATATCAGCTTTTATGTTCGTTTGAAGATTAATTGTTTATTATTAGCGAAAGCTGGATATTAAATGGTAACCTTTTACTATGTCGCACTCCATTTATTATTTTGACTAAATTTAACTTATTTTATCATTCTTCGAACCTCACAGAATTTCTAGCTTTTGATATAATTAGCTGAAATGTGATAAAACCTGTAATTATTTTAGGGATTACAAGGTCGGCTTGGGGATGAAGGTGAAATGGGACCGAAAGGTGAAAAGGTAAAGCTCTCCTTGAATTTTGTCAATGTTTTTCCTGTTGAATAAATTATTAGGCTTTTCAAGAGCTTTTTAGACCATTTGACCAAATAATCTCTGTTTTGCTTCCAGGGGGTCGCTGGAAATGTTGGCAATTCTGGGCAACCTGGTAAAGCGGGGGATGCTGTAAGTAACTTTAATTTTCAATAATTTTGCAATGTTTATTTTAAAATATTCTACAGAACTGCGTTTAAGGCTAAAATATAATACTTTTTAATACATTGTTCGTTATTCCATTAGAAACGCTTTGATTTTTATTAAGTTTGGTTTTCAAATTGTAAGTATGAGCTGCATAAAACTTTCTTTGTAAGTTTTATGCAGCTCATGCCTTTTCTTTGCATGCATTTTTCTCTAAAACTAGTAGATGCATGTTATTAATTTATGTAAGTTTGAACTCAATATAAGTGTCGTACATTTCGAAACCCACCAAGGCTGGAGATACAACGGTTCAGTGTCCAAAGATATCGATGAATTTGAGAAAAGTTTAGCGAAGTCAGTCCGGTACAAATTTGACCTTTCCTTTCAGGGTGAAGCAGGAGAGCCAGGTGCTATTGGAGACCCAGGATTTAACGGATATCAGGTATTCATTTTTCTGATAAAATTCGAAATACCATAGTTACTAAAATACTAAAACATTTAGCACAAATGATATTATTTTACTTGTTTGCTTAAAGTATTGTACCTTACTGGTATTGAATACAATGGTATTGAAGATGAATTAAAAATCAAATAAAATGAAGTTTAGATGTTGTAATTGCGTCCAAAAAAACATCACAAGATCATTTGACCGTACCATCTTCTTGTAAGGACATTAAAAGAAGCGACAAAAACAGGGGCTTTTCCAAGATACTGCTTAAAAAAGAAGGTTGATGGGCTCATTGTAGATTGAGGGTCATTAACGATTTTTTTAACAACTTAAAACAAGTAAAACTCTAATATTTACATTCTACTGTGCCCCTCAAAGCGGGAAAAGGGAGAATTAGCTGCTGTTTGGAGTTTCACTTAAAGCGTTGAGCAGTCTTAATGTATAGTATAGTGGCATCCATGATCATTCTATTGCTAATTATATTCAATCGTGAACTGCCATATAAAAGAAGATCGCACAAGGCTGTTGTATCCATATCATTAATGTAGAGGGCAGGGATTTCTGAATGCTAACCAAAGAGATCTGCACGCATCAAATCAAACTGTGGGCAGTGCAGGAGATAGTGTTCATTGTCCTCTCTTCCAAATCGGGTTTAGGCAGTCAAAGTTTTAGGTATTTGTAGATAGGGGACTCATTGGAAGTGAAGGGGCTCGTTGTAGATTGGGGGTTCATTGGAGATTGGGTGCTTTTTGGAGATGTGGTTAAATGAACAGTGAGGCTAAGTTAACCTTTAAGATATCAGTAGAAGACGACAATTCTCGTCTGGTCAGGCTAAAAGCAGAGTTTATTCTAATTCGAATTTAGCATGCTGCTCGTAAATTGCTTTTCGTTGCATTGAATTTGGGAAACTGTTTAATATAATGGTTTACTGTAAGTTGCCCTTTCGTTGCAGTGATAAGGGGCTGTAACCATTGATCCTGTTATTCTACATTTAAAGGAAATCAATTTTTCTCACCAAATGATGTATATTATTCTTGCACAGTAGACTTTAAACCTGATAAATTTTTCTCTTCTCGATACTTCTCGATCTTTTTCTCTTCAGTTTTTTGCTAACTGTTTTAATCATCTTTCTCCACGCAGGGCGAAAAGGGCAATAGAGGAACACCCGGTGCTGTTGGCATCAAAGGCTTTCCCGTGAGAATTCTATACATTTTTAAAACTTCATCGTGGTTTTTCGTTTATTAATAAATCTTCGCATGCATACTTCTCATGTCGTTTAAGCCCTTTTATACGCAAGTGTATTTTGCTTATGCGAGCTGTTTTAATTTATTCCCTTGAAATAATTTGACATCATTTGTGTGCATTATTTTCTACCATGTTTTCTTTAATTTTATACCCATCGATATAAAACCCATTTCTAATCTATTGCTTTCTTTTTCCTTATCCTCGTCAAATAAAAGTGTTCTAGAGTTTCAAAAGAATGAAGCATGAATTTTTTATAGCAAAAGGGGAATACTTTTTTGAATTGTTTCTTAGTGATTGTACTTCTAGATCAATTTCCAATCCTATTTTCATTTCTCCAATAGGGTGAAAGAGGAGATGTTGGAGCCCCAGGACAAAATGGACTGACTGGAGTTGCTGTATGTTCCCCACTTTGATCCTTTTTCATGGAAATGTGTCTTAACGACGTTAGCTTTTTTTCTGTGTGGAAAGCGTTTGTTTTAATGTAAACCTCTCTCAAGCAACAGTCAAGAGCAACTTAAAACGCGGACAAGCAATCCAATATAAATAGATCTAATTATTTTAAAAACCAAAATCTAGAATGTTATCCAACAATTCGCTTAGGCATCCCATTTTTGATCAGAGTAAAAGCCTACTTCAACCTGGTTTCATAAACTAGTGCTTCATTTTAATCGTTGCAATTGGATTTCAAATTTATCTGTAAACCAACTTCATGCCATTTCTTCTCAATTACAGGGGATTACGGGCAGTAGAGGAATTCTGGGTAAAAGAGGCGACCCAGGCCCCCAGGTATGACTGGCCTCAGGTTTCGCGACATTTGGAGTTTTATTGTACAGTGTTAATTGTTTTTCCCACATTCTTCATTTCTTTAATCTTTCGTTGTATGTTTGAACAGCGTAAATTAGGGTGCGTAAAGGTCAGAATTCTATCTAAATTTCTGCCCAAGAATTTCATAAGATGTTAAGAAATTTAAGACCATAGGTAAGTGTGACGTCATAGCGAAAAGCCTTATTTTCGCAGTACGTCTTCTTGATATTCAAAAAGGACTCCTGCAACGGAGATTTTTTTCAAGTTTTGCGAAGAAACATGAATAGTAAATGTTGAGCAGGAATATCACAAGTCAATAATGGACAAACCGCTGAAAACGGGTTATACTTTTGTGAATATATCAGTAAGTTTAGATTAGTCAATATTTTATCCAGCCGGAGAAAGTACCAAGCCCTCTCCAAAAGCAACATGGCAGAATGCAAAAGATTTCATCGAGGGCTGTATGTAGAAACAAGCCGATAGATTATCTTTGCGGCAAATATATTTGCAACAGCTTTGATAGTTTTTTGCATAAAATTTTACAGGGTGCCAAGGGGTTTCAAGGACCTCGAGGGATTCGTGGCTCAACTGGAGACAAGGTAAGAAAGACTCCGGTTCTCGAATGTTTAAATGATAATGTATCAAAGTTGCCTTAATATTGTTATATCCAATCGAATCTATAGAAGACGAAAAATACAATTGAGAGCCTTTTCTGCGCCTAAACCAAAGAGAATCTACAACGTTTCTGGTTAATGCTGTAAAATAGTTGAATGGCATGCTACTTTTGTACCTTTTTCCTATCAAGGTTATTATATGCTAAACCTAATTGATATAAACAGTGGTCAAAACGACAATTATATCTGGCTTTAACATATAGCTCAAATTAGAAATTTGCACAGATAAGTGAAAATCTACCTTTATCACTGCTGCCTTTTCGAGCTAATTTCAAATTTTGCAGTACCAAAGGTGCATTTGATAATCCTCAAATATATACGATACTTTTTTTGACATGTGGTGTGGTGATATGATGGTTTCTGTACCCTCTTCCAATTACCCTGTTTAGTTGAAGTTTGGCTCGTCATAGCTCGGTATCTTGATTGATAGTAAACCCTTGTGATAGAAAACCCTCTCAACTTCATTCCATTGTCTTTTGAAGTGTTCACAAACCATCAGCTTTATGCTCTTGAACAAGTATTATCAAGCAAATTTAACGAAAATTAGCAAGAGCTGTCATGAACGTTTTATGCCTTGTTTTATTTTTCCGTGATGTTTTATTCTTTTGAAATGTTGTTCTATTAAAGGGAGTTGTAGGTGACCCTGGAAAAGAAGGAAAAAGAGGGGCCCGAGGGGAAAAGGTTTGTTCTGTAAAAATTATTGTCAATCCTTCTGCAAAACTAACATTTTAAGAATACGAAACATAACAATTTAAGATTTTAAGATACGAAGACAATGAACTTTTTTAATGGTGTTTTTGACCATATTTAGATTCTTCTAAATGGGGTTTTCTTTCAGGGAGACTCTGGAAAAAATGGATTGGATGGTACACCAGGGAAAAAGGGACTCGAGGTTTGTTCCCTTGAATTCAACAAATTCAACTTACTTTTTTTCTCTATGTATATTCCTGGAATTTTATTTAATATTCTTCTTACATTTAATACCTCCAATTTAGATTTCGATTCTGCTTTTTTTTCTTGAATTTAATATTAAAGTTAAGCTTTGTGAACGTTCGATCTATATATCTTACATATACCATTGGCCTAAAATCTGAGTGTCAAAAGAACTTTTATGACCCCAATCAAGCCAATTTCCTTTTCTTTAAAGGGAATCAAAGGTATTAATGGAGACGAAGGAGACGTGGGAGATGTTGGTTTGAAGGTACGAAAACTGAACATGTCTGTGGCAGTTCCGATGTGTTCTCATAAATTTTGTATTGCTCTTTCTTTTTCATTGATAGGTTCATTTTAAACCCAAAACAAGATATGCTGTATTACATTGTGGAGAAATTGAAGCAAATCCACAAATTTTTCCTTGCTTTACTTCATGTAACAATGCATTCCACTAAAAGAATATAGCGTGTATCCCTAAAAAATGAATAAACCTTTTTCTCAATTATGGTGAATTACTTCTGTTAACTTATATGATTTAAAAGCTTGGCAACTTCCTTTTTTGATTTACTATTTCACTAATCTACCCTTTTGATTAATTTATCAGTTCAAATATATAGCTTTCGTATATAGATTGATATATAGATAAAAATTGTTTCTTTTCCTTAACCTTGCATGGACCTAGTAAACAGACCTGTTTTTGCCTCCACTGTTGACAGTATATACATATTTATCAAAACAACGTTTCATTCATTTGAATTCAAATGCACAACTAACAATTTTATTCCTATTGTAAGCAAAACTATGTTCTATTTAAGGGTGAGCAGGGATCAAAGGGCTCTGCTGGAGATAAAGGAAGAGACGGGAACGTTGTAAGTGCTACAAATTTTTGCAGATGATTAGTTGAGATTGATTTGTCATCCTGTCGAATTTGTTTTTTGATATAACTAAATTTGCCCTCCTTCTGCCATTTTCAGTCTCCCTGATTGTATCTTTACTTTTTCTTGATTTAAAATGTTTGAAAATGGATGCATTATCTGGTCAGTCTTTTTTGAATATTTAGATTTACGTGTTGGAAAAAGGCTCGACAGAAAGTTCGATATTTTAATAAATTGATTAATATTTTAGGGTTTTTCTGGAGTTCCTGGTCGACCAGGGCCACCTGGTCCTCGTGGAGAATCGGTAAGGCACTTTTACTTCTTTTGTTATGGTGATCGCATGTTGTGAGCAAGATTTGGTGAATACATTTTTGTAGACAAAACAAAGCAAAAATTAGGCATCAGCTTTTTCACTATATGATTAAAAATTATGATTTTAGAATATTGATTATGATATGTAATCTATGATATTTAAGAAATATGATATGTAATCTTCATTGATATTGGCAGAGTTTTGAAAATAGCAAAAAATTAGCTGATGTTTCTTTTTTCGACCTTAAACTTAATATAAAAGTTATTATTTGGTAAATGCTATTAATTTGACAGCGTTTTTACAAGTCTTAATGACAGGATTTCAAAACTACTCGTCGATAGAACAAAGAGTATAGTCAAGAATTGTGATATGATTAAATCAAAAAACTTTATTAAACTGTTATTTAGGGTAAAAATGGGAAGAATGGCTTGGATGGACTTCCAGGTCCTCGTGGAGAATCGGTGAGTCCCGAGGTCTATATAATGCAAATTTGTACGAAGTAGGTGATATGTTTTTGTAATATCTTACATTTGCCAAATATTCTTTGGTACTTTTTAGGCCTATTAAGAATTTTAAAGTGCATTTGGAATAAGGTTACCTCTAAGAAATACCTATCTTTATACGGGAATTCTCAAGTCAAATAACATTTGTTTTGTATCGAAGACAATGCATATTATTTATGACTAACATTTTCACAGCGGTATTCAAATTATTTCTTTATTCTTATGTTGAAGCCGTGTTTCCTCGTTGCGAAATAACTGGCTTATTTGGTTATCTCATTTTCCAGGGAATACCAGGTCTGAGCCAACGAAAGGGTGCCAAAGGGGGATTTGGATATAGAGTAAGGCTTTGTTGCACATTGTCCTTTTTATTTCAATATAGCATTACTTTATGCTATTCGGTCGTGGATTGATGTTTCAGCCATGCCAATAATGATTATGTTCATATAATTTTATATTTATTGTGCGACTTTGTCTCCAATTGTTAAAATTCAAATAATCTTCTTTCAAAAATTTTTATTTAAATTCAGATTTTGTATGAACTCGGTTGAGTTAATGTGCGATTGTTTTGAACATGTTATATTTTGAGTTTTGAAAATAATAATTTTCTGTTGATGTTGCATGAAAAATTCTCACTAATGTATTGATTAATAACATATAGCTAATTACTTTCATGTTTTCTTATTAAGGGACCGAAAGGATTAAAAGGGGCCAGTGGAAAGAAGGGGCGGAAGGGGGAAAGGGGTGAAAGAGGCCGCCCTGGACCGCCAACATTATATGGACTCACCGGACCTCAGGTTGGACATTCAGCAATCTTTCTCACGCTCTACTTGGTATTTTTGAGCAGAACTAACTCAAGTATTCTGCTGACACTGCATTTTTTATACCATGTTTCTTTATAATATCGTAAAAAATTAATACTTGTTGGTTCTGCTCAAAAGCTAAATACGTTTTTATCCAAAATTAACATAGTTCGACTCTTTCGTTGATGATATTCTGGTAAGCAAGTTTTAGTTTTTGTACACGGGTGAGAAATTGGTGAAAGCAGATTTTTGAATTGGGTTTGATAAGGGGAAACGTCATAAGGACGCCAAAAGGAAAAGCAGTTGGGCGGTAGGTGTACCATGAGTGGCATTTTTCAGGATTTTAATCCTTGAATAATTGCTTTGAATGGCTTTTTATTCCATGTTTTTAGGGTCCTCCGGGTCACGAAGGGAAAATAGGCGAGGAAGGAAGACCTGGTACTCCGGTAAGACTGACTTTTTAACCTGAGATATTTTGCATTGGTTTTATTTTCTCCACCAGATTTTGTAGATTTTGGAAATATCTTGTTTCTTTTCTAAGATGGAAATATCCTGTTTCATTTATCTCAAAATAATGAACCCCGTAGCTACAATCACAGCTGAACTGTATAGTAATCGCTTGGAACACTAACATCAATAAACCTTTATCCAGATTCCATCATCCTCTTTTCTCTTTCAATAGATGTATTTTTGCTACCCAGTAATACATGGTAATTAGAGTAATTAGAAATCATATTGTTTTATATTGCTTGTATGATATCTATGATATAATCCGCGACATTGCAGAGGCGGATCCAGAGTGAGTTCCTTGGTGCACAGAACTCAGTCAGTTTTCCAACATACAGCTAAAAATAGTGTTGCCTGAAACAAGTAATATTTAAATTAAAAAATTGAAACCTAAAACTTCTAAGTTTTATCACAGTCTCTTCAAAATCTTAAAATTGCCAGTTTTTTTCTCTGTCGTGATTTGGAAAGGATTTTCCAGACGCTGTGGAGGACAACAGCAGTCAATCCTAGAACTCGGAAATAAACGTTTTTTGCCTCGGAAGTGAATGAGTTGAAACAAAAAACCTTTTGTTTGGAACACGGATGGAACTCAGTCAAACAGCATCTGGAACTCGAAAATGATACCATATTTTTAGAGGAGCTGTACAGTGGCCCGTAGTTGATTGGCTACCTATTGTTTCTGTTCTATTATGGAACTGCAAAACATTGAATTCGAAATGGCGACTGCAGATGTCTTATACTCACGACAATCGCAGCATTCTAGCAGATCATTAAGCGTTTGAGATAAAACCAGGAGATATCGTTAATTTTCCAGGAGTGTTAACTACCCTTGCTTTAAATTGCAGTCTTTGATGGCACGGAAAACCTATGCTCAGACGGAACACCATATTTTGATGAATAAGCTGCCTACTGCCTACCCCCTTCCCCCCCTCAATGGTACCAAAATGCATAAATATGAATAATAATGTTGTATTATGCACAATTATCAATGCATTATCTGAAAGTCCCTAGCCTTGGCCTGGAACTCAGTCAGGTTTTTTGCTGGATCCTCCCCTACATTGTTTTGGCAGAAAGAGACACAAAATATGGGAAGTGGGGGAGAGGGGAGAAATTACAAAAACAATGCACAACCGCAGAGGGTCGCAATTACTTTTGCTTGGTTTCCCCCCCTCCTTCTCTCCCACCACCCCATCACTCTCTTTCTTCCCTTAGCTATAATCGTAATTGCCGGTTTTTCTTACAATTTTGCAAACTGCATAAGTAAGGAGCTCGTGTATACTTCGGATTGTGAATCAATGGAATTAGTAAACTAGAAAATTATGTCTAGGCTAGATATCAAATATTTTTCCATTGCTTAAATAGTCATAGTAAAATCTGATTCTCCATTTTTTCGCCAGGGTAGAGTTGGTCCTCTTGGAATACCAGGAAAAATGGGCAAAATGGGAAAAACCGTAAGTTTTAATGAATTCCAAAAGATAATTTTTGCTAAACCTTTCATAGAAAATCCATTTGTGATGTTAAACCCATTTTCTCACAAATCACAACTCGCCTCTTCGTAGATATCTGAATTTTTCAATGTTTTGTTGTAAGTTTTAAATATGTAAAAGCAAATGGATAATTATTTTCTGCATCGGTTTTTTGCCTATTTAGAGTAAAGATCACATAATTTTTTACTGTAATGTTTTTATTTCATATAGGGTGCTCGAGGGCCAAACGGGATAAGAGGTATAAAAGGTGTCCTTGGTGAAAAGGTATTTCTAAACTTTTTTTCCTTAAAATATATTTTAGCATTAAATTTAAAAAAAATCCACGTATAAGAAACCACAAGGTTTGCTTTTTTGATCAACAAATTGGAAACTATTAAGCCTGAAATTTTTCAGTTTCTTTCAGTTCTTATTTCAGAGCAAAAACTAATGGAACAAAACAACTATGAGAAGAGATTGTAGAACCAAACTATATACACAGCCTTCTTTTGATACACAGCCTTCTTTTAAAAAGTAGAAAATCATGTGTTATTTTATTTATTATCCCTTATGAAGATTTTGTCTTTCTAGCCCGTTGCTGCTACTTTTAGGATCTTTTTTATAATTCAGCCGATATTTTTTTCATTAAGGGTGATGTCGGTGATCAAGGATTGCAAGGGCAAACGGGACCGGAAGGTGTGAAGGTGTGTTGCCTTATATCAAATGTATTCAACCCTTTGTAATTGTGTCATAACAAAGAGTCATTATATTTGGAAATCAGAAGCCCATGGTAAAATTCATGATGAATTTGAAATGGATACTAATTTGCAAATTTAGCAATGTAAGATAATGCAGTTAATAGATAATTATGTCTTTTAGGGTATTCCTGGAGACCAAGGTGAAAATGGACCTCGGGGCCTAAAAGGTCGAAAGGTATGGCATGTTAGAAATTTCGTATATATAACGGGTTTTATTTATAGAATCCATCCAACAATTGCAATAGCTTTGCAACAATGGAAAAAATAATCCGGCATTGGCTATTTATTATCAAGGATTCTGAAAGGGAAAAAATATGTTTCATTTTTATGCCTCAGTTTTTGTTTTTGTCGCTACCTAACCTCCAGAGATAGTTTTACGAATCTAAGCAGCTGTGTTTATGGAACGTTTCCTGGTTTCTCCTCTCGATGTCACACCTCATGATTCCTTCGCCAGGAATCGCAGATAGCCGGTGACTATTATCATCCTAAGTGTTAGGTTGGTCAAGGCAGTGACCCTTGACCCTTGACCCGGACCACAGACCCTTTGACCTGTTATCCGCAACCCTTAACATCTTCCCACCCCATAACCTCAAAACTCTTTTTATTTACCAACGAATTCACCAAAGAACAAAGATAAATCAACTTTCTTGCATCATTATATTTAGGGTAGTAGAGGTTTTGATGGTCGTCGTGGGCAACCAGGCCAAAAGGGTAAAAAGGTTTGTGCGTCCATTTTCTTTTACCCTTTTTCCTTTTTCTATCGGTTTGCTAAAAACAGAGTCGAAATGCTTGTAACCTATATTGCTATTGCTGGCATTCTCAAATATTTTTTATGTATAACTTATATTTTACCATGCATACTTATATTAAAATCTGATTGTTGCATTGCTAGCTACCTTATAATACACCCACAATGCTTGCACGCTATATTGCTATTGCTAGTATTCTTAAATATGCTTTCTGGGGATACCTCCCTGCAATATTTTGGCAACTTTATGTGTTATAATGCATACTTGCATATTGAAATCTGAATGTTTCTTTAGGTCAAATATAAATAAAATAAGTTTGGGTACGTAGGATTAGCTTGCCGGAAAGATGTATATTTGCAATAAGGCAGGACTTTTCTAGCTTATCTCAACACACTTTACTTTTTATTATAACATCACTTACTTAAAAATGATTTTTTGTAGGGTTTTCGCGGCGAAGAGGTAGGCTCTGATGCTTTGTCATACCTTCGAGCAAAACTTCAATTCTAGTTTTAACAAGAGCACGACCTTAGAACCTAAAAATCATGTTTTGCCTTTTTTGATTGTTTACAAATATGATGTGCTCTTACGTGAATAAAATTGAAAGATTGCTCATTCTTGTCTTTTTTTCATCTTTCTAACAGAGTTGAACAATTTCCATCCCCGTAGAAACTGCATATTTTCGACTAAGTAGTTTTTTGTCATATAAATATGAGATCCATTTCTAGTTTAAAGCTGATTTATAAGTACCCTTTCCATAATTCCTTTTTTTATCAATTTTTTTATCGACTCAGATTTAAAAACAGCAAATTGCAGGAAGTGAATTTATGATGTCTTGTGATACAGAAAGCGTCACAAGATCTGCTTGAAAGGCAACCTTTGCATAACCCTTGGTCTTTCAAATGCAGAATTTGCTTCAAAATCAGATTTTGAAGGCCATTTGGTTAACTCTTTCTCTGTCAGATAAATATAGGTGAAGTTAAACTTCTACTGTTACCAAAATAATGTTTTGCATTTTTTCATAATCGCAGGGAGCCAAAGGATACGATGTAAGTATTTTAACTCTTGATTTGATTTAGCTGATATTGTTTATTCAACTGCATGTGGCAATATTTCTTGTAAACAGGCATTAAATTGTTTATATACTTTTTCATTTATGTATACAAATAGAAGTTTATAGCTCTTGTTTCTGTTACCAAAATGTCAAATTTTGGAGGCGTAACTGGAAACAAAAATCATAAATATATCTGCTATTAGTTTCTGAACATTCTGCACTTTTACTGTAGAGGCAGCTCAGCCCTGTTCTGGCAAGTTTAAAGCCTAAAATTGTTGGCTTTTTGACAAGAACTTATGTTCTTACCATGATTTGGCAGATTATATTGATTTTTCAGTTCAATATATTCTATCTAGATATTCCTTTTTAGACAAACCATTCTTAAAGTGGTGATCAATTTTCTCCTCTGTTTATGCCTACTCAAAGGCCTATTTATGCACCTGTCGCAAATTGTTTTTGGTTTTGATAAAAGCACAAAAAACGTTTTGATAAAACTTTTCCCAGAAAAAAACTCTTAATCAAATCGGATAATTTTTAACAGTCTGTTTTCGCTTTACAGTCTGTTCGCAACATTTATTAAATATTTTCCTAAATAGTTTGAATTCGCAATTTATTCTCATTTCTACTTTTGATCATTCTGATTTTTTAATCGATGGATATTTTTGTATTTTAGGGTAGAAGAGGCCCAAAGGTAACCTTTTCCCTAGAACTCTTTATATTTGGCTGATTTTGTTTTATTTAATTATAATTTACACTTTGATTAAAGCACTATCATTGAATTATAAATTATAAACATTAAAAACCATTTGCATTCGGGCAATCAAGAAAACATTAGAGATTCAGTTATCTATCACATTTACAAATTTTCCTTTTTAAGCTTGTAATTGGATGCTATGGCGCATAGAAAGGGTCGGCTTTAAATTGCAACTCAGATTTTCATGCGTGACTCAGTAGAATGAATAAGCACTGAAGTATTGTAACAGTTATTCTTTTAATGCCGTAAACTGTTGTTCTATAACCAAAACTTTTTTCACGAAGCTCCTCTTAACACTCAGTGTTATTTCCTTATTGCTTTTAGAGATTTTAGAGTTTACGCATTAAGCAGTTAAGGCATTGAGAAGGCAACAACATTAGTGCAAATTTCGCTCATTTTGTTAAGCTTTGATATTCTGAGACTAACCTTTGTGAATATTACTCCTAAGCATGTTTCCTTTTACTTGTTTTCAGGGTTTTTCTGGAGAACTGGTAAGTTTGCAAAGTTAGCTTTTATATTAAAATTAAATCATTTTTCTTTTATTTCAATCACTGTATCTGATAAGTGTATTTTGTTCTTCTCTTTTCTTATTTTATCTATTTATTTCATTTATTATTTTGTTTTTGACTTGAATAAATGGAGTTTAAATGGAGTAAAATGATTTCTAAACGTATGTGAATAAATGGATGAATGGTAGTGATACTTCCAGTTTTGTTTTGTAAGCAATAAAATCTTGCAGCAAGAATGAAAGTAATAGGGCAGCATTTTGCTATTTGTGTATATAATCATTGCTTGTTTTTTCAATCAAATAAATTAAATTACGTTATTTTTTGCAGGGACCACCTGGACCAAAGGTTGGTATTATATAATACTACACAATATTATATTATATAATACTACACAATATTATATTATATAATATACACAATATAATATAATATAATATAATATAATATAATATAATATAATATAATATAATATAATATAATATAATATAATATAATATAATATATATAATATAATATAATAATAATTAAATAATATAATATATATTAACTTATTTAATAAATTAATATAATTAATATAATATAATATAAATAATATAATATAATTTATCGTTATATTATATTATATTATATTATATTATATTATATTATATTATATTTTATGTCTTATTTTGTTATTCCTTTTGTTTGTTGTTTATCATATTCTAAAAGTCAATTTTTGTCAAGAGCCTGTTTTTAGCTGTTCGATAATTTTTTAGTTTTCTTTTTTTAATTTTTCATTTTCTTTATTACTTTTTAACTTTCTTTATAACTTTTTCATTTTTCAGGGACCAGCAGGAAGTGCCCCCTTATACAGCGTTGTGGTTAGTTGAATACGAACCTTGTATCTGGACTAATTTATTGTGTTTAATCTGCCCCCTGGCACCTTCATTTGCAGCCAAACTTCTCTAATAAACACTTACTTATTTCTGACCGGACAAATGATAATTATTTTCGTTAAAGTGCAAAAGGTGTATTTGCTCGATTGAATGCTGAATGATACTGTTCTTGGTTGAACTTCCAATGTCTATTTTTTGGTTTTATAACACAATCAGGTTTTTATCATTTTTTGCGTCTATCCTTTCAAACCAAGTATCTCTGCATTGTTTTACGGATGCAACTTACAATCAAGGACGGCTATAAGTGTATTGAAGAAGTGTATTGTGTATATGTGCTTGTATCTAAGGCTAGGTGGTTGTATCTAACATTTTTAGGAAGGGTAGGCAAAAATGAAGGGAACAGCCCACGTCGATTACCGATTTTTCCTCTGTTAAAGAATCTAAAATGCCAAAGATTTATTCTTTCATGCTACATACATCTTTAAATCAAACTTTAATTGAAAATTACGATAAAATGAAAAACAGTTTCTTTCAGTATTCTGGTTCGTCTTCTTGGACTTTCTGTTATAGTTGCTTCAACATGTTCATTTTAATAAGAGTTTTTTTCAACTGGGCCAGTTAATATTATTGACATGAAATTTATTTTTCCAGCCTCAGTCACGTTTTATGATGTACTACTACAGAGGAATAACACCAGCAAATACTCCAGTAAGATTTTTATAAAATATGTCTATAAAGAATAAAATCACTTTACTCAAATCTGTGGCACAGGTGTGAGATTCGTGACTTTTCGATTATTCGGTTGAATTCCTGTTTTGCTTAACCTCTCACTTTGAGTTAGTCGTCTGCCTTAATTTCAGGCATTGCAACCAAAGGGGTATAGTTGTATAGAGAATACCTGATTATCATACCCTTCCAGTGTTATGCCAATAAGCTTGCGTTAAAAGATAGAAATCATTCACAATTGTACAGTCAAGACTGAGATTTTGTGTAGCTTATTTTGATAAATATAAAATAATAGATGTTAGACAGCCGATAATAGATGGTTATCAATAGAATAATAGATGTTTGTTTAGAGGAAGTTCTGAACACAAATATGTCTATGTTCTACGGCCTACTCAAGAATAGAATAACTTTTTAACTTCAGCTATTGCAATGGCACTTAGAGTTACGGTAGAGTGAAGTATACTGAATTTAAATATTTGTTGCCGATTTTTTTGCAGAAATTTGTTATGAGTCATTATCTAATGTATTTAACAAACGAAGTTGACGAAATCAAATATCCAATTGGGACGCGAAAGAACCCAGCAACCACGTGCCTGGAGATCAGTGACAACTTGGAAGATATCAAAGATGGTAAAATTACAAATACATTGAGCATAGATATTGAATTATTTGACAATATTGAAATAGTTCTCGAACCTATACCTAGAAGGGTTACCTGATGATTGTATTAAAAGTGAAACTCGGAGAAGCAACTTAAACTGTCCTGTTCTTTTCACCAAAGAGTGTGAAGCTCTCTGCCTATACGGCATCGAACACTTTATGACAGACCAGTAGACTGTACTTGTCATTTGTTCTCCGGATGTGCATGTATCTTCATAAGAATGTAGTTATTAGAAAATGAAATTAATTTTTAATGTCATCTTGAGCTTTCTTTTTATCATTCAAAGCCGCTCATAATATTTTAGCTTTGAATTGTTATTCTCATTATCACAATCGTTATCATGCTATCATGATGATGATCTTGATTATTATTATGATCATAAGCAATGTCACTGTTGTTATGGCAATCAACGTCTTCGTCATCATAGGATAGTCTTTATTAAACCATAATCCTTAAGAATTCGTCTCCACACTTTTTCCAGGTTTCTATTGGATCGATCCAAATAGAGGCTGCAGCAATGATGCGATCAAGGTTTTCTGCAAATTTTCAGACATCCCCGAGACTTGCTTGGAGTCCAACAGTTCAGATGTATGTAACAAATAGATTATAGAAAAACGATTATTCATCTTTTGAAATAATTTCACACTTAACGTACCTATTTACTTTTTTCAATTAATGATCTTCAAATCTGTAATTATCATATCAACTTTTTACAAATATTATAGCAACTTTTTAAAAAACATTATAGCAAATTTCTACAAATGATACAGCAGCTTTTTACAATAGCATCGCAAATTTTTACGGATAATAAAGCAACACATACCGTAAATCCTCAAATTAGCCCCCTGGGGTTCATTTATTTTTGATATTTTTGGATGGGGGCTTTTTCGAGGGGGGCTTATAAAATTATTCTAGACATTAAGAAGACATTATTAAAATACCTCGTTTATTTTAGTAGGAACTTCTTTATGAGCATTTAATCATACACTACCAAATGTATGAATTTGTCGTGGTAATGCAGTAAAACGCCATAGGCAATTTGAGAATTTACGGTAGCAGTGGTGGCTTATTCGAGGGGGGGGGGGTTATTGACAATTTGTAGTTCTAGGGTGGTGGCTTATTCAAGGGGGGTTTTTCGAGGGGGGGCCATTTCGAGGATTTACGGTAAGCTTATGATAAGGCAACTTTTGCGAATTTTATAGCAACATTTTACAAGTATTATAGAACTTTTAACATATTTGACATCAACAGTTACCACTCAAAAGATGGCATGATGCTAAAAACCCTGATGTCCTCATGTTGTCAGATTTAATCAACATAGAAAGAGTAAGTTTCATTTATTTTTTCTGCAATTAAGTATTTCTATACTATTTTGCAAACGTTGTAGAAATATCTATTTCTCTCTGTTTCTTGTCATCTGCTTTTATTCATTTTTCTGTAAAGAACGCTTGTTTTTTGCGTTATCATTTTAATAATCCTGGATCATTTTAAAGCATTGTTTTTAATATCATCATTAATTTTTCATAATCGCATCGGATGTTAGCTAATTATCCCTGTACGTGAACAAAACAGTTTTCCTCCGTTTATTTGTAGCAACCTTTTCCTTTTATGCAGATAACATATGGAACAAAAAAGGCACAGATCAACTTTTTGAGACTTCTTGGCGTTCAGATTCGCCAGGAAATTACAATTGATTGTGTCAACTTCCCTGCGATTTCGTATTTCGACGATAAACCAGAAGGTTTTCTCGTCGAATTTATCGGATGGAATCATCGACATATTGGATCAAATGATATTGAAAAATTTCGAATTATCAAAGACACTTGTAAGAATGTGAGTCTAATCATTTTTGTGCTTCACCATTTTCAAGTAGATTCACTAAATTTATTCATTTTGAAGATATAAGATAATTTTATTTGTTCATTAGTTGCCATATAATTCATAGTTAGTTTCTTGTTCATAAAAAAATACGTCTTGGCATCATATTTCTACAAACTTTTGCTACTCTCTTTTTTCCTTACTCAAGCTGGAAAAACTAAACTTCAATTTGCTCTGCCGAAAGACAGGGAACTTTTCCGGAGGACCCCTGAAATCCTCAATCGAAGGTGCTGAATTGGGGGGGGGGCTGCATTTTTCGTTTCCATAAAAAGCAACCCTGTTTTTCACCCACAAGCCAGAAGTTAATTCTGACTGTTGAGAACTAGCATACTGTCTTTTAGCTCTGTAATTTTAAAGTAGTAAGTTTTATTACGCAATACTGTGACATTCATTATATAGAAGGACACGAGGTTGCTGGGTTCTCATTGCAAATGCCACTAGCTGAAATAAAGCCAACAACCTGGTGTCAACCCTGACTCTTTTAAAGTTTCATGAATCTTTTTATCATATTTGTTGCACAGGATTCGAGACAGAGGGGAGCTGTTGTCATTGAAATTTCAACAAGCCAAAATCTAAAAGATTTACCAGTTATCGATGTTAAAATACAAACCATGGGCAGTCTACGAGAGCAAGTTGGGATAAGATTTGGTAGACTGTGTTTTCAATAATTGAAATTATAAAAATCAATTTTACTGTTATCGTGTAGTTTTTTGAAATCATTACATAATTCTATATTTAAACATTTGGGATTCAAGATCCTTATATTTAATGCCGTTGCTTCAATGAAAATGCTGGGATTTTTGAAAACACAAACACAATACCGAATCTAATAAAAAAAGTTTCTTGCTTCAAACATGTCATGTTTCTATTTTTCTATCCATCAAATGAATTGATTTCTACTGTGATGTCTATGTCTTTAATCACTATAGAAAGGCAATAAATCATGAAGCAGAGAATGAAAATCATTCTTGCACGTTAAGATTCGTTCTTAATGACGTAGAAAGAGAAGCCTTACTGTGGAATATGACATATCACCTTTTACGTTTGACCTATGGAATATGACCTTTAATCTAACAAGTTTGACCTTTGGAATAATAGCTTTTCCCCAAGAAATTCACTTTAGGCCCTATCAACTACTCTCATCTGACTTTTTCTTTTATTTCTAGAAACTTTTAGAAATCGTTAATTTTTAAGGATGATCTTTTGACGGAATTCAATTTTTATGGAAAGTCTTACATATCTAATCATTTTATTTTTTATCAATAACTTTTAGTTTGTAACCTTGATTTTAGAGCGTTTTTTATTTTTATATGAAAATAAAATCAAAGTCTGGTAGTTGACTAATTTTCTATTTAAACGTAGATATTTTTGTGTAAATGGAGATAAGTTATTCACTCATTTTATATATAGTATTAGAAATATATCACTTTTAACTGAGAAGGTTTAAACCATGTAAATTTTAGCTGGGGTTGCATCATTGCTCTCTTCGTTAGTCTAGTAATAATTTTCTGTAAAATTGCAACAAAATATATTGCAAAGTAGCCAAATTACAATTATTTTGTATTCGATCACTTAATCCCTTAGTATTTGAACAATTTTTTTGCGGTACAGAATTTGAAAATGGCTTTGATAAAAGCAACATTTTACGACATACTTAAAGCTTTTTCGTCTGACACTCCTAAGAGCATAAAACGTCACAATAAAATTCCGAAAGAACACGATGGAAAATATATACCCAGTTGTGGATCGAAATAGGCCAATCAGAAAAAAGCAAGCACAAGACCGGTAGGGTTGACCAATCAGTGCCACGAGCCTAAAGAAAAATTATCAATGGAGTCCAAGAGAGAAAACGAACTCCTTCTGTCTACACAATGGCGGCTTTTTCGATGATGGAAGGACGACCGGGCTCTGCCAATTATTCTAGTATTTATTCTAGATCTTCAGAGTTTGATTTTAAATGTACTTTTATCCCTGTTTTGCATTTTGGCTCAGGGGGGGGGCTGTTTTTTCTATTTCCGTGCACCCTTTAGCATACTTTTATACAACAAAGAACCTTACGTTTAGGCAAGAACCCATCTAGCCTATTTGATGATCAAAATCGATGATATATTCGAGTCTGGAAGCTTTGATATGAACTGTTTTAAATGTGTTCTCCTTTTTGATTGGGTTTAGCAGGCTTGCATGAAAACCAAGCCTTTTTATTTGCAAAGATCGCTTTCTTAGAAAATATTTTCTGTTTTACGCTATTACATGTGAAACGTAAGAAACAATTTTTGAAGTGCAGTCGATATCTCTGGGTTGTTATGTCGCTTAGAACGAACTAATAATTGTTAACAATTCCACCTCTGTGAATTGGACTGCGTATTTATATCTCCACGGGGCAGAAAATTGTCCCAGGGTGATCGAGATACAATTGTAACACCCCTTTGGGGCTTTTATTTCAAGTGTTCATTTCCGTACTACTCTGTCTGCAATCGAGGCTGTAATAACAGGACTGCCTTACTGCCTATGCTGAATTCAACAACCACGATTTTTTCGCAGATGGATTGGCAGGTTAGTTGTTTGTTTATTAAGTAACCGATTTTCTCTCCGTTGTCTTTTGCGAAATCAAGCAAGCTGTGTGTTTCCAGGTTTCACCAACAATGTATTGTTAAGTAAGTTTGCAATCAATTGTTATCGAAAGTAAAAGATTTGCGATTTCATTGAGTAGCACCGCAGCAATGCGAGTTGGATACTAAGCATTTGCAATAGTTCTATTAACTTCACCTGCACAAGTAACAATCAGATACGAACTGCGGTCACATACAGGTGCAAAGCAGAAGTATGTCTTCTATTTTGTTGATCTTAATGAAATCGTAAATCCAATCTTTACTTTTCAAGGACGCGGCTTTTTGGCATTTGTCTTGCGTGTTTCTCGCAGGTTAAGTAGAGCAATACTTTATTTATTTTTCTGAATATGTGACAAGATGTTTGTTGTCCTAACATTGATGCCAAGCTGAAGTTAGGATGATAGTCTTAAAAGAATATTTCAAGCAGTACGCATTCCATTTCGGTCAATACGAATATAATTCAGAAGATTTTCGAAATATACAAAGAAAAGTAGCCGTTATTTGGGCTTGACCGTGAAAATTAGACTGAGCCTAATGAAACTATCCTAAATCTTTTACGAGAAAAGTTAGACACGTATCAATTGAGATAAGGTGTAAATGAAATTGACAGGACTGCACCACTATTCGAGGAGACTCGACACACGAGTAAACACTTCTTGTGGGTTATACCTTGTTTTTGCTTCCTTAGACCGCATTTTAAGTTATCTTCAACCTAGTCTGCAGACGATTGACGAGCCCTACAAATTTTAATGAAACAAGTTTAGTTGCGCATCAAAACGGTATCTTGTGCAACCTGCTGCGACTAAATATGTTACCGTAAATTATCAATAATTCAAGTAAAAATAGTCTTTGGTGAAGGTAATATAGTATAAAAAACTTACCCTAAGGAACTTAGAGTAAATCTTAAATTCAGGGGCAGGGGTGTCACTAGCTATTGTTCTCAAGAGGTTTATCTGTGTCCCATTTGCCGACAGAGTGGGCAAGGCATTCTTAAATTGCCGACGAAGCACCCGTGGATGGCAAAAAACTTCGTTTTAGCAACAGTTTTTCAAGCGGGTGTCACACCCCACACACCCTGTCTTTAGGCATGTTTCAGATTAGGAAAACAGTTAGCTGGCTCAGATATGTGGTATTTTGAAAAGCAAAGGGGCTGTCAGGAAAGTTTTCAAAGAGCCAAAGCGATTAAAGATAGTGTTACCTTCAGTTTTAACAAAGAGTCTAAGCTCTCGAACTTTCTTACTCTACATCTTTGAACTGCCTTAAAAGAAAATATTAGCAACGTTTTCAATATATGAGAATTAGTTTCATAACTACATTCATTAGACAATCTTCTCAAAGGCCCTGTGGAACTGAATTTTCTGAAACGTATTTGCGAATCGATGAAAACGAAGGACATTTCTATCTCAAGACCTTGTTAAAATGTAGTCTTTCAGAAACTGCCAATCAAAAATATAACCTTAATCGCCTAAAGCATAATGTAACTTTTGTTATTGAATTCATCATATTTTATATCAATTAACGATTGCACGGAAAAAGAAATACTTTATGGTGACTTTCTCTACAACATCGCATGATTCTTTGTTTAAAAATCTTATTCGTGTAGAATATTACCGTACTAATCACAGTTAAAATTGAGTTATCATGTTTTTTAATTATCTTTTCTTCATGATTATCAAGAATATTTCAGTTCTGTTAATCACAAAGACAAAATTATCTTCAAATTTATTGTAAGAACCGTCATGCACTACTTTGGCTAATTTTAAGCTTGAACATTAACATCAAAATCATTTTCTTTATTATAGCGAACAGAATCAGCAAACAGAGAAACGCCTGACTCAATGCAAAGCTCAACGATAGATCTCCTCTAACTTCCGCTGAATGACCAATACAATTCTTTATGCCAAAATTAAAAAACCACGCTTTAGTGGAGATGTCTGATCTTTATTCTCTAATCCTAAAATATCATTGAGTTCTTCGTTTCCAGAGACAAGCTAGTTGTATACAACACCTGCAAGTTGACAGGGAACATTGTCGGGTATGCCGACTAACCTTTACTCGAAACTCAGCAATTCTTTTTATCAGGTATGGAAAAGTAGATTTTGTTATATCAGCAAAAATTGATAATTTATCAAGAGCTTTTTAGAAGACTCTTACTACGGTCTTTGGAGTTCACAGTCAGTAAATAATTTCACAATTCCTGGACTAAATTGGCCTATTGTTTATGCTTTTCAATCGCTAATTTTGTCTACGTCTGTATTGATACTCCCTGTTGGTGTATTTTTTGAAAGTCTAGATGAAGCTTATCGTTTTCAAGAAAATTACCTCTGCTTTTTGTTTCTTGCAGGTACAGATTGCTAACGGCATTATCAAGCAGATGGAGATGAACTCTGCACATCAGTCAATCTTGTACGACTGCTGTCATGTTTTTTCGTTGCATGACAACTGACTCGAGAACTTTATCATTAACTACGGGAAGATTATTTGCACTCAAAAGCAAATCTGATTGAGGAGGGTGAACAATATTTCAAGCGGAGGTTTATCAAGTAGAACTGTTTAAAGAAACCGAGGAAGTAAAATACACACATTTGTGGATCTCAAGTATCAAGTAATTGTAATATTTATATGAAGTATCAACAAAAGATTGGTTCGGTTTTGGAAAGGTAAGAACATTTTTGTGAAAACACTTGTCGTGAATCCTGAAAATTCGTTAAATTTATAATTCTACCAATCGATTTCATTTCACTAGCTTCCCAAGGCCATATTTCTTTTTCAGTTGGGATTGAATCAGTTTTGACTGAAACGTAAAAGAAACACTGATTATTAAGACTGCATACGTAATTCAAGTTTATAGCCTTTTCCCAGAATGATAAAAAATGCTTGCTTAACATAGAAATAAATTCAGGTTAGCGACAAAGAATTCGTCATTTTAACAAGCATTGATTAGTTTAGGGTAAAATGGTTCAAGCACATAAGCTAAAGTTTTTGCCTTTGATAAATATAGTAGCCAAACATGAGAGCAATTGAGAATTCACTTTTGAGAATGTCGCAGCTATGGTTTTGGAAACACTTTTTCAGGATTCTCATAAAACATTATTCTCATCAATGCCTTTTGAATGGTTTGCAGATATAGGAAAATCAATTTTCTAATCAATAAATTGCTGACTGATTTAATAAATAAGTAAGGGATTACTTCGAAATGGAAAAAAATTTGCGGGAAATACGGGAATTACATTTTCAAAAGGCACTAGGAAAGTTTAATTAATAAAAATTTCATTAAATTACTACTCTTTAACCATGTTTTTTCGAGTGTTTTCTTAGAGAAGTTTTGTAGCTAAGAGGGATTGTCTTATAGCAGGGTGAAAATTGTCCAGGTTGCTGTAAGTATCCCTTGGCAACATACCTGGGAAGAATCACGTGACAAAGCATCCAGAGTTACTTAATGCAAAATAGAGACGCTATCACACCATTGAGAAAGTATATCAAAAGTACTTGTATATTATATCAAGAAAGATGCAAGAGGGATCCAAGCTGTTTGAGCTACCTGAGGTGGCTTAAGACGTGGCATTGTGGTATTTAGAAGAGCATAAACAACTGTTTTTTTTCTGGAAATGAATCTTTTATAACTCTGAGGATTGAGTTACAATTTAACTGGCATTCTTGCAATATGATGGTTTATAATCAATTCCAAAGTTCTAACCTGCATTGTTTGCATTCCAAAACCTTTGATGTAAAGGACAGGTTGAGATGGTGGCATGTAAACAAATTATTGTTTGGTGTATGCATAATTCATTGTTCTAAATGCAACTTGTAATAGTTAACCAATGTATAGCAAATGCTTTTTGCTTACTGGGTAATGTTTTTCATTTCCCAGAATTCCATGCTCTTACATTATTATTGATAGGTGCTTACTGTTTTGATGGCGCAGTTAGGTAGCGGCTTTTTTTCAAGAAGCTGGAGACAGCTAAGTTAAAAAAGCAAATTAAAACACAGTTGTGCAGTGAATCGGCAATGCAAAGTAGATCAACCGCACTGAAAACCTACATTGATGACTCTGTACTGTGGCAACAGCACTAAATAAACTATAAAGTACAAAATCCAGAGAAGAGAGTCTGGCTGTTTCCGAGTCTGTCTGTTACTTTCGAAGTAATAGCGAAGTAAAGGATACAACTCAACAGAAAATGTACAATCGTTGGTACAGGATGCAAGACCTCGCTCCTTCTACATTGCCAAAACTTTTGCTGATACTTTTGGGTCTCACTGGCATTGTACATACCTCAAATAAAATTGCACTTGTGTTGTATGAAACGGATCTAAAAGGCTTGAATTCTTCACTGATCGAAAACAAGCTTTCTTTATCTGGGACCAGAGATAGAGCTGTTGAGCTGAATTATCAAACTTTGCGAAAAGCAAGCGGAACTAGCGAGCATATTCTGAATTCGACATTGGTGGAGATTTTGAAATTGAACGATTTTGTTATTTCATTTTTGAATGGAAAAGGCTCAAGGTTGTTTGATGAAGTCCTAACAAGCAGTGGGTTGAGGCATATATCGCTAAGTCCGCAAGACTGTCATATTGTAAGTCGCATTTTTAATTTCTTTTGTTCATTATTTGCTCTTGCTGTGATAAATAAACCGAACGAGAAATGGTATTGTCCGTGGGATTTAGTAGAAAACCTCTAGATACATTTATATGTGTGTAATAAATAATTCATTCGAAATAATTGTTTCTTATAGAAAAGGCTGAAAATTTACAGTAATTTGCAAGCTTTTGTTGGCTAAATTTTGCAGTAATTTTTTTTACTGAACCATAACATCTCGAGGCCATAAACTTTAAGCATCGTTAAAGTCATAAATGTTTGTTTTTAGAATTCATTTAAAGAGGTATATTGTATATTTTTTTCTTTGAGTCCTTTTAAAACGTTCTAATTCACTACCGATTTCAATTTTTGGTTGATATAACAGCTCTTTGCAATGAGAATGTTTCACATTAAGGGATAGCTAGTTCTTTCCATGGCATTTTTTGATTGGCCAAATCTCAAGGAGGGCAGGCTTATAACGAAACGACCTCGATAGGAGACCCTTACGAGAATAAAATACAGGAGCATGGGACGTGGAGGGGAGTATGCTGTCGAAAAAGGCAGTATCATTTTATGTTGCATTTGTTCTTATAACCGGTACGAAGGGGCTGCACAATACGCTATTTTAGAAAGTTATGTTCTGCATACATTGCCAAAAGTCTTGGTACACTAATGGCAGGTTCCCAGGGCAAATTCAGCCATTCCCCTTTCCCCCTTTGAACAATGTTGGTTTACTACAAAACAACCTAGGGGATTAGGAAGAACGCTTTTTTCTGCGACTTCTATGTTATTTTGCTAAATTATCAACATTGTTTAGGGAGGAAAAGGGTGCGGAAATAGGAGTATCCGGGAAAAGAAGTGAAACAAATAAAGACGTAACGCAAATTGCTGGTGGTTCCAAGTACTTTTGGTAATGATTGTAGTTGTGATTGCGTTTTGCAACCAGTAACTTCCTTTATACTCAGTTGCATATTAATATATCCTGTTGCAACCTGTAAACTCTCAAGCTTCATAAAGCTGTTATTGCGTTTGTTGAATCAACTTACTTATTCATCCATAATGAGGATGGTCATATATCAATAGACAATCCTTACCGCATTTTGAAATATTAATTTGTGGCAATTGTAATATGCAGAAAAATTATCAAGAAAGCCAAAATGATTACAATAAAATAATATTTTAGGATTACAATGGTCATCATCATAGAATAGATAGATGTGGGAAGTTGTCATCAGAAGTCAAGGATGCCCTGCTGGTGTTGTATCGTCATCTTGAAGCCTCAAAAATGGCGATCTTATCCAGCCAAGAGCCTTGCAGCAAAGGATTTACGAAGGAGCTAACAAAAGATTTATCCAAGAAACAAAGTATGTATAGTGCCAAAAAGCGTACAAACGTATCTGTATATGAATTTGGTGAAAACCCACTAGATGTAAAGGAAATTTCCAGCCTTCTTCAAAGAATCAAAATATTGCAGCCCAAAGTTATTCTGCTCTCCTGTCCAATAGATGTACAAAACATTGTTCTCAGGGTGAGTGTTCCTTTTTTTAAGGCTAGAATTGTCATCATCAGATATTTTCTTTCCATTGTATATCGTAAATATCTTTGTATCAGATTCATTATTTCTTATTGTTCCATGTTCATAATTAGGTGCGAGGATGGCTCAGTTGTTAGAGGCGCTGACTACAGACCCAAGGGTCCGTGGTTCGAGTCTCTGGCATGACCAAACTTTCACCCAGAGTGGGGAGAGTCGCCAGCTCTCTGTAATCCAGGCGTAGGAATCACGAGGTGTGGTCACATCGAGAGGAAGGACCAGGACACTGCTTCTCAGTGTCCTAAAAACTACCTTCGGATGCTAGGTAGCAACAAATACAAAATACAAATATTCATAAATAAAGCATTTTTTATTTATATAATTTAGTATGCTCTTTAGTAGTTGATATTATTTATATGATGTTTGCATTTTGATAGTTCACTCGATTTCTCTACGAAATTCTTTAAGCTCGAATCCCAGTTCAGGGACTTGATCAGTGGCTTTAGACTCAAGTAATTGTTACTTTACAATAAGATGATTGGAAACAAGTAGGCCATCTAGACTGTAATACTTAAAAATAGAGATGAAGTTCCTTTAACAGATTGTCTATGAGTGCTTTTTTGAAAGTTGTGTTGAGCTCTTATTCTTACGCTTGGCTTTGTAAAGATTAACTGTCTTCCCTATTTCAATTTTTTATTCTCGCTTCTTTGAGAATAACTTCTACAAACAAAGTGGTAAAAGGGCAAGGTGTGTCCCCTCAACGTCTTTTTATTTTTCAGTACTATTTCAGTATTTATAAATACTATACTGTTGGTTGGTTTCCACATAATGTGTAAAAAGTTTTAAGTGACAACATCCTAAGAAGACAAACGAAAGGGGGAAGCTGAAGGGTCTTGGTCAGCGGAAACAACAATATGCGCTGTCAGCTGACGAAAAGCCGAGCAACACTCGCCGTTATTTTGCTCCTTCGCCGCGTTCATGCGTACAATAAATAGACTTTGTCAGATTTATAATGACATTAAGAACGCAAAAATCTACTTTGATTCAAGACAAGCATTGAATTTTATGTTGATGATGTTTTTTTCTGATACACAGGTAGCAGCAAGGCATTCAATGCTTGGGTATGGAGACATTTGGATCATACCTCAACTCGATAACACACTAGATAGCAAACTGATTCCAATTCAGCTCATAACAGTAAGAAGAACATTTGAGTCCAACCAATTACCTATGCTTGACAATGACCAAGTGATATCTGCAGTGGAACATGCGATGAAAATCATGAAGAGTGACAACCAGAGGTACAAACATTTTCAATAAATCGAAACTGTAAAAAGAAAAATGTAAAAACTAGGAAACTTTCGTTTCTGTATTTTTGTTACGTTACTTTTGCCTTTGTGTTTCCTGTAAAATTTAGAGTAAAAGCCAACACGAAGAAAGAAAAGAAACAATAGTCCGTGATGAAATTAAAACGATTTTTAACGTTGTACTGTGAATTTTAACCAACCTCAAGATAGCTGTTTCTAAAGTTTTGCTTGAATGTAAAAAGTTTTCGACATTTCTGGCATTTGCTATTTCCAAATCTTTTCCTTCAGCCGTCATCTACAATATGTGACAAAATCAACAAAACTTTCTCCGTGTAGAAGCAACAAATTGTCTAAGGTCACAGTGCTAGCAAAGAGTGACAAGACTTCAGATTGGACAGTCGTCTACATGAAAGACAAGAGTAAAAATTATCAATTTCTCGCAGACAACGGACTCGTTATGAGCATTTTCAACACTGATAAAAGGACTACATTTTTACGTATGGTAACAGTAATTGATGCTCCTTTCACAATGGAAATGCCTTATCTTGGCATTGGTGACGGTGATTTTTATCAATGTGAACGGGGATTGGTGTGTCGCCTCCCCAATTCAAATGCAAACACAACAGCTCGTTCTGTGTGGCGGTATTCTTGCTGCATTGGATATTCAATGGACCTGTTGAGCCTACTGATGCAAAAGTTGAGCTTAACTGTTGATTTGTATATTGTTGAAGACGGGTTCTATGGCTCTCTAATCAACGGGTCCTTCAATGGCATGATTGGCGATGTAGCCAGTGGGAAAGCTGATGTAGCTGTTGCTGGCTTGACTGTAACGTCCAAAAGATCGACGGCTGTAGATTTCACCTCGCCTTTTATCCGGCAAGACATCGGAATTGTCACAATGTCTAAGAAAGATGCACTGCCATTTATCAACTGGCAATTTGCCTATCCCGTTGACAATATAGTGATCATCATTGTCTTCATGGGAATTTTGCTTGGCACCTTCCTTACGTATGGCATGGAAAATAAAGAGCTCGTGGTTAGACGTTTGCTTGATCCGAAGCAAAACCCCCCGCGCTATTCATGGCGGGAAGGCTTCACGTATTATTCTGGGCTGACATTTCAAAGAGATCTGGGAGGGAAGAATCCATCAGAATTCGGGAGCCGTGTTGTTGCTATTGGCTTCGCCTTCGCAATGCTAGTTGTCATGACGACGTATACAGCGGTTCTAACTGCAACTAAAGTAGCCCAGAGAGACCCAAACCCATTTGTTGGCATAAAAGATCAGAGGGTTAGTATTCAAATAATACATAAGTCAAAAATCTCTATTTTTTACATCCTATTTTATCCATTTTTACGTCCCATTTTTTACATCCTTTTGCATATCTATAATTCAATCTCGGTGGAAAATCTAGTCAAATGACAAAACTAGTCTTGGGTCTGATGGGATAGACATAGAACAATCTTTAATGTCGTGAAAACCTATGTAACTTTTATTTTGTTATGACTAGAGCTACTTTCGAACTGTCACTGGTGTTCTGAGCTACTTCAAAACTTTCAGTAACGTATTTGCGTTTTATAAAAAATGAACTCTGAAAACTACAACATAGGGCCTGTTAAACATAGCAACTTATTTCCGGGTAGCTAGATAACTTGCTCGTTGGACACCGATATCAATTATCCAAAGAACATGACGAGTTAAAAGCAGGCTATTGCACATGCTTACACATTTTTGAGAATTTTATGTTGTTTGTGATTTGAAATTGATGTTTCTGCGACTAAGGTTTTGCTTTGGACAAAAACACTAGCTATTTTTTCCCATTGCATCTGGTTTTCTCTGTACATATTATTTTCCAGTTTCCCTTCAATAGACTAAATGTTGAACAGTGCCTTTTGCTACTTTGATTATTCAACGAGCAAATATTCACAAATAAAACACAATTTTCATCAAATTTAAATTGCAAAAAGTCAAAGTTTAAGTCACCAGAATGCTAAAATGACAAATATTTTTGCAAGAAAATACAGATCTATCTTTGCAAAAAAACAAAACAAGTGAAAGCATACACAAAAGGGTATAGAATTATTAATAATTTTTGCTGTGTAACGAGGAAGTTCAAGATGACTCGAAACCTTTGACGTTTTCCCTGTGTAAGAAAAATGGTGAATAAGATGGGAAGAAAAATGGGCAATGGTTTTTGCATGATATTTTCACCTCCTAAAAGAGGAACTTAAGCTCTAACAGTCATAAGAAATGTAGCTCCCTTTAACTATTCAATTGACACAATCATTAATAATTTTTGGCCCTTTAGAGGCTTAAACTTAGAAGTCAAAATATTTTGGACAGTTGGATAAAGAAAATAGCTACTCAATTGCTCTATGAAAAATGAAATGGAATGGAAAGATGGCAACATGAACACTCTTTTTTAAACATTGTTTATAAAAATATTTAGGCTGAGAATCATCTAATTTTTAAAAATATTGTAAGAACATTGCCTAGTCTCAGGTCACATATTTGCGTCTTCTTTTTCAGCAGTTGCCTGTTTTGCGATGTTTATAACAGGGAATCTCAGAATGAAATATCTCATTTTTCAAAATACGTTTAAGAGCGGACGATGTTCCGGTACAACCACATCTGATGACAAAAAACACTTTAAGAATTAAGAATGAATTTTGACAAAAGTGACAAAAGAATGCTTTGAAATTTCTTAAGAATCTCGGGGATAGAAAACCTTATACTATTCTTATAAGACCAGACATGTTGAAAGCAAATGAAAGACGTAGTTCTCCTCTGCATGAAAAATTTTATCGGAAATACTTATCTCCTCGAAAAAAACCAGAGCCCCGAGAATCTGTAGACCTGTGATATCATTAGGAGAACACGAGGCTAAATTTTGGCAAGGGAACTTGCAGATGTGTATTTGGAGATTTAGCGCATTGAACGGGATTGAATAATAACTTGCTTTGCTTTAACTGCATGGGTGTCACAATGTCTCTTGTTCTTTCAACTTTTGTGAACCATCCTATATGACGCTTCCACCCCTATGCTATGCTTTCTTAATCAATTTTCCACACTCAATTTCATTCACAATCTTTCACTACTACTAGATGAGAAACCCAACTCCTGATTTCAAATTTGCAACTGTTCCAAGCACAAGTATTGAAAGCTTCTTCAAAAATGCTCCTGATGAAACATTTCAAAGAATGTATCTGTTTATGCTGAAATATAATGTGCGCACTGTGGAGGAGGGGCTGAAGCAAGTAAAATCTGGGTATATATTTCATCCTTCTTTTCTTTTCAATTTCTTTAACGTGTTTATTTAATTGCTAAACATTAGTCCGTATTCTAACTTCGTATCTTTACTAGTGTCAATCAGTGGTGGATTTTATGGGGGCAACTAGGGGCAATTGCCCCTCCCTCCACGAGTTGAAGCAAGTCTGGCGCCGTTTTTGGAAATTGTGCACCCCTTTTGAAGAATGAGAATCAGGTTAAAAAGTTTCTGAGACCGATCGGTTAATTTGCTTCAAGGATTACCTCAAAGTTATGTTGTTTATAATGAACATGGATCTGAAATTGTTGTATACAGCATACTCTCGTCATCAATTTTTTTGAAATTTTTCAGCGCCCCCACTAAATTTTTCAGCACCACCGATTGCCCCTCCTTCAAATTTGCTCTGGATCCGCTCCTGGTGTCAGTGACTACAAAGCATGAATTACTGCTGACATTGTTAATATGTCTGAAGTAAATTCCACTTAGTTCACAATCCTTGACTAAGCTTTTGATCATATATCCTCTCACTTACCCTTCTCCATTCCGAAGTTAGAGCATATGTTTTCTAACAGCTCAAATTTGTCATATCTATACGCTGTCTATCAAATCTTGAAGAAGCCTCGCAATTCTACAATCATTCAAATAGGTTGTAAAAATTTCAACGTTGTAAACAAATTGTCGTTCTTTTAGGAAAATTCAAGCATTTATCCACGAATATCCATTTCTGCTTTACTTTTTATCAAAGCAGTCCAAATGTGAAATGAAAATAACAGGTGAGCCAGTTGGCCAATCAGGATTCTCTCTAGCACTTGCCAAGGGATCACCCTGGACTGACAGGATGTCTTATGAAATCTTGAAATTAACAGAAGCTGGAGTATTGACTGATTTGAATAAAAAATGGTTATCAGCCTCTTGTTCAGAACAGAATGACAATAAACTTTCACCAGAGAGCCTCTCTCTGGAGTATTTTGGAGGTCTGGTTCTGTTTATTTCAATAACTTTTGGGGCGATGTTTTTAATGCTGCCAATTGAATACGCATATCGAAGATATCCGAGGAAACATATAGACAACCTTGCAAATAGCATATCAACGTGGAAGCAAGCAAGGGAGCATCGGATTGCTTTGAAAGCGAAGCCAAAATTGAAATCCATATCATCTGATAGTGCCCTAGATGGCCTCGCTATGGATAGAAGACCAATAACTGTAATTTAGAGAATTCAAATTTTACAAATTGAAACTTTATTGCGATAGCATCGCTGTAAATGTTGTAGGCAAGTCATCCTTAGCATTCGTTTACCCTTTCTACGTTTACGAACTGTTTTACATCAGTATTTGCTTTGAAAGTCTTATGAAGGTCTTTGGAAGTATACAGAAGATACCAGGGACAGATTTAAGCGACAAGGATTGGGGGGGGGGGTATTGGATAATGATTGGACGTTGTGCCACACCCTTTATGTGACTATAAAAAACTGATGGAAACGGCAATTTTTAAAACTCAGTTACTTTTAGATAAAGAAGATAAGAACAAAAAGATATTAACTTTTTAGTATTGTTTTGCTGCTACTGACTACCAAAAAATGCATTTACCGAATCAAAGCAAAATTTACGGAAGAACACAAGAATATTGGGGGGGGGGGGATGTCGCACTCCCCATAACCCCCGGTAAATCCTGGAAGATACTTAGTAACTGTACCTATGAATCATATAATGGTAGCTTTTTTGCAAATCAAGATGGCTTATGTCAGCCCTGCCAAGAAGTTATCAACTTAACCAATAAGAGGCAAAGTTTTTCATTGAAATGTAATGTATTTAATTTGTATGTTTTTATCATGACTGTATATCTCTCTTGTTTAGAAGTAATTAGTAAATGTTTGTGAGTATCTTCATTTCTGTGTTGTGTGTCCTAGTGCTGAATACCCAAATACTGTATATTTTGCAAATAATTGGAGGTGAAAAGAATATCACTTCTAGATCGAAAATGACAAGAGAGGCAGAATAACGTATTTGGTTTGTTTCTTGACTACAGTCTAGATAAAAAGCTTATAAAAAGATTCCGTTCTTCGAATGGCCAACAGGCCCTCAGGTCTCCTTTCTCTCTGCTTGGATATTAAAAATGTATGTTTCGAAACATAAAATTGCTACACGAAGCATACCTAGAAAACCTAGAGTCTAGAAAATTTCAAGCTAAAACGGCATCAAGCATTCACACATTGAATATGTCGATCATGCTCTTGTGATAGTTCTCTACGCTATTACAGTATAATTCTAAGAGAAAGTCGCAAAAATCATTCGGCCAACACCTGCATATGTGAAAAGTTTTCATAAAACTTCGTAGGAGAAACAGTAATAGGATCTTAGACAACTCGCTCGCCGTGGTATTGCCGTGTTCTCCTCAAGTCCCTAAAGATACCGCAAATGAGAAACACAAAGATTGCGAAATAGAATGAAACAAGTTAATGTTTACCCAACATCAAATTGTTATTCTACTGCTGCATTGAACATTCTGTCAAAACAAAACCGCAAGCGTATAATTGCTAAGTCGATTGAGAGAAATTGCCTCGCTCAGCATTTTCTTTAGCCAGCCGTGCAGTCGTGATTTTATAATAGCCCTTCATTCCATATCGAAAGTGTGTAGGCAGCTCGTTAAGTTTGTGAAGAAGTTCCTGATAGAAATACTGTAACTCCCTAACACCCCAACTTCCCAGAAGAATCCCGTATTATTCCATTTGTGATTTCGTCATACTATTATTTATAGAACATGCATAGCCTCTTCTTGAGGATGGGCGCAAACTTAAAAACGAGACGAACTTCGCGATTGCAAAACAGTTCTAACTTGCAGAAAGTGAGATAAATTTTTTATGTCGGGAAACTGTTTGCTATTTTAACACTCTGTGCAGCGTGTATGGATATTTAGAAAGCTCTTGATGTTGCATTTAAATATCATGCAAGTATATTGAAGTAAAAATTGTGATAGAGCTCCATATTTTTTTAATTCTAAGCATTGCCTAAAAAGACAAATCAAAGTATCAACGAGGATATGCCAATTTTTCGAAAAAGCATGGGGAAAGAAGAAAAGAATTTGTTTGAGAAGAAATTTCAAGTTGTAAGTACAATCTCGAGTTGTTTGTTTTTATAATCATTGCTCAAACTAAATATTTTTGATTTATAAGTGGGTAGTAAGTCACGCTCACCGCATGTTTAATTCTACCACTATCTGCCCTGTGGCCGTGCTAGGTGCTATGGATGCGTTAATATTCTCCTTGATAAATTTATTTACCAATTCATTGTGCTATAATTGTCCCGAGACAATAGATTAAGTTTGCATTACAGTTTTCATTGGATCAGTTGGTTAGTTCTATTTGCATCTTCAATCATTAACTATACTAATTTCTAAACTTTTAGCTGTTATTGACAAATGATATTTTTCCAAGTTAGCGGAATTTTCGTTTAAAAATGACTAAAATAAAGGGTGATTTGATTTGTCACCAGTTTAGGTGTATATAACCAGGGAGATTATATTATGGTGGTAATTTGCAAACAGCTATTTACTAGGCTTAGTTAAAATTAAACATGGTTAGGTTTTGATTAGGAAGAAAATTATAGTTTGCTACATAGACTATTTGATAATATATATAAAATATGAAAATAACCTTTGTTGCAAATGCAAAGTTCATATCTGAATGCAGATGAACCCCCTCCTCCTTAACAGCCATGTTCTGTAAACTGGGACAATAATAATTTGTTGATAACCTCTTACAGGGGCATCACCAAGACATTAAATACTGAAGTCAGGGCTCAAAGTTGACAGCATTATTTGACTAAACAAAATTTTTGAAAAAAATACTAAATGCATCGTGATATTTTATGTAGCAAATAAGGCACACTGCAAAGCACTGAGAACAAACAACAATAAACATACGTAAATTAGCTTTTGCCTCAGCATATTGGGCTTCATCAGAGCAAAGTGTACAGGGCATCATACATTTCTATTGACTTTTGGCCATTAGAATTCCATCGATCGGAGTCTATCAAGAAATTTGCTTTTGTGACCTTTCCTTTTTTTACACACATGACATTTTATGCCTATGATTTAATGTGAACTCTTTATGTTGAGATATTGCCATGGTTGCTAAAGGCTTTTCGAGGCCCTATAGCGAAGCTGCAAAATGATACCCTCCTGCAACCGGAACAAACAGAACATTTTTGGGTCTACGCTCTTTAGAATAGCTTAAAATACACTGCGGAAAATATTTTGCAGTAATCTTCTTGCAGTTTTTGTTTTGGACATACTTACATTTGATAAATTCCATTCTTAAAATGATATTATTTTCTAAACAAGGCCCTCTAAACCTGCAGGTCCTGGGGAAGTTCGACCTATTTTTCCACATAAGTTTTTATATAAATGTAAATGTAATCAAACCTGCATAGCTTGATTTCTTTGTGGTTAAGTGAAAAAAAGATTTATTGCCCAATTCTTTTCCAAGCATTCTTTATTGCAAAATGAGGAGGACCAAAGTCCCATAGCTACCCTCTGACACACTCAATGTTTTAATAGAATTTTGAACTTATGGAAACTGAAATATTGAAAATTCAATAGGAACATAGAAACCATAGACAGATGTTTTTTATGCCTTTATATCAATGAAAACATTTCAATCAGATTAAATTTGTGCATTGAAAACCTTTTGTGTTTAGTTAACAAACCTTAAAAGATATGCCTTAAAGGAAATTTTTATTTTGTTTATTAATGACAGGATATGCCAGTATTCTTAATATTTTATAAGAAACTCACTATAAGAACTGTGTACTTGAAAATCAGGAAATTTAAGAAGCTTCGTTACTCGAAACAAAAAGATAAAAAGAAATTTTGAAGAAGGCCATAACTCAAAAACTCCACGAAAACCCACTTCTACCTGCCTGCTCTGAATAAACATCTCCATGTTCATGTCATGTCAAAAATAAAATTGGAAACCATCTTTTTATTTTAGCTGACTTTGTTTGATTTTTGCAATCAATATATATGCATTTATTTCTGCCAATTTTCCAGCGACTGCAATAACTTCACACCAGCCTATTGGATCATATTTTTCAGGCTCAAGAGAAACCAGATGAGTTTTTTGACCTCACAAACTGTGGAATGCCTACAGTAAGTAATTTAAAGACACTTTTTTGCTAGTCAAAAAAAAAGCCAAATTTTTTGCATGATGTTTTCAGGATAATTATAATAAATAACAGCAAAAGTCTTTAGACATTTTTCAGTTTTATTTATTGAAATGACTGGGCATTACTCTCATTTAAACTGGAAACTTATTTCCGAACAATGTTGAAAATTGATTTTGAAAGTTGCAATAGAATATTAGTTTAAAAAGCATGTAATTGAGATCAAAATCAATAAATAAAGATTATTTACACTTCTTTAAGTAGCAGAAATATCTTTTGCAGGTTCCAGATAAAGTTTATGCATTTTGCAAAATTCTGCAGAAAAAGGTTTGAACTCTTTATCCAAATTGATTTCTTAGTTTATCAGTTTTTGTTAAATCTCTTATCTTTTATTTCGGAAGTTGAAAATGTGTAATTCTTTTTTTTATCCAGAAAAAGCATAAACTAATAATTAGGTAAAGGTGTATATTTTATGCCAAACAAAATATTTAAATAGCACAGGAAAGTGGTATTATCAGTACTATTGATGCTACAGCTTTTCTATTAGATTTTTAAACTTTGTGATACCAGAGATTTATATAACTTTTGACTTTCAAGTGTTATAGACACCCGCAAAAGATATTTTTTTATTTTGCCTATTGATAAATTTTTAATCTAAAAATTACTGAGATTGTAATCAGTTTTGCATTGTTAAAAATGCATATAGTGTCATGTGACTCCCTAAATGATGAATGCTGTACTTTAAAAATTATTCATGGAAGGGCAAGGTAATGTTTCCGATAAGAAAGTAATCTTAAAAGCAAATTATATCGCTATTTTTTTAGATGTAGGTGCGTGACAAAATGGGTAACTTGTCTTGTCTGGGTACATGTCTAGGTGTTGCTGTGCAATCACGCATCTCAATCTGAGAGACCTGGTTTAAACATTTTTTCTTAACTTTTTTCTATATTTTTCAAAGGTCTATATATCTCTGCATCCTTTCCGTCAGCATGTTTATTGTGCTACTTGAAAGGCAGTAGGAGCTCCATCTGGTACAATGAAAAATGTGTTCCACGAAAGATGGTTGCTTAAAGATAAATGATAATGATAAGATTGTACAGAAATATGTTCACAGACTGCACTTTACCCAAAATTAGCATCAAATTATGGAATTTAAGCAGGAAGTTATGAATTGCTCAGCTCAATTAAAGATATTGCTTCAAGTTCAGGATCAGCCATGCTTGCTCTGAAATCTCTAGGGAGAGGTCTGTTTTATGAGAATGCTTGTTGTCTCATAAAAATTATGATTAGTTGTACTAAATAGCTAGAGTTTTAGGTATACTGCAATGAATTGGAGTGGTGGTGCATTCTGACTTTGCTTCTTATTCAATGAATAGCATGGGCAGAAGTGTGTCTAATTTGCTGCAGAGCAGAGTTATCTTGGGGATAAAGCAATTGTAACATTATATAAAGAATTTGCTGCCAATTTTTACTGTTTGTTTTATCAATTTATTTGTAGATAATGCTTTTGCAATATAACAGAATTCATTCATTGAATGGTGCAAAAATGGAAGAATTTGCAATGTTACAAGTATGTGGAATCAGTTGCCATTTTTTAGAATCAATCTTGTGTTTATAAAGTATTAGATCCTTTTTGATTGAATAGTTATTGTAAATGTTTAATTCCCACTCTTAGAAGTCTTTGCTAGCTAGCCTTTTCATTAACAGAACAGGGGTAAAATGTATCAGTTATCAAAGGAAAGTCTAAACAAGAAAAAGGAAATGTTTTTCTCAAATTTTTGGTGGTTCAAAATTAAGAATTGCCTTAAGAAAAAACAATCATTTCAAAACATGCTCATGCTTTTGTCTTTGACCCTTGATAGTGTCAGCTGAAAAGCTGTGGTAATATGTTTTACAACTTTTGATTTTTTAAAATCCAATTTTAAATTTAGTTGTGCTCAGGCTCTTTTGGTATAATTGTGCTTTTTTGTCTATTTTTATGGGACAGGCTTTAGGCATATTTATGGGACAGGGTCAGTGTAGAAAAAGGTTTTTTGCACAACCCCCTCACTTTCCTGGTCAGTTGCCCCCCACGCAGGATCTAGGGTGTAGAAAGAATTGTTAGGTTGATATGGCTTTAATGAAGAAATGTATACTGACTGTATTCTGATAAAAAAAAGATAAATCATTTTTGCTCACCTAAGAAATATGCAATTTCAAACAATGCAGGAATATTAATTTTCACCTTTGTGTGGTTGATTAAGGATGCATTCATGTTTACTATTCTTGTTATCCATCAAAGTTTGTTAAAGCAAAATTTAAAATTTGTGATCAAAGGTTTTGAGATCTGAGAAGTTTGTTTCAAATATTTCCAGATCTGAGAAAATAAGCTCCATTATATGAGATACGAGCTTTCTCATGGTAGAATTTTCCAATTTAGCTTTTAAGTATTCTTCTACCATTTATGCAGGTTTTGGATTTGTCACACAATGAAATTGGAACTCTTCCAAAGCAAATAAACTGCCTTGTGAATTTACAAGTGAGCTTCCTTCTTGCCTGAGATTTTTTTTGCACTTTATTTTGTCCATTTGCAACTTTATACTGGCTAGAGCAAAGAGCGCTGTTCAATTGAAGAAAATATCACATATGCAATCAATTTGAAAGTATGATGTGATATTTTCCTTATGGTTTAACAATCTGATAAAAATTGGATGAACAGTGGCAAACTGTATGGTTTTGATAAATTGAGATTTATTTTTTAGAATAAAATTAATAAATTATTCATTATCTTACCTATTCTATCTGGAGTATTTCATACTTATCCCTTTCTGCTACTTAAAGATTGTTTTTAATAATCTATGATCTGCTGTCATCAAGCTTTATTTTATTATTTTTGTAATTTGACTTTGTTTAGAAACTTGATTTGTCATTCAACAAACTGAAACGGCTGCCAGATGAAATTGGATCTTTGGTTAAAATACAAACATTCAATCTTCAAGGTAATTTGTCTTGTCTTGAATTTTCACAAGCTAGAGCTTGTGTCTCCTACATCAGACGTGATTCCCATAAAGTTGTCACAAAAGAGTGATTGTTTTCAACTCATAATTCAGATTTTTATACATAATATAATCAAAAACAAGTTGATAGCGTACCTCAGTTCGATCACTACGTATTTATCTAGATTACTAATTTGATTAAGGAATCATAACATACTGCAACCCTTAAAAACAACTTATCACGTCTGGAACAAAGATTAAGCTATGCCATGTCGCCCTCTGGCAGTTTTAGAATTCATCTACTTAGAGAAAGAAAAAAATAACTGCTTAAAAATATTTTCTTCTGGGAAGCAGTTCTGATTAGGCAGCCTTAAATTGTCATATGCTTGTATTACGGATTGGACTACTTCGGTCTGCAACTGGGTACATATATTTCCTTGCTTAGGATTTTTTGTTCATTATAATGATTTTTGGTACTCTGAAGAGTGTCAGACCATAAGCTTTGGGGTGTCGTAAAATGTTTGTTTTTCAAAGCTGTATTAAAGAAACAGCAAAACCGTAATGTAGGAATTACATATCGGGTCAATTTTATTTTCAATCAGTTCCCTAAAACATAAGCATGCTAACTGGGTGCCGTTTTGAGGTGTTAAAATCAATATTTGTAAAAAAGTGAGTATATAAATAAGATTCTTTTAATCGGTAAACGCCTTTCCTGTTAGTTGGTTTATCATATTTAGTTTGAGTGGCTCTTAGGTGAATCTTTTGTTGTTTTCACACAAAGTTTTTTCATAGCGAAGAATTTGATCATGATTTTTTTCATCCAATAATTTCAAAATGTTTGCAATATAGCGCTATTGTTGCAATTTCTGGAGCAAATGGCTGTTTCAATAACAAGACGTTTTATACTTTAAATCAGCTTTGTTTTCAACTGAAGCACATCGTTTGGGAATTTAGTTTATTTGTTTTTATTGCGTTTTGCATAAATCACATAAAGTGACTTGTTTTCTCTGAAATTTAACAGGAAACAAGTTGACATATTTGCCCCCAACTATAAAACATATGCGAGAACTACAGACTTTGGATATTCGTGAAAACAAAGATCTTGCTCAACTTCCAGTTAATCTTTGCTACCTTCGCTCGATGGAGGTAATTTAGAAATAATATGATACGAGTTTTGCCTATGTTGATGCTAGGCCAAACAATTTTGTGAATAAGTTTTATCCGAATGTATGCAGCTCGAGAATTGGCAGAAATTTTTTCATTCACGGATAATCATGCACTGCTTTCTATGATTAATTCCACTTAGCATTTAGAAGTGAATGTTTAAAAACTATCTTGGAAGTTGAACTTAATGTTAAAGATATTTTTTAATGATTGTAGCTCTTGAAGCATTTATGTTAATCTTAAAGTCATTTGTTTTTCTTCCTTCTTAGCAATGTTATGATTTCGCACCATAGATTTATCCCTTTTTCTTCCCGTGTTTCAACTGAAGACGTTTTGATATAGTGAATTTTCATGACTATTTCTCCTAGGAATTTCTTTATGACAAAGAAAGAATTCGCTATCCCCCAAGAGGTAAGTTTGTATTGTTTAGACCGTAAACTAGATATGTTATTTGTCACTTGGGATCTGAAACAATGTTTGTTATTTTCTGGCCAGGTTGTAGAAGATCATTAATGTTTTGTTTGTAATGTTGCTGTCTTTGTTGTGTAAGAAAGTTTTTTCCACAACCAGCGATTGCTGGAAAAAATTCATTCATAATTTTTTCCTAGATGTTTGCACCACCTTGATGTTTTTACCTTGTATATAAATATAGTTTTTAAAAACCAAAAATCTTTCTTTTCAAACTTTTTATCACTAGTTATTGGGTAAATGATTTATACACTGCATTTCTCTATTTTATAGAGGTTTCCAGTAAAGGATTTCTGGAGATCAAAAGATGGTTTATGCTGGGTATAATTCTTCTTCTATAGTCTCAATTAGAATGCACAATTGCACGATATCATGCTGCACAATATTATGAATAACTGCCCCTACATATATGAAAATGTTTCTAACCTGTCTTGTCGATATCCACAAATAGATAAACAAGTCCGCAGAAATATTTCATTGCTAACATTTTACAGGACATCTAAACACCGTTCTTCCCTCTGATATGCCCTTATGTTTTGTTGACTTTTCTTCTTTTAGTTAAAGGCGATGAATTCGAAGGAGAGCTGGCTGCTCTACAAGCAAGTTAGTGAATTTAAAATATGTTGTGCGTCATTTTTCTATCCGTCTTACAACAAAGGATAATTAAATACTTTTGTCAGAATATATACTTTTATCGAATTTTCTGATTAGAAGACTTATGTAGTAATTTTATCTACGAATGCGCGAAAGTCAAGCATGAATTTCAGAAACTGTGCTAGAATCATACATAAGAGCCAATTAAATGCGTCATTTTCCCGGTCAATATCCATTTCCCCCCAATTTTAAATAATTTCTAGTCATTTTTTACTGTAAAGAGTATCGCACGACAAATGTTTTCAATATCCTCAAAAATATAAGAATCTTATTGGAATTTTCTGGAAAAAATCTTACTTTTAAACGATTCTTTGTGTCTTACAATTGAAGCTCGTTCTCTAGAAAAACGCACACAGTAAGTCAACTTAAGATATATTTAATATTCTAAAAAGGCGTTTCATCCGTAAAGGCCATTCTTTTGATTGTCTGGATTAAAGAGTTGATTTCTTTAATCATAATTATTTAATTTTGTCATCAACCCACAATCATGGCCAAAACTCCTTGATACTGAATTAAAAGTTTGGCATGCTGTCAATTGTTCCCAAGAAAAATAGGGACATCAATCCCCCCCCCCCCCCAAATCAATGTTGGTATCGTATGAGGGCTAAATATCCCGGCATTTAATTTTTGCCCATACAATCACACGTTGATATAGGGCGGAGGGGATCATGTTGAATAAGAAATGGATTGCATTTGGGAAGCAGTCTCACGAGTTTTGGCCAAGATTGCAGTCTTAGCCTATTCACTGACCTTGATATTTGACAAGTTTTTTTCCCAAATCTTCCAACACAGGGCTACCAGAAAAGCAGTCTGACCACTCATCTTCCAGCCTCTCAGATGACGGAGCTGCATACGAGGTTGCTTCCTCTTTAATAGTTTAAAGTCAGTTGTTTTCAAAAAAATGTTTATGAATATTTTCTGTTTTTCTTAAGAGGAGAATTCAGAACCAACATAAAACTTTTCATTTCCTCTAAAATCATTCATTGAGACACCTTTTGTTCGTTACTTTCCCAATCGATATTTATGATTTTTGAATTGATAAATAGAAGTCCTTTATTTTGAGAAAGCCCTGTATGACGGGGTGAAATAATTGTGTAATTTATTTTCATATATATCTGCTCTTTAAGTCATTACTCACATTGTTAATATGTATCTCAGCTTACTTGTAGCTCCAACCTAGCCATAGGTAGTTTATGGTGATTGCACAATCTTGCTGTTGATTTTAATAAATGGGTACACGACATATTTTATTCATATTTTTACTAATATCAGGCAATTCTTATTTCGCAAAAACTCAAAACGCACCTTTTTACTTTTCGTTGCAGGAATCAATCAAGAAGAGAGAAGAAATTCGAGTATGTTTTTTATGATGGGTCTAAAATATTTGATATAGCGTCAAAATGATTTCTCTCTTCAATCTTCTGTTCAGAATTTATTATTAAATGAGATTAGTTAAAGTTTCTTTATTTCTCTAATCTTGGTTTAATCAGTCAATAGATAGTCTGTGGATGAACACAGAAGTTTATTTCCTTTTTCAATAAAAATTTTATGCAATGAAGCTTTTATTTGTGTTAAAGTGTAAAAAATGCCATGTGACGGTATGGTGGTTATTGCTTTTAAAATTTATCATTTTGTTGTAAATTTGATTGAAAATCAAATTTGGTTTGTCAAGATATTGTATCTTGTAATAAGAACAGTTCGCCAATCTCTTCTACTTGTTTCAAAGGAAAAGAAAAAACAAAGGCAGCTTGAATTAGAAAAGAAAATCCTAGACGCACAAACTGAAAATGCTGTTCTTATGTCATCTGCGGCGAAAGAAAGACAAAAGCTTTTGGCAAATGTTGCCTTTGTAAGATTGTATTTGTTTTTTGTCTAAGTTGTGCTAGAAATTTGAAAAGGGCTTTTCGATGCCTGTTTCATACTCAATCTTAAGAAGACTCAAATGAAATGTTTAGTTACTGTAAGTACAAAGAGATTTTCCATTTTTGCGCTTTCACGCTTTCTGCAGGGATATTTTCTGAGTTCTTAGAGGCAAATACTTTATTTGCATCAAACTAATCTAGCAGAAAATTTGTTCTTGAGGATATGATTTATTGAAAATTAGAATTAAAATATGACCTTGTTTCTTCAGGGGGGTTTAATAGGTTTTCTAAGATTGTAAACAATATTTTACACCATATTGTGTGACAGGCATTTCATTTATATACTGCCAATATTGAAATTTGGCAATCGCATTATAATTGCTTTCAAGTATTTCAAGATTTGGTGACCACTGAGACTAAAAAATTGGCATCGTCTAAGACTAACGATTTTGTATCAATCAAAGTTATTTCATTTCCGTTATAACTGAATTTGCAACTTATATGAATTTTTTTCTTTTATTATGTCACGAAGGAGGAAATGAGGAACCAATCAGAGGTTCACCGAGCTTATGAAGAGAGCGAGGGTAGCAGAAAGAAACTACTTCAGGCTTTACGCCAAGGCAGGTTCACAGTTTTTATTTTCAACTTAGTGCTTTGAAATTCAGCCAAGAATATTAACTTTTAGTTAACTAATGATAAAGATTCCAGTAACTGTCATTGTAATTGTACTTCTGTTATTATCAATATCTAACTTGTAAAGTTTTTTAAAAAGTAAGCGACTTTCAATAGCTTTTTTCTATTGACAACTTTTGGCTTATATGTGAAATGAACATATAGGAAAAATGTCTGCCGCTGGTCAGAGCGTCGCGGGCTTATGCGCACATTTGCGGGCTCTTCAATATCTGACACGTGCACGGTAAAACCAGGGAGGCGAAGATGAAACTGTAAGTGCTTGCAAAAAGGAACAAAAGAATACTCTGTGAACAATATGAACGAAATTTACAAGGTGAGACTTGAATAATGCGCATGGCTAGTCTAAGCAAGAAAAGACCTGTGGTTACTTTGCGCATGGCAAGTACATTTTTCCTATCTGTTTGTGAAATGTGAAATCTTTCTTCATATTTCAATGCCATTTTCATTATTCTAGATGAAGAGTATTTGAACGATACAGTATCATTAGTGCTGCAAATGACAGAAAAGTAAGAAGTACATTATTCTCCTTCGCCAGTATCAACTTGTTTTCTTATCAACTTCTTTATTGTTGTGTATAGCTTTTGTGTTTAGTAATGATTCAACTCCCATTGGTCTTCAAGCCTATGCTTTTGATTTTTCCACCAAGAGAGTCATTGCTCGACATTGCGATCGATTAACGTCATTTCTTAAAAACCATCCTTAATTGGCCCACATTTTCTTCCCTCAATTTTCTCCAAGTAAGGAGCTTTGTTAAAGAACCATTCTCATCAGCGCTCCAAATTCTTTTCTCTTGCCAAACAGGGCACGAAGGACAGAAGAGTTGCTCGACGAAATGGAGGCAGAGAGGTGTGAACAGTAATTTTTTTATTTATTTCCGCCAATATATTAAAATTTGCAGTCTGTTCATCATTCGCTCATTTAAACTCATTTAGTTCGATTTGGCCATAAGTAATCACATATCTTGAAAATCAAACCGAAATAAAGATGAATTATTTCAAGTTTCTGTGTTTAATTTGCAGAGAGAGAACAGATATGCTATTCAGAATAACCCAGGAAGAAACTGAAAGGCTGAAGAAAGAAGACGTAATACGTATGTTTACCTCCTTAACTTATCAAACCCCCTTCACTTTCTAACACCATAACTTAGTAATCACCTTCATCTACTAGACCACCTTAACTTACTAGTCCTTCTTTACCTTCTGAAGACCGTAACATACTAGGCCTTCAGAATTAAACTTTGCTGAATCTAATTTAAAACTTACTAATGTTTCAAAACCTGCATTCTTTTTGCTGCTCCTGTATCGATTACTTTCTTTTCGGTGCTCCATTAAAGGTTATTTGCGATACCTGTTAGCCCCAAGTTTTTTTAAATCCTCATTTTCTCATGCCATTGTTAATTGTCAAACTTTACTGGTAAACACTTTTTGATGGCGATTGCAGTCATGTTCAGCTATATGTTTATTTTTCTCGTTTCTAAAATGTTTGTATCAAAAATTTTGTTGATTATTTATTGAAAACTGTAGAAAAGGAGGTAAATTTCTGAATTTTTCTCGAAGGATGCATGACTATTGTTATGCAAGAACTCGAAAAACATCAAGAGAAATTTGCCGAATACGAGAGGTCACGTGACAACACTTCCAAACTTGCTTTAAGGAGGTATGATTTAGGCATATAATTAATTACCTCTGTCTGTGCCCTATGAACCGCAGCAATTCAACATACAGTGTAGTGTAGATTAACAACAAAACATTTTGTCAAATACGTTTTCGGCGGATAAACTTCCCCAAAAAAATTTCGGACAACTTTTTAGATTTCAGATTTCAAAATTTCGTCTTTTTTAAAATTTAGTCGAAGAAAAATTCGTCAAAATATTTGTCATCCGAAATTTTGTCACGATGAAATTTTTTGTAATTATTGTATTTGGACACAGCCCTGGCACAATCATTGCCAGCTTTGCATCCAAGCATTGCAATAAGTGTGGCAAGTTTTCTCTTTTTAACCTGAAATGGTGTTACAGTATGAATTCTTTAAATACCATCATATGTAGGTGTATAATGTTCTCAGATACTTTTACCTCTCTCGTGACTCTAAGCAAGTTAAAAGAAGCTCTTAGTGTTTTCTTCTGTAATTAACGAAGCAATAAGCCAGCCAAGCCTTCAAAAGTTTTTCAGATTCTACCAGCTCTATTAGAATGATGACTTGTTTACAATCTAATACTTAGTAATCTAAAAAAAGTCTATGTTTTTCATACGAATTGAGCTTGTTTTTGGCAGCTTGCAGTCAAATCAAGACATTGAGACGCTGCTTCACGAAAGAGACGAGCATCGAACTGATCTTCTTCAGAAGATATCAGATGAGGTTTGTGACGGATTTATGTCTGTAAAAATAGATTCTTTGTATTTCGGATTTGTATCAACTGTTAAATAGTGTGACTCCAAAAAAATATATTCTTTGTTAAAAGAGTGCAGTGAATTTGAAGATTGAATTGGCTTCGAAACTGACTTTCTAATATGGATTTTTATTTCAAAACAGGAAGAGAGTCAGATGATGGCATTCAAAGCTTTGCAGTTTCAGAAGGATTCCAAGCTTTCACGTATTAGACAACAGGTATTGATTTATGCTTGTAGCAATGGGTATTATTCTCTCGCAAAATGCGCAGTGTCGTTAAGAGAAGGTGGTTCTGACTGGGTAAAAATCCAGTACCTATATAACCGGATCTCATCAAAACCATCGTTTGTAGTCATTGATTATAAAGTTTGACAGAACTGAAAGTGTTAAAATGAATTTAAAAGCATGCAGAAGACTTTTGAATTTTTTTGGACAAAGATTATATTGTCGAAAATTTTAAATGTACAATTAAAATGAAATGCAATTTTTTTAGACCTTTTGTTTCAATGGAGTTAATGTTGTTCAATTTTGTATTAGATTGACATGATAAATAACGAGCTTCGCCGGATCACAATGTTGGAAATGGAGAAAAGGGTTCAGAAGGAGGAAGAAGAAATGGTTTGTTCTTTTTAACGGTCTTTCTTAAAGATAACAATTTTCCATGTAGCCTTGTACACGAAGCATCTTGTTTGTCGCTACCTAAGTTAAATACCGATACCTACCGATAAGCTTCACATATTGAAAATAATCTTTTTTCAACTTACCCTGCTTTAAAACTTTTTTAGTAATTATTCAGAGTCAGATTCGGTTATGTTTGTTTTGGCATTTGTAGTTAACTTTGTGTTTCTCTAAAATTCTATAATTTGTTCTCTACGTAGACTTGGACGTCCTCGAATAAGCCCTTTCCCCCTCGAAAAAGCCCCCACTCTAAAGTAATTTGTGTGAAACAAGCTAATACCCTCGAAGAAGCTCCCACGGGCTAAGGTTTTCCTCGACAGCAGCAGGTTTTTCCCAATGTATCAACATTCATAGAAATTCTGACCAACCTCAAATAAAGAAAGAAAATTTACCCTGGAAATATTTTTGGCTGCTGCTAAATAAGCCCCCACCTTCGAATAAGCCTCCTTTCAAATAAACCCCCGCCCCAATTTTTTTTGCAAAACAAGCCCCGGGGCTTCTTCGAACCCACCTAATCGTTGAGTTGCGGTATGTCTATTAAAACCATCAATATGTCTCCTTCACAGAATCGTCTCGCTGAGATGCGCATCAACACTGCTCTTATTTTGAGCCAGCTTATAGATGAACAAGAAAGGAGGGAAAGTGAATTGATCAAAAGACTGGTAGCTACTTTTATCAGCTTTAATTTTCTCAGCTTTTTGTTCTGTACTTATCTTTCCCTCCCACAATTCATTCTTTCAAGTCATGACAATGTTTTTCTCTTAAAATCTTTAAAGCTTAAGGCTGAGCGTGTTTTTGGTTCGATTTTTAGAAAATTCAAACCCGCAAGCAGCTTTTCGCTTTTCAAAATACACCAACCTATTAGCGTACAGAAGCTCTATAGTGTAAAATCATAGGAAGGTCATAATGGATTGTTTCTTTTCTAATTGGTATTAATACTTTTTTAAGCCTTATATCTATTAGAATTTGACTTGTCTTCAAGTACCTTTTGAATACTGGCGATCATAGTATTGGGAGTCACATATATATAAAGGAGAGGCCAACTTCATTCGTTTTGCAGCGTGGTAAGGTAGGGTTATGGTTTTCACCTTTGTTTCTCATAGTGTTTTGTGTATTTTGTATAATTTCGCCAATGTTTTTGCCAATTTGCAGAAAGAAATGGAACATTACAAAGAGGACGAAGCCAAGGATTACTGGCTTATTCAGTTTCAAAGGCTACTTGATAGCAAGCCTCAAGTTCTTGTTGATGATGTAAGTTTTGTATCATTATTTAAAAGCTGGGATCATTATGGGGAAATTACAGGACCTGCACAGAAGTGCAAAAAGTATCAGAACCTCGAACTAGGTTCCCAGAAAACGGAATTGGCAATAATTTCAACCAAAATAAATATATTTCACCAGTGAAATTTAAAAATTGAGCTCACTGTAAAGGAGCTATGACCATTTCTTTGCAGTATCTTTTAAGCTGAAAGCTAAAATCTTTTTAATTTGCAACACAAAACCAGATTGATAATTTCTAGTGAATGCTTTTTAGAACTATTTAATTGAATACTTTCATTCAGAAGAAAATATTTCTCTCATGTAACAAGTTCCCAGAAAGAAAAAGAATTATTTTTTCAGCCATGGGCCTGCCTATGACCATCAAGTTGTTTTTGTTCAGAGAACCGGGAAAAATTCCGGAACAGAGTAAAAACTTTATTTAAAGGTAACTTAAAACTGATGCCCATGTGAAATGGTCAATAATTTTATAGTTTTGTAGATTATTTTGTAGATGATTTTTGTAGATTATTTGTTGCTTAAGTCTTATCTCTTTAGTGGTTTTACGGTGGCAATTTTTCGAGGATAGCAGCTCTTTATAACCATGATCTAATACCAAAGTGTAAGTCACTCCAATGTTTCTTTTTGGAGGACAACAAAACGATATTTGGCTTTTAAGCTTTATTAGGTTTTAGATAATAAACGAAAGTTTAGGAGTAATCCTATTATTACTTTGAATATTATTCTTATTGTACAGTAAAAACCCGCATAAAAGAACCTGGGTTTTTTTCTGGCAGCCTGAATAGGTCTTAATTAACAGGCTGCTATTCTAAATTCCAATCTAAAAGGTTCTAACAAGGTTCTTATATACGTACGTACAGGCCTTGCACACATTAACAATGTTTTCCACCGCAGAAATTCTAACAGACACACTTAAACCAGCTTTGTTTTTCATGATAAATTTCAACCAATCAAATGAGTTTGTGTTGTCAGATTGTCCAATTAGAATGCAACATACCATAACCTGGTTTACTCTAAGCTTGTTTAATTTGCCAGTGTTAATAGGGTGTAAAAATACCACTCTAGAAACCCTTTTTTCTTATAGATAGATATATATAAGAACCTTTCCAAATTTCGGCTTCTTGGGGGTTCTTAATTATGGGGTTAAAAAGAATAAATTTCAGCCTCAAGGTTCTTATAAAAACAGGTTCTTCTATGCGGGTTTTTACTGTATTGTTTAAAGATCTTAAATTCGAATATTTTTTTTATGGTAGGAAAATGAATTGGATATTTACGTTGTCGAAATTCTTATGAATGCGAATGCAAGGGAGTATTTGCCAATATTTGGAAGACATAAGATCACAAAAGAGCAGATAAATTTGATGACACACGATGAACTCAAAAAGGTATACAATTTTGTATGTGTTTTTTGATAATATGATAGAATCAACTGATAGAAAGATAAGATTTCTAAAAAATTTGAATAGATGCTCATTGAAGTTTTTTATATGTTTCATTTAATTTATATATATTTTATGTTACTTTGTTTTGTTGGTATAAGTTTTCCAGCACTCATCAATGTTACGCAAATATTTTTCATTCCTCTTATCGTTCTTCCCATTTAGAGAATGATTTTTACGAAATATTTCAAGGCTATTTTAAGTTGCAACAGCCCAAAACACAAGCGAGAAACAGTGAATGTTTGATAAAGCTTCTGGGCATCAAAACAGAATATTCCAGAAAATACTTCCATTCAATGGGTGCAAAGCTTTATATCGATTTGCCAATCGATCTTTTGAAATCGATCGAAAAATTGTTCCATTTTAGAAATGTTAAGAACTGTTCAATAAAAATTTTTGTCATTTTTTTAAATGATTATTGTCACTTCGGTTAGGTTTTTCTCAGAGTTTTTTATGATTTTTACTTTCTTTCTTTTCCTGAATAGTTCACATGGTGATAACAGCATGTTTTATTGAATTGTTTATCTTGTATAAAGACTTATTATATTATATCGTTTTTTGGAAGCATTTATCTGATTTTTTACCTTTTCAACAAGATCTTTCATAGTCAAAAAGAAATTTTTTGTTTCTCTGTGAAAATTTCAAGCTTCTAGTTTCTAGTTTATAGTTTCACGATGAAGCTTCTAGTTTGTTTTCTTCCTCTTTGTTCTAACTTTGTATTTTTTGAGTAGATTCTATTTTGTTTGATTGCTGTAGATTGGAGTGCATAGCGAGGATGCACGTGTTTATATTCTGGCTGCAATTAAAAACAAGATACTAATGAGCCATGAGATGGAACAAAAGCAAAACTTTTCAAAGGTATTATAATCTTTTCTTGCATTTTCTCATTTACTATTTTTTGTAATAAGATCAAATTAGCAACTGAATTTTCATTTTAATTAGATTATAGTTAGGCCTATATATTTGTATTTGTTTCTACCTAGCTTTCCAAGGTAGAGTTTTTGAAAGGTTTTCAAAGCATTCATGATGATTCGATAGTTTTTACATCTGATTTTGTAGCTTATTTTGGTTGGTATAAAGTCATATTTTACGCATGCAAGCGACTCTCTTAAATGCGTAAAGTCATGTTTATAATTGAGTTTCTCTTTGAATTAATCTTTGAAATCTTTGTCTACAGTCTGTGTCTTGTGAGGCAAGCGAGGTGAAAATGGAGGCATTGCCGAGCGCCCCTCCAGCTGCATCTTTGATTGCAAGGTTTGAAGGCGAATGCGTCGTTTGCTTGGAAGAAAAGGTATTTTTTTCGTATACATTTTGTTGGTAAAACTGAAGAAACCGGTTAGGATTGATTCGTGTCATACACGACGAGGAGTTTTTTGACGGCATTAATGAATTCGCCTAGAGTCAGGGAACGCTTTCCTACGAATTTGACATCCAGGAAGGCATGATACCTTGAGGGCAGCTGCTGTTTCGCGTCGCTATTTTGTTTTTTCATCAACTATTTCATTCTTTAAAGTTTGTATCGAATTTACACAAGTATTCTCATGAAATACATGATTTCTGCGTTTATTAGTCGGACACTCCCTAATCCATGATGTACTGCGGCCCGCGCAGATAATCTGGAGCACTGAGTCTGTGTTTTAAAACCTTTGAAAAAACGCTGACCACATTGTAAATTACTACGAAAAGATTGTTTTATTTTCCTGTTTGATTTTAGAAGATTTATCACAGAGTTTACAATTTCAAAAATTAATTTTTTCACACTGCAACTCATTTACCTGTCTTCGTATTTGTAAAATGAAACATGTTGTAAAATGAAGCTCTAACCAATTTGAAAAAAGGACCAACCTTCTTCCAGTCATACGTTAACGGAGACTGGAGCTTGCAGTTTGTTGTGAACAGTTTCTCTAGAATTTTTAACAATTTTTTTGTTACGAAAATAAACGATCCAGGTTTTAAAAGGCGTTAGAAAGTACTGACAACGACGGCAATTAAAAGTTTATAACTTTTTACATAATTGTTACAAATATTTTTATTGCAATGTTAAGAATACATTATGGTTTTTTAATTCAGTTTCTGCTTAAAGCTAGAGTATAATAATATATAATATTTGATAATATTTTTTAGAAGCATCAATTGATTATCATAATTTAGATCGAATTATTTGGATTTCAATGAATTGCTCTTTATAAAATCACGTACTTTGATGCGGTCAAAGAAAGATTATGTTTTTAAATGTTTTAATCTTATGTATATCTTCATTTTTTTGTGATTTTCAGCCCGACACGATTTTCCTGAACTGTGGTCATGTTTGTACGTGCGGAATGTGTTCGAGGCCACTGGAGCTATGCCCTTTGTGCCGGGAGGTTATTGTGCAGAAGTGCCATCTATACGGAGTGTGACTCGAGTGACAGTGGAATTTGTAAATATTGGTATATTTGCTTGTAAATATTTAATCTTTTAGTCGAACAAAATTTGCACACTGAAAATGGAATATGTTATGCTAGAAGACCCCAAGGCAACCAAAAAGATTTGTAAACAATAAATACAATTGTGACTTGAAACTTAATTTCACCCTAATGTATGTTGATTTTGCCTAGTGGTACAACCATTTTTATATTTACCATAACAAAATTCTCGTCTTTCTCGCAGTGCTATAAACGCCAATGTAAGGCGTAAGGCCATCATAGAGTTGGGTAGAGCTGTTTCTGAATCATTGTGAATTAGGGGTCCAAAAATAGATTAAAAACCCCTAAAAAAACTTTGCAAATAGAAAATTTCAAAAGTGTCAAGAAATCTATATTCCTTATCATCTTTTTATGCGATTTTAGCCATTTTTTAATTTTATGCCCCGAAAAGTAGTATTTGTATGAATCGTCACTGTGTAGTGAGATCATCCCTACAAAGTTTCCCAGCCGGTGTTGTGAACCCCAAACCCTTACCTTTGTCCACGATGTCTAGAATGACCCCCATTTATTTTGAATTGGTTTATCAATTACAAATAATATATTATGAGTCTTTGAAAATCCTCACAGAAAAGAATAAAACTGATCCAAAATTTTTCTAAATATTTTTTGCTTATTGTTTTGCTAATGCTAAGGGGGTTTTTACACAGGTTAAAACTGTTTGTAGAAAGTGCCCCTTCTTTTTACTCTCTGACTGTTATTTTCAGAATGTATAATTTTTAAAGAATCTATGTCCCAGATTTTCCAAAATACGGAACCCAATATCAGAGAAATTATAGATGCACGTGAGGCAGAATATTCTCTCATTTGCACCGGCCAGGCTTGTTTTCTCACAGAATATTTTTTAAGGTGATTAGATTAAGGTGGAGACTCGGTAGCATCCTATTTGACTTATTCGAGCCTCCATGTAGCATACATCTCTAGCCACAACCACTGATCTATGAAAAAGAGTTGGTCGAGCTTCTGTTGTGGCAAGAGTGTCGCCATCCTAGAGGGAGCCCCAGAACAGTCCATGCGAGGAGAAGGGAATCCACCGTCACTCCTAGCAATCAGCTGCTCTGGTCTTTTCCTTTTCCAGCACTCATAACACAGCATTGAAGCTCTCGCATATCCATATCATTCACGTATTGGTTTGTGGAGTGGCCTCCCGCTTTTTTGAGGGCCCTCCTTCTTTTGAAGTTGAGCGGGCTTCAAACTTTCGTGTTTCATGGCAAAAGAGAGCTCGATCCAGTCTTTTTTAAAGATCAGGAGCCACAGCATGATAAGCTGTGCCATGAACAGCGAGCCTCGATGTGGAGAGGAGGCGATGAAGAAATTCTAGACACGCAATTGCTTCGTATTATTTAGCATAAGATCTGTATTTACCATATTTGCAAAGTTAAGCAAAGGTGTTATATCAGATTTATGCTTAATGATGAACCACGTATCATACCTTTTCTAAATTCAAAATCTGCGCATAATTTACATAATCTTATATCACATATTTCCATTTCAATATCCAATCACCATTTAATGGCACATCATAATTTCTTTAAATATTTACCCAAACTGTATTTGACGCGAAATAGTATCAAATAATCAGTGATTGTTCTCAGTGATTATATTCTTAAGATGCATCATGAATATCACTATTTTCTTGACGTATTTTATTCGCACTCAGTCGTTTTTTTGTTGATAATTTTGAACAGAAATGTTATTTTGAATGTTAAATTATTTTCGTAAGTTTTTGGGGCGGGTCTGCTAGATGCCTTTCCAGTCGAAAATCTGTTCTAATGGTCCAGTCACTTAAGTTCAAGATACAACTTTTTGCATACAAACATACAAAGATCGAGATACAACTTTTTGTTTTGGGGAGCCAGCCCTGATAAATAAGTGTAAAAACAGCCATATTTTAAAAAATAAAAGTATTTTGGTTAAGTTTTTTGGGGGGTCAAGACCTTATATTCATAACACTTGGGCTTGCTAAAACCTTCACCAAAGTCTAAGAATTATATAACAGTACATAAACGACTAACACTTGTGCAATACACGACATTCCACATGGGTTCCAAATTCTTCGATAGGCCCCTGTTACTCTTTTTAAACCAATGTGTCCCTTACCGATTTACAAGACAGGATTTTTTCCACGCTTCTTGTCGAGGGTAAAGGTAACAAACTTTTTCCTTAGCCACAAAAATTAACTCAGCAACTTTCATCTTTTGCATTGCATTAATCTAATTGCAAAAAGGTCGTACTGTTTTGAATGATTTCTTTACTAAGTAGGCAGTTGATAAAGAAGAAGAAACGCCCACACAAAATTATGATCATTTCCATGTGTTTTGAAGAGGTGTTCGTCTAGAACCATTGTTTATTTTTGAAAAACAGTGTTGATTATTCAGCTGAATAAACACCCACCTTATGAAGCTCCAATTTCTCAGCTGTGTCGCATATCTTTTTAAATGAAACCTAGGAAGTTTTCAGAAAACGCTAGATTTATATAAATTCTCGACACTGTCGTCATAGCTGTGAACATTTAAGTCTAATAATTTAAAAAAAGAAAAAAAGCTTAAATAAGAAATACATCAATAAAATGCTTAATGGGGAATTTGAAAGGGGTTCTTGATCATATACCAGCAACAAAACATGAAAAGTTAACTTTCCTCGCAGTCATTTCCTTATATTCTAATAAAAACCTAGTGTATCTTTTTTGACAGTACAAGGGTAGAATTATTAGGGCGCTATTGTTTTGGAACAATAGGAGCAAAAGTTATGTTCATTGGAAACAAAGGATTTCAATATTTTTAAGGGTTGTGCCCCCAAGAATGACATTAGCTGCGGTTCTGTAGTCTGAAATAAACGGAGTTCGTAAAAAATTTCCCATATCATAACAAACGGGGTGAATGGTTAGCAGTCTATTTTAATAGGTAACACAAAGTATTTACAGCAGACAATCTTATCGAAATATTCAGTTAGTTTTCTTAAGTTTCTCTGGATGAACTTAGTTCGATTGGGGACGGGGAACGCTTATTTCTGACTTTAGAGAAGTAAACTTTGGTTTGAAATAAGAAACATAATTTCAGCCAATCAAGTTGTCGAAATTTCCTGGCCTAGCCAATCAAGAAGCACAAAGTTGATCAGCTGATCTCTCGACGTTTGCCGGAAGATTAGGTAGCTGTACCCCTGATAACCTTTATCACAGGAAGATATCTGTGACACTGTCGCGACGTGGGCCACTGTCGGCTTAGCCTGACAATAAAGAGCAGTTTGGTATAGAATATTCTTCCTTGCTCAGATACTATCTACATGTCATTGTATTTGGTTTTAGAAAGTTGATAAAGTCGAAGAGCACCTGCCAGGAAAAGGTAAGTTGACTATCAGCTGTCGACAGAACAGATTTTAGGCCCGCTCCGTAATGGACAAGAGTTTATTTTGGATGAAAAATAATTAAATCCCTTACACTTATTTGACAAAAGCTAACTTAAATTGTTCGAGACTGGAGTTAATGCAATCTGCATTTTTCACTCTCACACGAAATAATTTTCGTTTGGTTCCATCGATTGCAGCATGCTTGCTCACTGTAGAAAAACATCTTGCCTTATTCACACGACGCGATGTGGGAAGCGATATCGGTTCCAATAAACAACTATACTTTCTAACTTGCTCTCGTCAAATCATTCAACTCAGAAAGTTGATAAGTTGGTCCAATTTAAATCAAGCTATTTTAACTGCCAACTGGTCATTCTAAGAATTGGATATAAACTTGAAGATCGAATTTACGCCAAGAATTTGAACTATTCTTAAAATATTCTTGAAAAGGAACTCTGAACATTCACGTAAATTCTAATGCGCAATGAAATTTATTAAAGCCTCCATGTTTAAAAGTTAATATAATAAAAGAGAACAATAATGGATGTTATAAAGCTGTTTAATGTATTCCTTTCCTAGTTCAAAATTATATGTTTTATTCTGATTATATAGCTAAAATCAGAGAAGTCAGCCATTAGGGGGCTTGTTGGGGGCAAAAGTGACCCAGGTTTTAGAAAAGATGTCATGACTTTAAGATATGTTATTGAAAATGTATAAACAATTGATGGAATTTATTTGTAGATGAAATTTTGGTCTGTTTCCCTACAAAAAATTTCCTTTCACAAATTTATTTGAAATGGTTGTCACAGAGAGTCAATCTACTTTAGAAAATTTGCTCATTATAATATTATTTTTGATATTATGATATCATAATTTCATATTATCATCATTATTTTAACTTTTTTCATAGTTTGAGATTATTTCTTTAAAATAATCTATAGGGTAGAATATTTTGACTACCAACTCAATATTACAATATTTATATATATATTGATAAGACCGATTCACATTTATTAACAATAACAAGAATAAAACTCAAAAATAATTTAAAAGAGAGTGAGAAGGAAAAGAGATTTTGTCATGACAAGCTAACTAGAATAAATGGATTAGAGGAGATTTAACAGAAGTTATTAGTGTGCATAATCAATTTTTATTTGTTGCTACCTAGCATGCAAAGGTAGTTTTTAGGACACTGAGAAACTATGCTTATCAAGCAGTGGTCCTTCCTCTCGATGTGACCACACCTTGTGATTCCTACGCCTGGAATTACAGAGAGCTGGCGACTCTCCCCACTCTGGGTGAGAGTTTGGTCATGTCAGGGACTCGAACAACCGACCCTTGGATCAACAGTCCATGAATCTAACTATTGAGCCATCCTCGCATAATATATTCACGATTTTTGTAATATAAATTTTTCACCAATGTTTGTTTGCTTTGTCTAGGCAACATTTTTACTTAATCAAACAAAATTATGATGCACAATCACTCAATGATGCATATGAATCACTCCATGATGACCCACCCCCCTCATCATGGGGGCCATACTACAAATTCCCATGGAGGGCATGGTGGCCATAATATGAGCAGCCATGGCGGTCATGGTGGCACTGGCCACTCTGCTGGTCATGCTGGGATGATGGTATGCATAGAATATTTTTATATCTTTCACATCCAATAAACTAATAAGTCTGATTTAAATAATAAAGGCAGAGACAAGGACAATGATAAGGCAGGGACAGATCTTATTTAATATTGCTATGCAGTACTTTTCATTAATTTCATTCTGAAATGTTAAAGGTAAATTTTTTCTTCCAAGTTTAAAACTTAGGTTAGCAAAGTTGAGAGATGCTCTCATTCTGAGTAAAACATTTAATATTACTTGAAAGTTCTTTAAATCATTTAATTTATTGCAATTAATATCTTAAACCCATTTGTAGATGTGGTTTCATGCAGGCCATGATGCAACTGTTCTTTTTAAAACTTGGAAAGTTGACTCAGTAGGAGGTACCATTTTTTATTGTCATTACCCTGTATTGTGTTGTGATATGCCTCTTAAGTAATGTCATTTATGTTAGGACTTCCAATTAAAAATCAAATCCAAAGATTGCAAGTGAAATCATTGACTAGAAAGAGGATCTCACTAAAAATTACTTTTTTCAATGTTGTTATATTGACTCCAAGTCACAAACATTTTTTTTGAGATTCAATTTTTCAAATATGATTCTTGTCTGCGTATACACAATTTTAAACCTTGTGAACAACTTTAAAAATGTTTGGAACCCTGTTGTATTTTACTCTTGATGGAAGAGAAGCACTATTTTTTGCTACATGTTTCATTTCTCTAAAGTTGCTAGGCATAGTGTGACAACTTTGACGAAACAATTTGTTTTCCTTTGTTAAAACATAATGTTTATGATTGTCTAAATATTTTAGATCTTGTGGGGACAATGATTGCACTCTTCGTTCTGGCAATTCTTTATGAGGGGCTGAAAGTTGGTAGAGAAATATTGAAAAGAAATGCATCCAAGCCCCTGATAATTAGAGAGACTTTTGACTTAAATGGTGATACAGGCAAAAAATGCCCGGAAGCTATGACGGTTGTGAAATCCCCCAGGTAAAATTTAGAGTTTTTCTTTTGCTCCATAGCTCTTCTCTTTCAGACAGTTTCTTTTTTAAGTCAATGTATGGCAAGCCTGATCTCAAGCATTTTGTGTACAGGCCCTTTGTCAGAATATTAGAAAAACATCAAAAGCAAAATAAAGGGTTTCAGGAAATAATGATCGAGAAAAAGATTATAGATTAAGATTAAGAGAAAGAAATAGTTAAAAAAGTAATATGTACCAAACTTTGAATATTTAGTAAAAAAAGCTCAACTCATTAGGTTGATGTTAAAGGTATTATTATTTATTTAAAAAAAAGGTCATTAAGACCCCCCTTTTTTGAGAAAATTCAGGCTGGTCTGAAACTGATATTAATTTGAAGTACTCAAATGAGAGAGGGTGAGTGAAACTCAGTTCAACCTGTATTTGTTTCCTTGACAAAAACATGTGATTATCATGCCAAATTTTGACTTCGGAATTTTTTCTAAAGTCTGTAATTGCAATCACTATGAAGATTCAATTAAACTTATTCTAAGGTTTTGAAATGTTAACTATTCTGCCAAGGTGCCCTTTTGACTTGCTGTGCTCTAACTCAATTGCCAGAACTCTGAGTACAACAAGACTCTTTGGCCTGCCTTAAAGTGCCTGTGACATGATTTTCGTAGTTTTGGGTTAATAAATCTATTCTTAGGTAAAAAGGCCTTGTTATTTTCATTTCTGAGGTTAGTTTTTACGTTTAGTGAGAAATGAATGAGTTATTGGCGATCTTCTACGCCAAAATTCACCATCTTGGTTTTCAGAATGAGTAGACAGTGACGTCACGGGAGGGACCCGATCGCCTCCTCCTTCGAGTTTTTGTATCGTAGTCAATGAGGGAAATCTAACAGGTCCAAGATGAGCAATATTTCCAGAGAAAGTAGTGGCAGCGAGGATAAGATTTTTGAAGGTAGCGCTTACATTGTTAAAATAACGAGTTCCTCCCATGACGTCACAAGAGAACGGCGAATGATGATAAAGCGACTTGGCTAGGCCACACTATTTTGCTTAATTTCAATATCAAAACACTTTTATTTCAAAAAAAAGATTCAGATCTACTATAAGAGCAGTGCAACGCTTCAATTAAGAGAATAAAAAAAATCATGTCACAGGCACTTTAAAATACCCATGAGTGCAACAAGACTCCTTGTTTTCCCCTTTTCTTTTTGACTTGCATATATAACAAAAAATTAAAGCAAAAATTCTTTGATACTCACAGGGAATTGTTGATGTCTAAGCTACACTTGCTGCAAACTGTTCTTCACATGCTACAAGTATTTCTTGGATATCTACTCATGTTAGCATTTATGACATACAATGTCTGGCTTTGTGTGGCAATCATACTTGGTGCTGGCTCTGGCTATTTCCTTTTTGGTTGGAACAGTGTTGCAATTTCAAACCTTGGTGACCACTGTTTTTAACTATCAGTCAAGTCACTTAGTGCATTGTCTTAGTGTATATGTATATGTTACTTTTCTTTGGGGTTTCTTAGGTATTCATGCAGTTTTAAACTACGTTTTGCAAGTTATTCGGCTAGTTTTTAGAATGGATTCAGTATCTTTTATATGTAGGAATTTAGCTTAATATTTTCTGTGATTCTTTGAAACTTTATGTTTCTTTCTGCTGAGATACAAAACACTGAAGCTGGGAAGCTGAGATTGTCAAGTTTTATAAACTATTCTAGGCTAAGATGTCTGTAGTTCCAATGGGCTATTATAACATTCCATTGGACACAAGCAGGTGAATAACAGGTTTGTTACAGATCTTAGTTTATACCGTGCAGGCATGGGCAAAAAATGTCATAGAAGCTGGTCATGTGAGAGTTTCAGTGCCCTGGCTCTTTGACTGTTTCAACTTATAAAGAATGCTTGTCCTCAATAAGTCAGCCTTGAACCCTATCAGTTATATCCTAAATTCATTGCTATAACTTTGGTATATTCCTTTCTTTTGTAATAACCCTCATGGAGGGTTTGGTGCTGGTGCTACAGGTTTGAATGCCATTCAGTATGTACCTAGCCATACAGTAACAAATTGGTAAATAATGGCCTTTCCTTTCTAGAAAAAAAGGGTTTCAAAAGTGGTCATAGTATATGGCTTTTGATGTCAAGTTGGGATAATAAATGTATTTATATAAGGTTTATTGTAAAAGTTTATAATTATTCCTGCTGAAGTAGCCATCAGTATAGTGTAATTTTATGCTCAATTTCCACTAGGCGAATTCTTTCATGCCAAATGGATTTTAGCCTATGTTTGAATCTCTGGTATGATTCTTACAAATTTTGCAACAGAAAAAACAATTCACAGAATGATTGTCCAGCTCTTTGTCTGTGGATCTTTTCTCTTCTGTCACCAATCCATTTTTGATTTGTGACTGAGAACAAGGTGAGTACTTGCGTAGAGAAAAAAAAATTGCAGCTTGGCTCGTGTGCTGTAATTCTGATTTTTACTCACAGGTTTTTCCAGATATGTTCCCAAAGAGTCTATTTGGCAAAACAAAATTTATTGGATTCCTTAGAAAGCATTCGCCTATTGGAAGTCAATCAATTTAAGTAATTTGTGAAACATTAATTTTGATTAAATTACGCTGATGCTGTATCTGTAGCTAAAAGATGCAGCTTGATTTATATTATGTTGTTAGAGAATTATTTACAAAATTTACCGGATTTAGAGCAGAAAAAATGTATGAATCTAGACTGGTTTTGACTTTTTCTTTCAGAAATTTTCTGTTGCTTGAAATGCTTAGGTCAATAAAATAGAGCAAATGGTGGTCCTATTTTTGTCGCAACTAACAAACATAGATCTCATAAATTTTTTCTTAATTATGAATTATTTCTTAAGTTCTACAAAACCGCGACATTTTATCATGGCATTATTAAGTGCTGATTTTATTTTAGCATGTTGAAAAAGCCAAGGCAGGAAATTTAAAACCACATAAGTTTGAAATTATCTTCTTCTTGTGTAGACTAATCTAATTTTTTGATGCGTATGGCGAAGATACAGAACAAACGACCGTCTTTTTGCTTGTCCGTGTTTTTTTAGCAGAAAGGCAAGGCAGAAAATATTTTCTGAATTAATCTCATCTTCTTTAGAAACGAACCTTATCTCCCTAGTCTTTATTTTTGGCAGAACTCTGTACGAACTTTTTGTTGAAAGGATAACACTATCAGAAGACATTCTAAATTCAGAGAAAGGTGCTAATCCAAGGCGTGAGGGGAACGGAAAGCAATTTATCAAAATATTTCCACCATCATATTTGCTTTGTTTAACTATCCTGTCCTTTCAAAATTTTTCTCACGCGCATTAAATTATATTTCTCTGATTTATTTACAAGTTATATAAATGATTGCTTAGAGTGTATAAAAGCAAGTTTAACTACACAATATTAATACAATGGCACCTAGATGAAAAAAGAAAATCCAGTTCAAAATTCACTAGGATGTTAATTGTCTGCCTGATTTTCTAAATACATTGGGCGATTCAGTTCCCATAATGCACTGTGTATGATAACATTTATAATTTGCATAGGGCCATGTACCACAACATTAGTGCCCTGATAACAACATAATTGTTTTAATCTTCAACATATCATTTCTTCTTTCAGGTAAAAAAATTAATTGGTCACCAGGTTTGTTGACTTTTTTAATATAAGCAAAGAAAATAAAACCTGATAGTTCATCTCGTTCTTTTCTTTTGTACTTAGTTGTGGTGACTGAAGTCGTCGGGAAAATCTGATTCTTGGTTTTAGTGTTTGCATCAAACTGCTTATTGTGTTTGCTATCGCATTTCTTTATTTAATGGTTGCGTGGTGTTCACAGTTTATTGTATTCCTTCACCTGCATCTTACTGTTTGTTAATTTGACAATGAAAAATCATCGTACCAGTCGTTCATGAACAGCATCCTTTTCCTATAAGATTTTCGTAATTGGGCATTCTCTTTGCGAAACAAATATATTATTTGCTCGCGAAGAAGGTTGAATTGAAAACTTTTCTACTGGATACCTAAAGTTGACATGCAGATTGAGGTTCATAATGCGTGGGAATGAACCGAAGCAACATTAGCCAGTTTTGACATGTCAAGCTCATGTTAAAATTGGTTTGGAAGTATTTCCTGGAACTTGTCAATATCATGGATGATACCGAAGGGAAAGTCGATATTTTTGGTGGCCTAATTTTGGGTACGATGGCTTTTATCACTAATTTGCTGCAGTTAACAGTTACGATTCGGAAAAGACAATATCTTCTTCCATTTGATATCTCAGTTTTGAGTCTTTGTATGGCAGATGTCGCGACGTCGGTTGTGGTCTTAGTGTTTATCACGCTGGCCTCTATTCTTGTCTATGAACCTGTATCAGAGTTTATGTTGATAAACATGCCAATTGTACTTTCATTTGCAGTCACTTCATCGGCATTCCATGTGTCATTTATCGCCATCCAGAGGCTGCTGGCTGTTTCTAAACCAATAAAGTTTCGAATTTTATTCAAAAGAACACATTGTCTACTCGTACTTATTTCCATATGGATTTTATCCGCTTTACTTACCTATCCATGGAAGGATTCTTCCACAATGATCGCAATGAAATGTTCCTTTATTTTATCCGGCTCCACTCTTATTCCATGTTATCTATATATTTGTTGGCATATGAAAACGAACCGCTATGTACCATCTTCTTCAAATGCTGTCAACCAGAAAGTTTATATCCATTCTTTGGCTGTAACAATATTGTTTCTGATATGCAAAATCCCACCCATTGTTTATACTTTTATGGACACGAAATCTGATGTTTTTCAGTTGGTTGCGGAATTTTGTTTCTACTTGAATGCCAGTCTAAATCCAGTCATTTACTTCTACTTAAATAGGTGTAACATGAGACGTTGTTTAAAGTGTTTAGGGCGTAATAAAGTGGATCTTACCACTGGGACGAGGATAATTGCTGCGATACCAGTGAGAAGATTTATAGGCACCCAGAACCTTGAAACTACTTCAGTTTAATTCAGCATCAGGCAAAAGGATGCAGATTCAAGAGGTTTCTTGAGCGACCAGATGATAAAGGCTTACCCAATGTTAGTAGCTAGCAAGCGCAAGACCGTATTTGTGTTACCGTTACTCACAGTTCAAAGGCTGATTCGTCCAGGAATCCATAATTGCTACTGACTTTGGATAAAGGTTTGGCTACGCATTGCAATGAAGGTTTGGTTGGATGAAAAACTGAGCCTAATCTCGTTAGGTCCAGTTAAAATCGGCGGTAAACTCTTTTAGCTCTTGAGTGAAACTGGGAACATATATTTATAGCGCTATACCACGTTTTAAAGTCTTCCCTCAGATAATTCATTGAAAAATTGATATTTTATTGAATCCAGTAAATATTGATGCTTTTTCAATCGTTTGTGTTGCAATATTCATATCATGTTAACTTATATTCATGCTTCTAAAATCAATTGAAAAATATTTCTTCTAAACAATTGTTTCATAAATATGATGACTGACGACAAAGACTTTCTCATCATTGCATCGTATCATGGTAAATCTATTGCAATTAGGGTCCCTTAAAGTGTTAAAGATAAATTTAGTCATGTTAATTAGCATCAAAACTCAGGGACATGGTGACAAATTAAAGAGATTTCTTTGGACAGGGCATTTAGCAGAAGAAGAGCGAAATTCTTTTCATTATCTGCTCCCGCAAGCAGGGCGCGTTAGGCACAGTGCAGATCCACTTTCAGTCCAGATATATTTTGGCATAATTGTGTCATAGTATTAATTAGGGGATATTCATGACTTCCATGGCAATGATTTCATTGTTTTGATAATGCATACAATAGCGAACGGTAGAGGGCATAAGTAACTGTTCCTCCAAGTCAGCTTACTTTGTTTAGTGCAAAGATGATCAAATTTTCATGAGAACATCACTTTATCACAGCATTTACCTTTCAGTATCCACAAGGGGATGTTTGGTGCTAGAATTGTATTAATGACCTTTCGGTATTATAATTGTTGGTTAGTTAATCGTTATCTCTCCTACCTACAAAAATATATTCTTTCCAGCGAGTTGATGATATTCTTTCCAGCGATCTTGTTTGCTTAAAAAATGATTCGATTGCATCTCGCATCAGCCATAAACTCATAGCCTCTCATACATAATAAATAATTAATCAATCATATGTATCAAACCAAACTGAATAGCTATTATCGACAACTGTTAAAAAAACCAAAGATGTTTATTCCCTAATTATTTTCTTCAAACCTGTTTTGTTCAAGTCAACGACAATCTTTTGGCACAGTTTTTTAAGCTTTCCTTGTCGTTCCGCCAATATGAGCTTTTTTAACAACAAGGCCTAATTGGGATAAAAAAATGTAAAATCTGTTTACTCACTCCATCAATGGCGGGAAAAGACACAAGGTCGTCTTGTTCTCATTAGAAATGACAGCAATTCAGATTTAAAGCAGTTGTACTTGTTGAGGGTACCCCATATGTTTTTAGGGGATACGGGAATCATCATTTTTTGGAGTCGGAAATCGGGAATTTGTAAATTTTTGTGAGTGAATTCGGGAATCGATAACACTGGGATTAGGGAATTAATGGTCGGGAATCGGGGAACAAACGTAGCGGGAATTCGGGAATCTTGGGACCTATTGGGTATCCTCTTTGTTTACAACACATGCTTAAAATGCCTAAAATTATCTCTCTTTATTGTGTTGCATTTTATAAACTTCCACCATATCTTGAGTTGCTCATCCATGTGCGCAGTTCTATGAGCCGGTGAGTGAGTTTCTGTAAGCATGGTACCCGAATTATTGTTTGCTGTTCCGCGTTGATAGACCGAGAAAGATTTCTTACTTGCCGGTAAAGATTTTACCAAAACATGAAGATGCCACTGTAATTAAATAGAAAATAAATAATATTGAGATACAATATCTCACCAAAATGGCTCGTGGATATTTTGGTGGACAAAAATTTAATATTTTCGCAGTCTCGTTAGCGGCCGTTTCAGCATTTCTGCTTGGGTTTTTTGTAAACGATAAATTTGGTAAAGATATTAGGCTATATCGAACGACAGAGAATTTGCAGAAGCGTGAAGCTGGAAATCAGAAGTCATATTATCACGACAAAGCAGCTGAAGATGTATCTAGTTCAAGTATTAAAAATTATTTCAGGTAAATATCCCAAGTTAATTGTTTCTAAACGGATGAGACCACGTTTCTTCCATTATGAGTTAAATATATCATATAGCTAGATTTACGTTAATTACGTGCCTGTTTGTCAGAAACAGACAAGTAAAGATCGATGTGATTTGTCATATGATCATATGATAGGTTTTTGAATATCACGCTTTTTGCAGTTTATTCTGGTAGTGTGTAAAGAAGTTAATTTCATTTCTAAACATGAGCTGCCTAGGGTTCATGTCGTATTTTATCAGATACTAGAGGGAGGTAGTTGCCAGTTTCCCACAAATGCGAGAACTGGTTTTATTTACTTTATCAGAAAGGCAGCCTGATAGGGTATGTTGTCATTCAATGCTGACATCAACTGATAGCTTTTCACAAAGTTAACGATAGTAAAAAAAAGTGTTGAGAAATTTAGGCCCATTTTTGTTTCTTTTAATGCTATTTCCAATAGATCTATCTAGTATACCTACACCCCGAAAATACGCTAGCTTTTATGCTGTTCACTTCACAATATTAGTAAGCAACAATCTGAGTCAGGTTTCGTGCAAAAAAAATTGGTCTGTGACGTCAGAGTTGGTTGTACAGAAACATGTCCTCTTCTTGATTTGAAGAAAGATGGTTAATCGAATCAATTCTTTTTGCGTAAAGACGTGCGTGATAGCCGTTGTCAGAGAATCCGCTGTATTTGTGATATAATCTTTTTAGGCCAGTGACTTTTAGAGTGCGGTTTGAGTAGCCATGAACAAAAGATGCGTGCTAATGTCCATTGGAATCGCTCTCAGTTTGTTTCTGAGTTGTGTATACAGACGTTAAAGCATAGTTTAGTAAGGATTGTCTTCTTAATTATGCTTACTTATTTGAATCGAACAACCATTTCGAAGTCTTACTACAAAGCAAATTCTTCCTAGAGATCAACATCGGGTCCTTTCAACAGGTTGTATGTATTGATCAGAAAGTTGCTATCTTTGGTTAATTAATACCGTAATAGCGCCTGCAGCGAAACCATTCGAAATATTTTTCAAGGGTCGTGGAACTCCTTATCCTCCCGCTACATTTATGTGGCGGAGCGATCTCACCGCCCTCTCTTTTTTTCTTCGCCCTTCTTTCCTTTGTCAAAACGTTGGTGGCCTCTCGAGCCTTGCCCTACCATATCCAAAGAAAACAAAAAGTAAATTATTTGAATTGTGTATCTTGTGGGGTTCGTTTAGTAAACATATATTCTTTGCACTCAGTTGGAGTACAAAATCTTTTATTGATCTTCCATCAACCAAAAATCTGCTCGCTTCGATCAAGCACTTAAGAGTGCGAATTCGTTAGTGACTCGTTAGTTTAAAGGAAATATATATTTCGATCTTATGTTGTATCATTCTCTGATAGTCGCTAAGTGAATGAAATCATTTGCTACAGGTACTTCACGTCTGTCCCACACATCGGTGGCTCAAAAGAGTCCTACGAGCAGGCAAAATATTTAGCAGACCAACTTCGTAAATTTGGGTTTGACAAAGTTGAGCTGAAGAAATATTACGCATTGCTATCAGTGCCACGATCACCTGGAAATGTAAGCCTATATGATGAGAATGGAACTGTGCTCTTCCACGAAACCATTACTGAAAAGCCTCTGCATAGTTCCGAGGGTGATCCAAGAGAAGTGTACCCATTCAATGCTTATACTGCTTCAGGACAAGCAGAGGTACGGTGTCATCGATATATTTGTAATCACGAATAACAAGTTAGCATTATTCCTTTTTACCGTTAATAGTTTGATATCACGAATATTAAAATCAATGTGCCTACTTTTTTCATATCATCGAAGGTCGTGTTTACTTTTATTTGACGTTTTGGAAAAACACGAAGAAGGAGCTCGGCCAAGTTTCAGTTCCATCGAATGCTACAATCATCAAGCATTTGAAAACATAAAACATTCGTTTGAATATACAATTAATCTTTGGTAAATGAGGACATAAGATCATTTGGCTAAACATTTGTTAAATTCTAGTTGTTATTTAAACAAGTCGAATAATTAATATATCTCCTAACGTGATGTTTTAAACCTCTGTTTCCAATAGGGTGAGCTGGTGTATGTTAATTATGGTACTGACAAAGATTTTGAAGAGATAAAGAGAATGAATATAAGTCTTAAAGGGAAAATTGTCATTTGCAGATATGGGAAGAATTTTAGAGGTGATAAGGTGAGATTCACATATGAGTGTTTTAGTATTCAGTGCTTTGTTTTCTCAGACTTTTCAGGTTTAAAATTCTACATAGAATATGATGATGATTCACATCCTTTTTCAATTCAATAACGAAGTTACAAACCCTTCCTTGTGGATTAGATTTCTCTACAATTGATAACTTTTCACTAAAGGATTACAGGGGTTTGTGAATATGTAAGAAAATTAAAACACAATTTGCATTCACAGGTAAACTTTGCCGAAAAAGCTGGTGCGAAAGGTGTCATTCTTTTCTCTGATCCTCAAGAGTTCAGCTCCGATGTGAATTACCCAGATAGCTGGTTTTTGCCTGATACAGCAGTTCAGAGAGGGAATATATTAAAACAGAAAGGGGATCCACTCTCCCCAGGATACCCATCCACAGGTATTCAATTGTACATATATTCTGATTCATAATTAGATAGTGCACTGGTGACGTTTAAGTTTTACTGTCTCCATGGAGAGAAAATTCGAGCATGCTCGATCTTCTGTGTGTAATCTATTCAGGTTCTGGCCGCTTCGGCCTGGCCCATCGATTTGCTTAGATTAGAGCGTCTATACATTTCAGCTACCATTGCGAAACCTAGTTCATCACTGTAATAAAGTGACGTCAGTAAAAACGTTGATCTCGAAAACGATTTTGGTTTCTCCCGGATCCTAGGCAACTTAACATAGTAAATGTTATGGAAGATGTAAAATTACCATTTTTCATACCTTGTTATCTTGTACTTTGTTGCAGAATTTAAGGCCAATTTAATGTCATAAAGCTGTCTTAGTTTTACCACTGTCCGAGAAATTGCATCACTATGATTGCACTAAGCAAAGCTCTGTACGTGTCTTCTGTGTTTATTTGAATTACTTTATTTTGTTTTTGTTTCTTTCCAGTAGTCATTTCTACGCCTTGACATTTATATTTACCTTTATTCGTTTATCACAAAGTAAAACTTGCTTTCCCGACGTACAGCTTCGCTTGCAGAAGAATGTAAATCTATTTTCATATCACCAATGACTCGAAAACCTTATAACTTGTATTTTAATGACCCTTTAGATGGAATGTACCGAATGAAACCCGAGAATGTGAAATTTCTCCACAAGATTCCGTGCCAGCCAATCAGTCAGCGGCATGCCACAGCTCTTCTGCGGTAAGATAAGAAAAGCTGTTTAAAAACTTTATTGCTCAGGTCCTTACTTGATGTTTCATACTTGATGCAATCATCGAGCAACTAGTAATTTAGGCCTATTATCTGAACTTGATGTTTCTTTGTTTCGATTTTACGTTTCTGCTTGATGGTATTGTTTAGATGAAGATCGTCGCGTCGCTTGTTTCTTTTAATTCAATATAGAACAATTAAACTTTCATTAACAGTTAACACCCTATTTGTTTGGGAAGTAGCTTTTTTAGTTGTTTTTAAAGATGCTATTGATATACGTGAATACATCTTTACACAATTCGCACAGAGGCTATGTGAAGAAATATTAAAAGTGCTTGATAATATAGCAAAATTATCAAGACATCCTGATAGTAAAATGTGGCATTATTGTACTTCCTTGTAAATATTAATGCAGCCAGATAATTTCTCAATATAATCAAGATATCCTGATAGTACAGTATGAAATTGCGATACTTTCTCGTAAATATCAATTGATTAAAGAAGTATTAATGCAGCTAGATAATATCTCAATTTTATCGGTTTATTCTGATATTAAAATAGGACATTATAATACTTGTTTGAAAACATCAACTCACTTCAAGATGTACTAATGCCGCTAGATAATATCTTAGTAATATCGATATATTCTGGTAGTGAATTATGACATTTTAATACTGTAATGTAAATATAAACTCACCTGAAAAGATATCAATTTAGCTAGATAATATCACAGTATTATCGAACTATCCTGATGTAAAGTATGATAATTAGTACTTCCTTGTAAACATAAACTCTTCTAAAGAAATACTAATGCGGCTAGATGATATCTCGTTACTATCGACATATCCTACAGTAAAGTACGAAATTTTGACACTTCCTTGTAAACAAAAGCTCGCCAAAAGGGATATTAATGCAGCTAGATAATATCTCAACATTGACAAGGCATCCATATAGTGAAATATGACATTATAATATGATAATACTTTCTTGTAAATACCAACTCACATCGCTAATTGGTTTCGTCATCGTTTAGATATCTAGATGGTATTGATCCTCCTCACGACGGATGGCATGGACGGTTGAATGTTACGTACAAAATCACATCCAAGGCAAAATTGTAAGGATTATTTTTACATCTTATTTTATATCAATTTCTTACTTTGGTTTCAATAAGCAGTTGTTTTGGTGTATTTTTCTGGTTCTAAAATACCATTATACAAGCTCTGTGCTTAAACAAGATCTCTATTTTATGCTGACATGACTTTTCCTTCAATATATATATATCTGTTACGCTGCTTTAAAATATATTTTGATCTGAATTTTGATGCAATTTTTGCTGTATTTTACGAAGAATGATGTTTCATTGAACAAGACCTAATAGTTGTTCGATTTATCACTTTGTCAGTCATTTTAAGCAATATTTTTTTGTACTTTTGTTTTTTCCTCTCAGTAAAGCTCGTATAACTGTTGATGTCCCATTGGTGGATAGGCCGATTTACAATGTTATTGGTACAATTTATGGCGACAAAGAACCAGGTTAGAAAAGAATTCGTTTGTTTTTATTAAAAACAGTAAATTCAACCTTTGATGCCTTTTTATGTTTTAAAGATTTTTATTTCACTGACACAAGTCAGGTTATGAAATGATGTCATATTTCTATGATTTAAAGATTTAAAGCTTTGAAACATTTGGAAGATAATTAGAAATTTAACATAATGCTTCCTGATAAATAGGAAACGGGTATGATCGTATATCAGGAACATCTCAGTAGGTATCACTATGAATAGATTGTTGAAAACATCAAAGATTTGAAGAAGTTCAAGCAAAATTAAATTCTCGTTATGTGCATGTACTTAAAGTATCTTCCATTGACTTTCTTAAATTCATTGCTTAATTATTTGTACTTAAATCGTTGCATTTAATCCGACAAAGCCTTATACGTCTGGGCAAAATATTGAATAGTTGCATTCCATTAACATATTTTTATTTGAAAAAATGATTTGCCCTTAGAGTGGGTCATTCTTCCCCAACTTGCGTTGTAGCTGCTCACTGTTTTAAAGAAGGTAAAGTTTCTTTTTGCTCGATGCTATTTATTGTTCTCAATTCAGATAGAATGCTTCTCATTGGAAATCACCGTGATGCTTGGGTGTATGGCGGTGGGGATCCTTCTAGTGGAACTGCAGCGCTGGTGGAAACATCCAGAGTGATTGGCAATATCAAGAGTGCTGGTAGGTTGTAATAGATTATTGTGATTTGTTTACAGTCAATGTTTACAGTTGATTGTTAGCCACGAGTCATTAATAGGAAATCTTCAGCCCGTTAAGTCGTACCCTGGATAACTGTGTCCGACTTTCACTGTGTCGGAACGATTTTTAATTTCCATTGGATTTTCCTACCTTCTTTATTCAAGTCCAAAGTCCGATCTCGGATAAATCGAACGCTTAGTTAGGCGATTGCCTTCCTACCTTAAAGGTCTGCCATAATAGGATTCAGTTGTATTTCTTAATCCTTGTAGGCCACCCATTAAAAGAATTCCAACTGAAAGCTAATGGCTAAGGCTTTATATTTATCTCACGTTATCTCACTTGTCACAAAACAACTAATTTCAGGTTGGAGACCAAGAAGGACATTAGTAGTTTGCAGCTGGGATGCAGAGGAGTATGGTCTCATGGGGTCAAAAGAATGGGTGGAGGTACGTTCTTTAGCTGGGGTTTTGAACATATTGGCATAACCCTGAATACTAGTGTGATATAAATTCGAGCACGGAAATAGAGATTAGGAGCGGAGCAGCATCTTTCTCAGAAGAATGGTCTTCTTCTCAGGTCGATGCTCCTCCGCTTCTCCGCCTCTCCGCTCCTCCGCTTCTCCGCTTCTCCGCTTCTATGCTTCTATGCTTCTATTATCTATATCTCCGATCAAAATTTTGTAGCCCTGGACCCAGGGTAGGGATACCTATACAGACTCGTCAGTCGTCAGTTCAAATATTTGCGTAGAATCATCCATTCACATCCATTATCTGTAGAAAGTCCAAGGAAGAGTCAAAATATAGAAGAGTGAGAATTCACATGTGGTTGTTTATATTTGTCTTGTATATAGTCCAGTATGCTGTATGTGCTTTAAAATGTTTTCTTTGATCAACGTTCTCATACATGTTTATAAAGCATACCATAAAGATTTCGCTTGTATATTATTGTGTTAATGCATTCTTGAAATAATTTAACAGAGCTCGGAAAAGTTATTATTTTTGTAACAGGAAACTTTCAAATAGTCTTTTGTTTGTTCTCGTATATTTTGCAAGAAAATGTCTTCGCTACGATAAAACAGGATGGCTGACTACTATAATTTTTTTATGGAAGTTACACTTTTTGCAAGCAAGGTTTTTGTAAAAGGGGAAAGACAGTAAAGAAAGAGAAAATGGCTGCAAATATTTATTCAAAGACAAAGAGTAATTGTGTGGCAATGTTTTGTAAATACGTAGCAGGCCTATCCTTCGTTTGAAATGGCCTATCCTTCGTTTTAGGCCTCACCCTCGAATAAGCCTTAATCCTGACATTCTACTGATGTTAGTCCATTGTAAATAAATTGAAAGGGAAATGACTTTGGTTTAGAAAGTGAAGTTGAAAAGAGGGAAAATTTCTTTGAAAAGAGCACCTATATGCCAATTGGCAGCCTTTCGCCATCGTTTAAGACCTTTCGAACTAGCTCCTATCCTGAATGGTCTCAAATAAGTAAGTTCTTGAAGGGATAATTCGAGGACTTGCGCTATTGATCAAGTATGTTTGGGCAAAAAGCCTTTACCAAATATTGAACACAAATTTTTGTTTTAGGAGTATGCAGCCATACTTAGTTACAGAGCAGTTGCTTACATAAACATTGATATAGCTGTTCAAGGTTTGTCTTTTTGGAAAATTTAATTAACAGCAAGCAACGCATTTTGTACACGTCAAGGTGCATTCATTGCCATATTTTTTAACTATTCAGAAAAAATGGCTTCATTTATGATTGTAGGACGTAAATTATTCCTGTACCATTGGTTATGAAGAGTTTTTTAAGGTTCTCAGTATATTTGTGAATCCCTCTTAATGAATTTTTTACTGTGTCTGTTTCAACCGTTAACGTGAACCACTCCTTTCTGATCTGGACTCCTCAAGATCTCGTTTTGTTGCATAGGTAATTACACTCTAAGAGTGAAATCAAGTCCTCAGTTGGTAACACCGTTCATTGATGTCGTCAAAGAGGTAGGGAATTTACAAGAAAATATTTTTTCTTTCCAGAAGTGCTTTGTCGTTTCGAAAAACGCTTTCATAGATAACTATTAAAAAGATATGGAGCTCAATTTAGTGATTAATATCATTCTCATTCTAGCTATTTTTGTTAAGCTATTTATAGCTCTTTTTGATTTTCTTTGAAAGAATAGTTAAAATTGAATTGTGACTGAAGTTAACTCTTACCATTCACTCCCTTCATTTTTGTTAATGTCGAACAGATAGGGTCCTAGAAAACAGAGTTCAGAGAAACCCCTAAAACCTTCTCTGTATTTTGCCCTATTTTCCTTTCTCAGAAATAACCTTGCACTTTAAACATAATTTTCTTAGAAATGGAATTTTAGTAGAATCATCCATGATTTGGTATTCTTATTAGAATAACTGTTATCTTATTCTGTGATTTGGTCATAACGCTTTGCCAGGAAAGGTGCAAGGAATTTACCACCTCATATATTATGTCAAGTTCAGAATTGCTATTCTTTAAAATTACTGCATCATTTGATAATGGTAATGTTTTCTGAACTCTGTTGACAAATGACGTCACAAAATGGATTTATATTTGTTCAAAAACTTGTCAACTTTGGTTTCCTCTTTCCCTCTTCTCAAAATTTGTCGACATCCGATATCGACATATCTTTACTTGATAGAAAAAGACTTATGTTTTATTAACTCTTAAAGTATCTCATTTTGCAAGTAACTCGTTTTGAATCGAAAGTAAGACCTGGTAGTTGGTGCTTCTGAATTTTTAGCTCTTTCAAAATTTTATTTCCTTTTTGCAACTATGTTCTTGAATTTATACTGATCGTTCGAATTGCAGCTTAAAGTGCCTGACTCTAATGTAAGCCTTTATGAAGACTGGGCATCAAAATTCCCCGATCCGCAACGAGATCATTCTCCAAAGTAAGCATTTGTGACTTTATCTCAGACAACAATTTGAAACATATGCTATCTGCAAATTAGATTAATCTTTGCAAGTCAGTTTTATTTTCATGACATATTTTGTGTTTACTGTTCCTCTGTTGGCATTTATTCACCAATTTCTCTTCTCAATTTTTACCAGAATTCACACACTTGGAGCCGGGAGTGATTTCACTCCATTTTATTCCGTTATTGGTGTCCCAGCTTTAGATTTCCGGTACACATACAACGAGGCAAGGCTTCTTCTTTTTATTCGTTTTTTAATCATTCCCTTTTTTTATCTTATTCTCTTCAACCTTTTTTCAAATTTTTTTTAAAAAAAAATTTTTTTTCAACTGGTCATGTTTGAAAGAGACATTAATTCCATAATGACCTATGCTTAGATTAACAAATAGCAGAGGCTCCAATGGGGCTCCTTGTGGGGAAACAATTTTGATTTCCTCTATATCTGAATTTACTCTGCTTTTTATTCCAAATTTCAACGGTCAGTAAGACCCAAAGAAATGTTTAAATGCCAAGAGCCAAAAGCCTTTAATGTAAAGGATGATTTGAACGGACGGTACTCGTTGAGAGTAGCACGTGAAGATAGCCTATTCCAAGGAAAATAAGCTGCGGGGGTAAACCTTTGCTTATTTCAGGAGAAAGACAATAGCCTACAGGGGCTGCAGGGGCAATTGCCCCCCTCCCTGTTCGTATGTTAAAAAGGCGATGCACATGGAGAAGGTCAAAACCAAAAAGCATTTATAGTGTCAATTAAGTTAAGATGAAACCCCCCTCCCCCATAATCGTTAACGATTTGTTAGACCATAAACAATGATAGATTTAATGTCGAGAAGAGCAATTCAATGTTCATGATATGTTATGTGTTTGATAACTTTTAATATGAAGGACAACTTGAGTGAGTAAAATTTTCTTGCAATAGTATGTAGGACAGGTGATAACCGAAAACGCTTTTACAGTGTTAAGTAAGATGAAATAATAAGATGAAACCCCCCTCTCCCTCACACCCCTCTCTCGCTTAGATCCAGTAGTTTTTCGCGGTTCATTTTTCAAGAGGTCGCTAGTACTAAATAAACATATTATTAACTAAATACTTATTTCCTTGTAGAATGCAATGCACCTTGGAAGCTACCCCGTCTACCATTCGATTCACGACAACTACCACTGGATGTCGACCTTTGTTGATCCTGATTTCAAATATAATAAAGTTGTAACACAAGTATGGGTCAAATACACATTGAAGCTGCTGGACGGCGTCATCCTTCCCTTCAACTCGACAAGATATTGTGAAGATCTCGTTAACTATATCAAAAGTTTTGAAGCAGGCTACAGTGAACTTCTAAGAGCTAACGACGTTGATCTCAGTAAGGAGCCTTTTTACTTAGTAACTTTTTACAAGCTAATTCATAAGTTAGTGATATGTTAATCACATTAAATAACAATCATAGTTCAATCACGTTAAATAGAGTGAATAAAAAAAGGAAAAGGTGAAGATAAGAGGATATACAAGATATTGGGATAATGGGAGATTTCGGGATATTTTTTATGGTTGTGCCTTTTGATAAAATGACACAAAACGGCTATTTTGATTTCAGACGTGTCAAACGGTTATCACAAATGGGCAATACTTATAATACTTGTTTATTTTGCATGAAATTCTTAAGCTATACCCTGTTCTTAGGCAGGAAGTTTGCCTGTCATAATGAGATTTCACTAGGTTGCACACATAAAGAGTGAAACTTAGAATTTTGGTCACCTCTAGATGATGGATACCCCTAAGTATAACCACTTGGTATACATAAACAAACGATACTTGGAGCACAAATATCGACTTCTTAATTCATAACAGAACACTCACTACCATCGTTGACAAACTTAAGAAATAACGAACTAATTCAGTGCCTGTGGAGGGGCGTTAATCTGTTTTAAACAAAAGTAGTTTGTTGCCATCTAGAGGTGCTTAGTCAGTTTTCAAACGTAGACCTCGACACCCTTTTTTAGTACAAAAGCTAGCGAGGGATCGTTGAAACACTATCTGACGCTAAACGCAATAATTAAACGGCGTTAACACTCTGGAATCATAGGCCTTTAAATCCTTAACGACTTACAGCGACATCCAGTTGTCAAATCTTAATGTTACAAGAAAGAATATCTTGTTTTGTTGCAGAAATGCTAACAGTTGCAGCAACAGATTTCGTGGCAGCAGCTTCAAAATTGCAAAGTAGAATTGACAAAATAGATTTTAACAAGTAAGTCATGAATCCTTGCCTGAAATTCCATGCTCTTGCAAACGCTGTTGATAATTTGGTTTCGTAATGCTGTTGATGTTTTGTGTTTTGTGCGGTATAAAACATTAATCATACTCAATGCTTTTTGCAAAGAATTGTATTTACATGAGTTTTGAAAATGACAATACAACATCTTTTTGATTAGCGAATAAAACTAAACCCCATGTGATAACCTTTTCTTAAGCTGTCCAAATGTGATATTCAGCAGAATCTCAGTGAAGTCTGCCCCCAACCCCCTTCCCCTAACAGTGGCGTAACGACATTGGACATGATGTCTAATAAAACACCCTTCACTTTCTTGCACCTTAAAAAAATCAAGTTTAAGGCAATCCTTAAACTCATCTTAATCTTCAGTTTTTAAATTCTTATAGGTTGCATTTTTCAAGAACTGGTTAATAATCCATACAATCTTTTATCTTGCAGTGCGATTGCAGTAAGGACATTAAATGATCAGTTGATGGAAGTCGAGCGATCATTCATAGTCCCTTCTGGCCTGCAAGGGCGGCCACAATTCAAGTATGTTGCTAGTTAATCTTATCATGGACCTTTTCTTCAAAAACATTGTTTGAAGGCCATTAATCCTATCACACTAATCAAAGGAAAGGAGAGCAAACTAAGAAGATTTACTCCCATTACCCTATTCCCATCAAAATTTCGCCCTGGTTACAATATGAATAAATTCAGAGAGATCAGAAGGAATTATCTAGTTAATTTTAACAGACCTTTAAAATGTGAAAATAGCAATTTTTTCAATAAAAATTTCAAATATCCCATGGAGATTCGGATACTGGAGATTAGACATAATATACTGAAAATTCAAATAAATAAAGTAGCAAGTAGAGAGTGATAATAAAGTAGCAAAGTCTGGCTACACAAAACCATACAATATATCAAAATAGGACCGGATCTTATCTTTCTGTTTTGAGGAACTTTCTTTCTCTCTGGTAACTTTGATGCCTGCAATACTACTGGAAATTTTTTAATCTATATCTCAATTCCACATTCTTGCCATATTCAAACAGTATATCAACATCATATTGATTTGTTTTAGGCATATACTCTACTCTCCAAGCAGTGTTAACATCTATCTTGGGCGGTCTTTTCCTGCTGTTATTGAAGCAATTCATAGGGTGGAAACAGGAAAAGATAAAGATTGGAATAATGTAAACATTCAGATTGCTTTGGTTGCTCATCATACTCAAATGGCTTCAAAAATTTTAGATGAAATAGCAAACAGATAAGCTCCTTCTTTTACATTTTTTGTATGTTTATAAAAGTGTAATTTTAGACATTAATCTTTCTTATCTTAATTGGCAAAATTAATACTGCTATCAGGGGCTAACACGAGTCTTCAGGGGCAAACATAGAAGCAATATATTTTTGTAATTCTCTGTTAATAGGGCAACTGACAAATAAGTTGAAGTTTTGTTTCATTTAGTTTCTGGTTGCTTCCAGGATGTAAGACTGTCATCATAACTTAGGTGTCCATCCTTAGCAAATAATTAACCTTCGTGCAAGAGGTAGCTTGATAATTTTGATAAATTTTGATAAAAAATAAGCAACAGTGGTGTTATGTTTCCAAGTAAAATTAAGAGAGAGAGAGAGAGAGCAAAAAAGAAAGCAGTTTTATGTAATACTAAATCATGAAAAACATGGAACTCTAAGTAACCCTTAATATAAATCAATTTGATCAAATAAATTAGTTAATTTTCAATAGAGAGTTTATAATTGCTTAGGCCCAATTTGCAACATACCAGATAGTTACTGGAGTACTGAATTATAGAGTGATGGAGCATTTGCATCAGGTTCCATGAATAACTTTGAGTTTCCTATCTCTATGCAGGAATAAATAGTGACCCATTTAATGCATTTAGATTATGTGAAACAAAGGACTGTGCAAGGGGACCTGTCATAGACACCCAGAATGTACTTTTATTGTATAAAAATTTCTTGCTCTTGGTTATTACCAAACCCCCCCCCCCCCTGCCTGGAAGGGTTTCAGCGTCTGTAATATACTCTGCAGTCCTTGTGTGGAAGCATGTTTTAGCACTTAAAAGCCCCTGAAAGCACTATGGTTTTCACATAAATTTACAAAACAACTGTAGTTTATGACTGACACATAGTGAACAACATACCTATAAAATAGAAAAATTGCAGTATACCAGCAAATATCTTGTATAGCGTAAATAGGGCCTAATATTTGTACTTCAGCCTTGCTAAATTTAAACGAAAAGACATTATCTTCAAATAACAAAAGTTTTCCTTACTTGGAACAATAATTGCCTTACATGTTCACTGGAAATGTTGAGAATCTACAGATATTTAATCAGAATATATTTCTTTATAATTATCAGCACTAAATGATTGCAATTCACAAATGATACAAAATGATCAATTTATAAAACTACTTAACAAACAGTACTAAGTTTATGAACAAAACAGTAACAAAAAAGGACCTAATTTACACTGGCGTCTTGACCAAGTTTGTTAAACATTATGTATACACACTTATTTAGTCAAACATTTCCATTTTTGACACTTTTTGAAAGTTTTCAGAAACTTTGTCAATACTTGGCTGGGGCTGGTGTGGGTAAGCAAGGCATTTCAATTCTATGCTGAGTAATTATTGGTTTTTATGCTTAGGTGCTGCTCTGATGATGGTAATTAGCTATAACAAAACAATTTGCCAGGTTTATTCCATCCCAAAAACAATTCCTGACTTAACATTTCTGCCCAAGATGAGAATGGTGATAAGTCTTGTAACAAAAGGTTTATGACAAAATGACCAGGCCTGTCTTTCAGAAAACTATGACAAAGACAATTGTTAATATTTTGAACAGTAAGCCTATATAAGTTTATGTTCACCTTGGTCGGACTCTTGGGGTATTTGCATTCAAGACAACATGATTTTGAAATCTTCTAACTAAAAAAATTCTTCAACTGAAAAAAATTGTAGCAATCACAAGCAGATTTAGTAACACAACAGCCACAAAAGTTGAGGAATATTAACCTTTCTCTAGATACTACAAGTAATAGCATTCTTTAAGAAATCATACTCCTAATTGAATTTTTCAATTAATGCTAGGATCATCATGCTAGGATGCTAGGATAGGAGCATCAACTATTTCAAAGATCACTAGGAAATTTGGTTATTTAAAGCCCATACCCAAAATAGTACGACAGCAACCCATACTCGCACACACATGATCATATGGTGCTCCTGTCAACACACATGCAAATGGTTTCATAGGATCTAAAAAAGTACTCATGCTTTTTTCAAGTGCAGAAAATGCCAGGGTGAAACCAGTAAATAGCCATATGTGCAGCACGACCCTGCATGTGCAGTACCCCATAAAATGTATGTTACAGGTTTGAAACCATGCCCATTGACAAAATGTTCTGCGTATGGGTTGCAACGGTCATTGTCAAGTACAAGACATTTCTAAACAATATATTGAAAAACAATTTTAAACTAAAAATTTCTCTAAAGATTCTAAGTAAACTTCTTAGTTACAAACTAATTAAGCAGTTTCTTTTCAATTATGAAAATTACCAAGCACATATGAAAAACCTTTTTGGTTCACATGCAGTGATCTGAAGAATCAGATAATGGCGTATCCACAAGCCATGTGAAGAGAAGATGGCCAATGCCTCCACCCAGGAGAATGCCAATACAAATCCATACATTGTATGCCATAAATGCCAACATGAGTATATAACCCATGAACATTTGTAAAACATGCAGCAGAGCTTGTATCAAACGATATGTAGTAAAAAATGATGGCCTCCTAAAAGCAGAGATCAAAAACTTTATCTCTTAACCTTGCATACATTAAGATCATTGATTTTGTCTTATGATTAGTAAATAATAATTTGAAATGGGTCTGTCCAAGGCTTAAAGGCAAAACATAGGAAAGGACTTCTATGTCTATGGTGAAGATCTTTTGGGGTGATTTCAAAACCAACTAATCATTTCATTGAGTCCTTATATCAGTGAGACAATCCTTTCTTTAGTGATGTAGTGAACTGGAGTTTCATTCTCACCAAGTCCAATATTTATAGCTGGACAATAAATAAATAGTTTCCTCCTGCCCCCCCTCCCCCATGTCTACATACATAATCATTGAAGGCACATATGTGTCACTTAGGAGAATGAAGTTCACAAATTTAATATCAATCAATATTGATTAAATCTCATAACCAAATATGATTTACACTAAAAAATAAAATATTGAACATTAAGGAGAATAGTAGATACACATCAGCAAAATATGCTATAGACAAGAGATTTTACTAAGGGCTATACAACTTACACAAACTTAACATGGTCAACAAGTGGCTGTGTTTCACCATAGGTTTTCAGGTTGTTGTGATTTGAAGACAGTACTCTCCTTCCTTTCATCTCCTTTAATTTAATGACCTCTCTGCAAGCTTTCAATCCTTCATAAAGGATAGCAAGTGCCAAAAATGCAATCATAGATCCAATCAAATCTGCAAATGAATAATATACATTATCATACAAAGATAATTAACATTCAATTCAATTTTTAATTCAATTCAATTTAATGTTATTTGTATACTGCAGAAGAAAAATACTAAGTTAATACGTAATATACCTGTTTATGGTGCCCTAAAATGTCCAAAAAGGCAAAATAGAGGCTATTACATCATCATACCTGCAACACTACTGATGTTCCAGTCTTTAAAGATCATGTTTTTCTCATGAAAGCCAAGATGGAAGTACATCTGAAAATTTAAAAATTCAGCATGTCACCTAGGAGTTTCAAGTATTGTTGTTGCATTATAATGTTGTGTAGTAAACTCCATTTTATTTAAAACTATGGGAACAAACATTTTATCTCATGTTGCCTAAAAGCCTTTTCGTCTGACACTCCTCAGAGCATAAATAAGGGTTCAAAAGAACTATGGCCCTATTCACATGATAACAGGAAGCTTTCTTAACATGATGCCTTTCATGATGAGAACCACGCATTGTGGGTTTTCTTGCATAAGTTCAGTTTTCTACAAAACATAGAGATTTGAACCAGTGAAATTCTCAGATCCTTTACACTAAATGCTTTAAAAAACATTTTAGGTTCTTTGTAACAGTGGGCTTAAAATCTTATGGTTTCAGATGCTATTGGTTGGCAAGACCAGGTAATGCAAAGCAAAGTTTGAAAGTTACAATTATTTTCATGGCTCTCTTAAAACAGTTCCAATGCTGCTGAATGGCTTAGCTTTTTGAAATTTTTTTTTGAAAATCTACTTTCAATTTTGTGGTGCTTTGAATTTTCCCAATCTTTCCTTAAGGAAGTAAGCAGATTTCCTTGCTGCACTTAGTTTTCTCCCTTCCTTGAATTTTTCTGACTTTATAAAAGGTTTCTCTTATTCATGAGTAATAAGCATAAGACTACAGTTTGTTGTAACATGCATTATGCTATCATGCCAAAACTATTGATCTCAAAGTTTTTATCCAAAGTTCTGATGTCTGAAAGTTTTTTGTTTGGATTTGTTTCCTGACATTTTTTCCTGGATTTTTTTTATAATTTCAATGATGTCTTCCAATTGTTTTCCAATCATAGACCGTAAACAGGGTCAGATTTCAACTGTGTTTCACTTCCCTCATTTCTGACAAAAGGCTCTCTCTGGACTAGTTTATCTACTTAGAGAGCTCCTCCTTAATAAGTCAATATTAAATTCAATCATGTAAAGTAATTTTTTTCATTTGTTTTTAGTTCTGTTAGTTTTTAGTTCATAGTGTTGTAATATATCTTAATTGTAGAGTTTTGTGTATAAATTGTATTTAGGATTGATTGATAATGAATGAAACTGAAAAAAACTGTATGAACGAGCGGCTAATTTTATTTTGTTGATAGAAAAATGGAAATAAGATTGTTATTGGAATTATGGAAGCAGTAGGCCATGGTCAGACAGACTAAACCAACCTTAAAGGAAAAGGACAATGCTGGCTTACTTAAGAATATTCAGCAAATTATAACCTAATTAATATCATTAATTTACAGAAAATATCGATGCATTGTACAGAGGGTAGTAAGCCTAGTTCAATTTTCATACCTTCATCATGTCCATATGTGGCATACCACTGTTGTTTTTCGGCATATGCATATTCATTTTGATATTTTCTTGGCCTTTGTTCCTTGATGGAACGATGAAAACATAGATTAGCTGTTAACCACAACAGTGAAATACTTAAAGTGCTAAAATGCACTGACAATTTATTTTCAGGATCCAGCCTGGAGTCAAGTTTGCCCTTGGTGGGCCTAAAGTGCTTCTAGCTACGCGGTTATGGAATACAACAAAGGTGCTTCTACAGCGAAAACACATATAAACGAATACCTGCTGCTATTATATTAATATTGAATTCATTTGCCTTGCTTCAGAAGACGCTAATTTCCAGCAACTTAAAAGTAATGCATTTTGTATGACAAGACGCTACAATCTTTTCATCAAAAATTAAGGTCTTGTGACAAAGCCGCACGTATAGCTCACAGGCTGCTGCGAAGGCTTTTAGGGGATTCCAATGAGGTGAATTAACGATATTCCGCTAATCCTCGAATTGGCCCCCCTCCTCGAAAAAGCCCCCTCGAATAAGACCCATCCCTAAAGCTAAAAAAATGTCAACATGCCCCCCTCGAATAACCCCATATCCAAAAATGTCAGAAATAAATAAGCCCCTAGGGGGCTAATTCGAGGATTTACGGTATTATCCTGTCTCTATGGGCTACAACATCAGATTATTTATAAGAATATTTGCATAGGACTACGTCTAATTACAAGTGGTTTTGGCAAACATTACTTTCAGATTTAGGGTCGCTTGTGATGTGGAGTTACCAACAAACACCCTCCCCCTCTTTTCCATACTAAAAGAAATTACATATCTGCCTTCAAAGCTATTTGTCCAATAAACACCCTGCGTCTCTCTTGAACCTTGGTATAGACTGGGATTTAGGTTTGTGTTAACCGTAACATGGAAAGTTACTTTATTTTTGCTACGATACGAAGGATTCTTTAGATCTCTATCTTCTTTATCTAACCAATTCTGTGATCTAACTCTCCCTCTTATACATATTACGTCATTTGTATAGTTTTGACGCGAGATTGCCCCGAGAGATTGCACCACGATGTGCAAAATAAAGGAAACAACTAATTCTAACTTTTTGCTGGATATGTTTAGAATTAACGATTGTAAAAAATAACCAATCGGATAATTTCAAACTTAAAAAGTACGTCGGGGAATCCCAGGTTATTGCAGTTTTTAGCCAGGCAAAAACACTAGACACAACCAGTTATCTCATCCTGCTGCCACAAGAGGCTGTTTCAAGCAGAGGCTCGTGCGAAAGATTTTTCATTCATGTGCTGTGGCTAGGCCATTATTGATAGAAAGACTAGCAAGTTACTACGATTCTCGTGTTAATAAAACCATCTACTGGAGGAAATATCTTAATTTCTTTAGAAAAAATTTATATAAAGATGGGTAAGAAGAAAGACCGTAGAAAAGGAGAGGCCATAGGCGCTGAGGACAACGAAATCGACGATAATAAAGACGACGTTGTTGGTGGTACTGACGTAAAAAGTAAGTCCAAGTCAAAAAAACGATCAAATAAACTAGATATGCTGAAACAGGCCATAGAAGAGGGGGATTCTGATGGTGATGATAATAAAGAAGCTCCGGTGGATGAAGCAAAGCAGGAAGAAGGGAAAAAAGGAAAGAAGGGCAGGAATAGGAAAGCCGAAGGAAAAAATTCCGCGGAAAAAGGAACAGCAGATTCGCAAATGGAGAGCAAGGACAACGAAGACGAAATGGATGATTTAACCGATGATTTCAGTAAAACTCGGTTTGACCATAGTTCAGAAAGTGAAACAGAAAAAGATAAGGGCGAAGAAGACGAAAAAGGTACGCTTATACGATTCTCGTGTACTCGATATATGAAGCTCGTATGTATGATAGGAATCACAATAATTTCTTATGTTCTTTATCATCAAAACAGAAGTTACAATACAGATTGCAAATTGAATTGTTGCAAATTTTCTAAGCTGATGTCAGAGGTGCAAAAAACTGTGTCTATCCCCACGGCCAATAAACGACTTAAGTCAGGCTCAATAATGTTGATTTCTGGGTTTTTCTAATCAAAACTGGTCTTTTTTGCTAGTGAATTTTTGAGTAAGCAGGAGTCTGTTTTTTTAGGTTTATAGGAAAGGGTTTAGTTGCATTACATTAAAATTTGCATGAAAAAATTCTTAGGGAGCCTAGTATATCCGCATTGTGATAATGGAGCAAACCAATCTATTGTGATACCTTAAAGGAAGGACAAACAAGCAAAAATTATTTTATATCTTTATTCCATCATTCTCTAATTTCTTATGATACAAACTTGTCCTAATAAAAACATGTTTTTGTTACCCTCAAGTTGAGGAATCAAGCAATTGGATTTTTCAAGGAGAGTGTGTACCAGTCATGCTTGATCCATTTCAGGTCCATAAGCTCCCCTGGACAGTAACATTATGTTGAGTTAGCTCAAGTTATTTTTTGTTTAAAGTAAAGTTGAGCTTTATGTTTCAGACACCTATTTAAAAACCCTATATAAGAAAGAAATAGAAAAAAATTTAAAATTCTTAAATCAATTTTCTCA